GACTCTGATCACTGGATGTGCTAGTGGACCCTGCAACAGAGAGCTGTTCTGTATGTTGTTGTGTTGCTTGACTCTGATGACTGGACGTGCTAGAGGTTTCGCTATACAGAATCCATTGATTGCCATCACTGTAGTAGCGTCCATCATCAGACCACCAAGTACCGTCCTTAGCTTGAAAGGGCATGTTGGAAATCTCTATGCGCACACATTAGTCGTCTCCTGGTCGGAAGGGAAGGTATAGATGAACCAAACATACATGATCTCAAGGTGGGGCAGGGCTGTATATAGCGTAGAGTTCTCGGACCAAGGTAATCCCGTACCCGTAGTTATGTCATCCGTCTATAACTTTTTCAGTGTAACTCCTATCTTAGTAAACTTAGACCTCTACGAGAAGGACGCCGAGGCGCTACGCCTTTTATAAAAGAGAGTCAAAGGCTATTTAGATATTTCTCCCTCTTAATATATACTCTATATATATGTAATCTCTAGATTTCTATATTCTTACATCTCTCTACTAAAGCTCTAATATATAATAAAGATTTAGTATTAGATTATAGCTATAAATACTTTCTATCGTTCTAACTAATGATTTTATAAAACTAATTGATATATAGAGCTATAAGAAGAGAATCAGAGAAGTCGTTCTAGTCTTCTAAGTCTTCTAAGCTAATAGAAGCTCTATACTACAGATCTAGCTTTATACTATGTATACGTTCTCTTTACGACGAACTAAGGCTATTTAGTCGCCTTTCAACTATGATACACGAATGAAGATTGCTGGCGTTGCGTACGCAGGTCTTAACAGGCCCGCTCATAAATCGCAAAAACCTGATTAGAATCCGCTACAAACAGCCCTTGCTGTTGCGCGTCCGCTCGACTCAGAATACAATTTTGCCAGTTTGGATTGGGGAGCTGATTGAAGGGCGCGTACTGGTATGACAAGCAAGTGCTGACGGCGAGACAGATTGCCTTGCACTCGTCAAGACTTGAGACGTACGAGCGCGACTGGGGCAGCTTGTCAGCGATATCGTAGCTGAGACCGTGCCAGGAGCATGTTGCGGGCGGTATGACAGGCGTGGGAGTCGGCGTAGGAGTCTCGGATGTTGGTTCGGGCGTTGGAGTAGGAGTGGGAGTCTCTGATGTAGGTTGGGGCGTGGGCGTAGGACTTGGACTCTCGGATATAGGCTCAGGCGTGGGAGTAGGGGTTGGAGTCTCGGATATAGGCTCAGGCGTGGGAGTAGGGGTTGGAGTCTCGGATATAGGCTCAGGCGTGGGAGTAGGGGTTGGAGTCTCGGATGTGGGAGTAGCAGAAGTGGGGGCGTTGGGAACAATTGAACAGTCCTTGTCGAAGGCCTGCCATATCTCGACGCGGCGTATCCTTTTCGGCGATGACTCGTGGAGTTGCCGAGCAGGTACATCGTATAGTTTACACGTACTCTGCATAATAGCATAGCTTGTGCAGACTAGTCTGGATGCGTTGTCTAAGCAGATTCTATGACACTCCTCCTGGGTCATGGGTCCGGAGGTTAGGGTCTCGAACCAGTATTCACTTCGCGTGATCTCGGTGTATATACCACAAGTAAGTGATGGCGAGCTGGTTGTGGTGGACTCCGCTGAGGTCGTCACACTAATGAAGGTCGTAGTTTCTAAAGGTGTAGGCGTGGGACTTTCTGATATCGTAGATGAGCTTGGAGTGTCTGATGTCGATGGGTTCAGAGTGAAAGTGCTCGATTCTTCCACGCTCGAGGAGGAAAAGAGAAACGTGGAAGTTGCCATGCTAGAGAAACTAGACATGAGTGGGGTCGTAGAAGGGGCTGCACCGGAAGAGGTGCTTAAGAAGGCTGTTGAAGATGCGGGTATCGCTGACGAGGAGATGCTGGGTGGTACACAGCATTTCCTGTTGCTAAAGTAGCGGCTGCCTTGTGGTGAACGTTGCACGGTCAAAGACCTAAAAGGACAATCAGAATGTGGCCTATCAATAGCAATACCAACTAGTTATCTTACACGAGCTTCATGTAAAGACGACATTGGCCTTGCCCAATGGAAAATGATTTGCAGGCTGATGCTGATTTGCATCGTGCACTGCAACCAGCTTTGGTTTGATTCTGCTTCCGTGGCCGTGATGTAGGGAAGGTAAGATTCAATTCCTTGCACGTTGCAAGAAGTTGCTGTAGTAAGGGCAAAGCACGAAAAGAGTCCGAATACAGCAATGAGAGCCTTCATGTTGAAGAGAATGACGTGACCGAATTGATTATAGAAAGACGGCGGCAAGGAAAAGAGAGATGGACTTCGGCACCCCTTTTGTAGAAAAACAGTAATTGGCATTAAACCATAACATGCCCGTTCCTAAATGCCTATATACGCGACTGAGTAATGGCGTACAGCCATTAACGCCACAATAAACATAAGTGCCGCTCGAGAGTCGAGACGGGTGCTAGACGGTTCGATCGCATACAGCTGTGTGAAGACGATAGGAATATGATATTCTAGTCCTTATTGATTGCAATCCATTGACTGTACAGCGCTCTGAAACTGTTATTATGTGCAAGGCACGGGAAACGCGCGAAAGCAAAGAGCGACGTTTGGCCTAAAGGGATTTGCGCCAAACATCGAGATGGGATGCTAGACCGGTTCTGGTTGTATACTAAGCCGGCTGCAGCCTGAGGTGCTCAGATGCATCGAGACCTTCGCGCCAAGGATACCGAATGACTTGGGTTCCTCTTCATGTTAATCGGCGGGCGCCCCGAACAGCCAGCTTCACTAGCTAAATGGTAGCTATTTGTTCGCAATGGGGAACCACACGAGTCTAAGAAAGCATGTTTCTAAGAGGTAATTATTACAGAGAATGCTCGAGGGTTTAGGGGGTATCAAGTCTGGAAATACAACGGCGAGCTAGTTATAGAGTAGAAGGTAGAGTCCAGTAGAGGGGCTAGGAGATTATATGTGCGGCTAAGGGATGCCAAGAAGGACCGGTATCTGGAATTCCTGGCGTGATATACAAAAGCGCATTGGACTGAACTCCCGCGATAAATAAAAGATATGGCTGAGTGTAAACACGGCGACTCTATACGCACCTTAATTATATAGAGCGTAAAAAGATATGCTACCTTTACTCAATAGATATTCTAATAGTTACAAGTCTAGTTATATACCCTAGTCACCTGAGTCTACTCCCCACCCTATTTCTGTGGCTCGTCTAGAGGCTTTCTGTACCGGCCACCTTCGACGCGCCGATTACTCTTTAGATGCTGGACGAGCTGTCCCCTATAAAGCACTAGGAGATCTATAGCCGTGAACACAGGAGCTGACACTTTAGCAACTGACATTCTATGTATTGCGCGGGTGTCCGTAACGTATGTAATAGGGAAGAAGCTCGTTATAGAGCCGCGACCTTTAGTTCTGGCGTTAAATACGTTAGAGACCAGTAGGCCGACGCCAATGGATTACGATTGAAGATATCGACAGCCACGTTGTACCTAACGTTGGCAGGCGCTTCTAGATTGGAAAATAAACTATAAACCTCCAGGGCTACTTATATTAGTCTACTATATAATGTTTTTATACAGTTCGCCGCTCTAGTGAGGCCAAAGTCTGTTCACTTGACGTAGAAGCCGCTGAGTCGGTAGAGCAGTAGGATATTCTAGAAGTTGACGATTTCCGATCGGAGGGTTTTGTCCGTGGAGGTAACTCAGGGCCGAAAGTGATTGATTGGGGCCTGAATACTTTCGAACGTAGACATATTCGTGCAGCTGTCCAATGTCAACTGGGACCGACCGAGGGGACAATGGATTGTACTGCACAGTCGAACGCGACGATGCAGCCTGAGGCCGCGAGCGCGAAGAGGCTGCCACGACGAACAAGAGAAAGCTGACGCGGCACTCGCTGGCTCTTACAGCTGTCACATCCAACAGATGGATCCTCGCGTCCCAGCTGCCTAGGATTGGCGGTTAGAATGATCAAGCACGGTTCTATGTTCTTCTTATTGGATAGAAAAACTCAACGAGGTCATGCAGATGGCAGATGCAAATGTTCTGGCGGCGGCGAAACAGATGCGACCACGACAGACACTGACGGCCAGGATCCAATTGTCGGGAACGAGAATCAGGCTTCCATCATCTGAGGCCTTTGCCACCCTGCATCTTCCTCTCAACATTACTTCTACACGTAACGACTAATTAGTGCAGGGCAACTTGGGTACTAAGCTTGAATACAAGGCTGTAGTTATCGATTGGTGATCGATAGCGACCCCAGCGATCGTCGTCCTCATGATTCTCGACTAGAAGCTGCACCATTATCGTTGCGCGCCGCATATGTGCGACCAACCAGCATGCTGGAAAGGCGAAGGAAATGCAACGTAATAGCTCGTACGCATTACTTACAACATGGTGTCTGATTCCTCATCAACATGACCCGCCTGTAGCATGTCGAAGCGATCGCTTTTGCCGACGGCGCAAGAACGAAACAAGTCTATGGCGGACTACTCGCGACGTACCGGATTGTAACTACAGCTGCAACAGCAGCAGGGAAGAGTCTTCTCCTTCGGTCTGAAGAGAAAATTCGTGGGCAGTCCAGTTGTGTTCCCGAGTGTGACTGTGTATCTCTGTACCACCACCGAAGAGCCCAGAGACCAGGACATACAAGTAACTTATCGGTAGACCCGCGTGCAGGCCACGATGCAACTGCCGTGTCTCTGGGGCCCGATTTCGAGGGACCCTTTCAACTGTGCGTGGGGAAGACATGCGAAGTACAACAATGCGGTGTTGTGATTGATCAGTCTTCACGGATAGTAACTTGTCCGAATTGCATGCACGCCTTCTCACAGACTGAGTTGCCCAGTTGGTTGTGGCAAGTGTTTGCGCAAGGAAAAATTGTTCATGCTCGTCATTTGGAGGCATTCCACTTTTTAAAGCGGCAGAAGCTTCCACGGCGAAGACTCTGGATAGAAATCAAGGATGAGGATTGAGATGAGGGCGAAAAGAGCGACAAGGAATCCAAAGAGTGGATTTTAGCTCAGTGGCGGCGATGGGTCGGATGAGTTTTCATGACAATGACGGAGGGTATGCAGACCACCAAGACACCAAGACCTGCCAGCGCTGCCAGCGACTTCTCAATGGTGCCAGGTACAGCATCGAGCTCATTTGCTGATGGCATTATTCAGTCCAGGTACGCGCCAGACCATAACCATTTCGGCGTGATGGCCGATCTGGCGCTTTTACAACGCCTGGACCCGCCACGGGCTGCAGCATAGTTCCATACCCGATGCACACCACGCACAGTCTCCCCCTTTTCATTGGCCAACTTTGCATGCTTTGTGCCTGAATGACCCACAACGGCCTGCACAGGAGACTTTTCCTACTAATCCATCTATAAATCCTCCATCCCCCGTCCATTCTCGCCTGATCGGCACAATACGCTTTCAACTATCCAAGCTGGGTCTTGTCCACGCTCTCTTTGCTATACAGCAACCACTCTCTATCCGAGATTCACACTCCCTTTCGCTCTAGCAGCACAGACGTCCAGCTCACAGCCAACTACACTCCTTATTACTACCATATACCCCTTTCAACCAAACATTGACCCTACTTGGCCATATACCCTAGTCGATTCGACACAATGCAGCTCATCACCATCGCCTCCGCTGCCATGGCGGCCCTACCTATCGTCAACGCTGCTACCGCTTCCATTTACAACAAATGCGACTTTGATTTCAACATCTGGTCCGTTTCTGCCGACGGCTCTTCCGATGCCATCACCATCAAGGCAGGTGACAAGTACACGGAGCCGTACAGGAAGCCCTCTCAGGGCGGTGTCTCGCTCAAGATGATGAACAACACCGGCTCAGCTGGTCCTGTTGGCCCAGTTTCTCAATTTGAATACACTCTGGAGGGCTTTATCTGGTATGACATGTCCAATGTCGACTGCTCCGGCCATGCTTGCCCCTTCGCACAGCACGGCTGGTACTTGGACAGCACTGATCACAATTGCCCTACTCGCAACTGTCTCGAGAATGTTGAAAAATGCATTGGAGCGTACACTTACTGGAACAACGACATCAACACCCTCTCCTGCGACTCCAACAACGACATCCAAATCTACATGTGCATTACCAGCAAGCCCGACAGCAACGATAACTACACACCAGCTCCCTCTTCCTCATCTCCAGAGGCACCAGCTTCTGAGCCCACTCAAGTTCAGGTTCAACAAGCCCAGGTAGAGGCTCCAGCTGCTCCCGTTGTTACCCCCTCGCCCGTAGAAGCGCCTCCACATGTAGTTACCGAGATCGTCTACGTGACCCAAGTCAGCTACGAGATGGTTGCGCCAAACAAACGACACGTTCACCACGCACGCCACCCACACGCACGGCCATTAATGTAAAGGGGAGGACTATACAGTCCATCATGACGCGTCGACTAAACTTTCTTCCTTCGCGGTCGGCGCGGGGCCACGAAAAACGAGCATCAATTTCTTCGAATCTTCTTGTCATACCCCCTTTACTTCATTTGTGTAATATTTTTGGCGTCTTCGCCTGTGTACCTAGGGACATGCAAGCATGAACAGCGCGCGGTGTTAACGGAGGACTCTGATATGATAGAGAAATCACGCAATTCTTCTCAGGAACGCTACTACAGCTTACAGGAGTATGTTTGCGACCTGCACTTCTTGATTCCTCCTTCTATCATGATATATTCGCCCATTGATCTATATTCACGCTTTATGTTCCACGACTATCACGACTCTCACTTCCCACTTTTTGCTATTCGCATCCACACAGAAACGCATTCAGTCGGTTGAGTGTGTTCTCGTCCCAACTGATCGAAGCGTCAGCATTCTGTGCTGGGCCCGACCAGAAAGCTAGTGATCGACGCCCACAGGCCAGTCAGGAAACCGTGCGGCTGTCAAGTCGCCCCCGCGCCATGGAAATCCTTTTCATGAAGCGAACTCTAAAGGAGCCCTCATTTCGCATGTGTGGTGATGGGTCAATACAAGCGGGTGCGGACTGCGATCCCGGCACTCGCCTTGTGGGCTTAGGGGCTGTTTATTGCATCGTGATTGGTCTGGCGGGAAATTTGGTCTCACGGGCACACCGCTGGGGTCGGGATAGTGCATACACGTACAAAAGGACTGCGAAAATTGAAATATGCCTTTTCGAACACACTTCATTTTTATTTACTTAGTCGATATAAGTTCAACGTCTACACCTTTGCAGTTTTTTATCACGGTACGGTGTTGTTAGTGTTTGTGTGCACGATGGGCTGCTGCTACTGCTGCTGTAAAGAATGTGGGAGGAGATCTGAGCGTGCGCTCTGGCCGACAGCAAACGCCACGCGATTGATCAGAGCGTCCACCATGGCCCACAAAACCCCCTCCTCAACAACGTTGTACGAAAGGAGACGCGCAAGCTTGTCTTGCCTCTTGTGCTCTAGCCCAGAGCAAATCAGTACTTGTTCCTGACCCGAGGCGTCTTACACACCCCTACCCCCTGTGCAGTCGTGGTCGTGCGTGGCGAATGTCAGCTGGCGGTCTGGCGGCTGTAGAGTACGGTGAGGGCCCGTGGTGAAACATTAATTAACAATGAGGGTATCGTATCCGACCATCGTCTTTTGCTCTCTTGGCTGTTTGTCTGGAGTCTTACGGAAAAGGCGGAAGGATGATTCAAGGACGTGAGGTGACGAGGCGATGAGGCGATGAGGCGTCGCTGTAGCAAAACCCCCTCGGTTCTGCGATACGCCGTCTCGGCGCTTGGCTGTCTACCCTGATTAGGTAGATGTAAGGTAGTATTGTAGTAACAGACGGGTGCCATGCGAGGCTGACCATTCATTGAATAATACTACAGCTGCCAGGTCCACTTTCACTACATCATCTAGCTCCATCTTCCATCATCGCGACGACCTCAAGTTTTCTCGCCATGTTCGTCTCACAAGCTGCCTCGAGTGAACCACTACACCGGTAGCCCCAATGTCCGCTGGAGATTTGATGGATAGTGAGATGCCCGGCTGCACTTAGCAGTCCCCGTATCGCTGCCCTGCCCGTCGTCGTTCGTAATCTCCTATCGCGGGTATCGTGTCGGAGATGAGCGTTTGCTCAGATGGTAGTCGAGATGTGGTCCTCGTTGACAAGTCATCCTCGTGTGGAACATCGTATGCAACGGAGTGACGTGCGACTTGCTCGTTGCACAACTTTTTTTATATGGTTCTATGGCTATCGAATTACTGCATGGGTTGAGTGAGTGAGACATGGAGGTGCGATACCCCAGTCTGCTGCTGCATTCATCTTCCTCTAATGTGTCTGGTACTGGTAGCCGTCTTGTCGATCTCATATCCACTCTCATCACGTTTGTATACAACTGTGATGTCCTATAATAGTGTCTCTCGGATGGTGTCTTGGTTCTCAGCCATACCTCTTTGGCCGGATCTATGTTTCTTCCTGTCCAATAATTAGTACTTTCCTCCCTCAAAACCCTACCGGAATATTTTCTTTCGCGCCGAATTCCTCGAACCTCCGATTGGAGTGTCCGATTCGTATTCTCGTAGATGTGTCATCGATAGTCTTTGTGCCCGATCTTTTGTGTGTTCAACTCCAATTCCAGCGGCTCTCACGTGACAGTCTCTGTCGTTGCGCTTTCTTTTGTGAATAATGGGACTTGTCACAGGGGTCCATTCCGGTACCATTCATGTTGCGCAAAACACGTGCGTGTCATGTTATGGTCTAGAATCACTATTAGACTTCGGATGACAAGCGGAAAGGCCCAGACTCTTGGTAATTACCACGTGGAGTCAGGGTACTAAACTAGAGAATCTAAGAAGACTTGGAACCGATCATTAATATTACTACCGCTGAATCAAACACGATGAGATGAACGAACAGCATGAAGGGTCGTTAGGTATTTGATCGGTCTGATAGGCCTTGGGCTCCTTCCTAGTCTCCAAACAGTTCTGAATTAACGTAGGGCGGAATGTTACCTACCTGGGCCTCTGGCTTCACAGCTTATCCAAGGCAGTGCATTCCCGAGCATTCCTTTCAAGTTGGACTCTAAGAAGCTACATACTTCCGCATCCGGAAACTGTAAGGAAAAACTCTCTTTCGAGTTGTCAAGCAGGGTTTGTGGCGCCATGAAGAATGTATCCCTTGCCTCCATAGGCATGCGCCGCATCTAGCTCATCGCTGTCTACCTGGGCATTCTCAAACCCCTTACTTCTAGTAGCACAAACCGGCAATAACTTCATCTGACTCTGCCTCTGTGTCATTTCCGGAAACAGCCTATCTTTAAACCCAAAATCGCTAATATAAGTATCTTGTTTAACAAGCACGAAGCTGATTAACGACCTCCTTCTAGCCTTGATGAATCTGTTACCAAACACGGAATAGGTCCATTTGTGAGAAATAATTACTTCCTGACTCGATTAACGCTAGTCAAATGTTCATTTTTCGAAGATTACGACGAAGGATTGAAGAGAGCTTAGTAAGGGATAAGTTCTCTTATAGCCACAGGGCCATCCTTTAGTAGCACATCTGATAGTTTCTTCGTTGATACATGTGTATTCTATAGGATATATGAGTCATGATCCTCACAATTCATGATCCTCACAATCAAAGATTCTTTAGTTATTTAAGTTTATTTACTTTTATGATGATTATTCTTGTTACGGGTAATAATTTACTAGTTATGTTTGCACTGTCTTCGTTTTCGCCGCTCACACATGACTACTATGAGCCTGTTCTGTGACTGAATCAATTGTTTATAGCTCGGCCGTCAATTCTGATGAGTCTCTCAGAGCGGGCTAGACATCATGTCACACATTCATTTCGCGTGCTAAGGTGCGTGAATGTACCAGAGATGTGTGATGATACGACAAGGCTGTCCTGAAGGCTTCTCCTTCGCGATGCAGTATCTGAAGCAGCCGCTGATTTACATGATTATCCAATCCGTTATAGTCCAGGTATCTGAATCCAATAGAAGCTACAAAATTGACTGTAATCATTTCGTCGAATCTTTCCTACATACCTTAGAAATAAACTCTCTGTACAGGATTCGAGACGTCTTACATCGATCTCCAGAACCTAAAGTAATTCACGAATGTATTTCTCTAAAACTCAAGTAACATAATGTTTTAGGTCGTATTATGCCTTGTTCTTCTAGGTCTGTACATAGCTCCTGTGCGAATTACTTGGGGGCGACACTTAATTAAAGACACGTCTATGACGGGACCCAACATGGTGAACATATCATTAATCCTGTACTTGTCTGGAGAACCTGTCTGCTGTGAGGAGTGGTGCCTAGCAGAAGAGACACGAGAGACACATCATGAAACATATTGCCACTTGAGCTGTCATTCATCGTCACTCGCTCATAACATGCTTTCACTTGCGGCTTAGTCGTTCCAGTGCAAGACGTGGATATACTAGGCTTGCGTTGCCATGATTCCCGCTTGCAAAGTCTCCAAGGAGAGCGCACCCGGATGACCTTCGCAAATCCCTCGAACAAAGTGATGGCAATAATCAAGTCTCAGTAATCACGTCTCAACAAGTCTACACGCGGGAACTACGGCTGAGTGAATTCGGTATGGTCTTCTCTGGAAAGTTAATTATGCTGCAGCTGCTAAGTCCCGGCAACTTGAAAACAGCAATGTTGGGGTTTAGGTGTCGTAAATGGTTGATATGCTTGTCACGAAACAAATAGTCGACAACGTGTACTCTTAAGACCGCCTTCACGTTCGGATACTGCATGCTCAGGCTCCAGTAAATTTACCAAGAGCACAGAGAGTGCTATAGGATTGATCTACTATGCTTTGCCTGCACATTACGTGATTCGCACCCTCATTGATTTCCTAGTCCAGCCTAAATATTGTTAGTAGCGTAGATTTATGAAAGCAGTAGGGGGAATTCGAGCAACGACCTGGGCTTTGGAATGGGAATGTCCAAGAGAACAGGAAATGATGAAAAGATTACAGCGGTTAACAGATGCAAGGTACTCAGCATCCTCCATTCACAGTCAAGCTGGCAACGATCCCAAAGAGCACATGGAGCATCCCGTTTGTACGCTTAACGAATACTTCAGAACCGAGTAAGCTAGGTGAGTGATGACAGCGTGTTTCCATGAACAGCATTCGATTACGCCTTGACACTTCTCTGCCGATGAGAGCAAACCATGTGACACGGTCATGAGATGAAGCCGAGATCAGTAGTTGCGCCTGATCCTGCAGTGACAGCTCCCGATCGTATTGCTTGAGGAATATCATGCAGACCATCTCTGCGGACATCAAGTTCGGTGTGTGTCTGAGTTGATAATTGATATGATATGATGGTCTGCAAAGTTGAGCTAAGGGAAATTCAAAGGCATACATTCAGTGACTACAACTCTGTCAGGCTACGGGTGGATGATCACAGGATGATACGCATCAGAATAAGCTATTAGTAGTATGTCGGGTGGAGTCGGGAGCTTTCAATTGATCTGGTTGCTTGAGAATGGCCGGGTGATGCTTCGGCCGAACGTTAGCATTCATTCACTTGACACGCGTAGATGAAAGTCGCAACAGCCAGCTCCTCACCACCACCAGAGACAGCCATATAGACCCAACGAGACATTCCGAATAGAAAGCGTGTCGATGACAAGGAGAATGAGACGGAGACGGGGGCAATATTGGAGATGACGATTTACCGACTCACCGGCAACATGGCGATCACGGCGCCGCCAGCCCGAGGCTCAGCCGTGTCGTGTCGTGTGGAGGCGAAAGAAATCGCGCATGCCACCGACCCGCAAATGCCCATCTCCAACTACACTATCGTCAATCTGGGGTAATTAATCAAGTAATAAGCTGGGGCCGCTCCTATCGATCATCCTATTGTCTTCCATCAAACAACTCTGATGCTCCTATGTGGTCTTCGGTGCTGTCATCGACAATATGCCCTTCTCCCATCACAGCCACTCGGGTCAGTTCTGCCCAGGCCATGCCAAGAATACATTGGAGGAGATGGTCCAAACCGCCATTAGCAGCGGCATGCGCGTGTTCGCCTTGACAGAGCACATGCCACGTGATGAAGTGGATTTCTACCCCGAGGAAGTATGTCGGGACTGTCGTTGAGCGCGCAATCACCAGCTTCTGATAACTGATGCTGCACGCAGGTGGGAAATCAAACCGCCGAGTCCTTGTGGGATCTCATCGATGATTTCTATCAAGAGGCGACACGCCTCAGGATGTGGTATGGTCATCAAATGAAAATCCTGATTGGCTTCGAATCAGAATGGATTCGCAAATCGTCGTTGCGTCTGGTTAGGATGCTGCAGGCGAAGCACGATTTCGACTTCTTCGTTGGCTCAGTACATCACGTGCACACAGTCCCGATCGACTTCGACAAGCCCACATACGATCGAGCCAGGATGGCCGCGGGAGGGTCCGATGAGAAGCTATTTGGGGACTATTTTGACTCTCAATACGATATGTTGAAGGCGCTTGAGCCACAATTAGTTGGTCATTTCGATCTCATCAGACTCTTCAGTGATGAGCCCGATGGTGGTCTGAAACGATTTCCCGGAGTTTGGCAGAAGGTCATTCGCAATTTAAGACACGTCGTTCGCTATGGCGGTATCCTCGAGCTGAACTCTGCCGCGTTAAGAAAGGGCTTGAAAGAACCGTACCCCTGTCTGGAGGTGTGCCAGGTATGTTATGTCAAACGCCAGCCTCGTCCCAATTGTGCAGTCTTGACCATTGCTGAACAGACGTTTCAAATGATGGGAGGAAAATTCGCTATGTCGGACGACAGTCATGCAGTGGATCAAGTTGCTACCCACTACATTCCATTAATGAGGTTCATTGCAAAGGCAGAAATCTCCGCTATATGCCATCTGAACCAAGTAGAACCCCCAGATGATTACGACGAATATGGTGATGATAGCGAAGGCAGTATAGATCGACCACGTAGATGGCCCAAAGCATCAGTATCCTGTGTGTGTGTGGAGGAGCTATTCGAAGAAGCAGTGGATGATTCACCTTCAGAAGATGAAGAGTATCAACAATGAAACAGAAACGATTAGCCTTCAGCAAAATGAAGTTTAACAGCGGTGAAACAGGATCCTTCCCAAGCAAAGGGTACTCCCGTGCAAACCGCGGGCGGCCTGTTCAGGGCGCAGCCTTGAAGGGGCTGTAGATGTTCTGTGTGAGACCCTGTTCCTTCTTGGCGTTGGGGCTGACGAGTCCTGGTCAGTTTCTGACAGATCTCAAGGTTACATGACAGAGGCCAGAGGGTAAAGTAATGTTTGCTGGTCAGAGCAGAAACACTCGGTGCCATCGGAGCCTTTTCCATTCTGGAGAGGTTGACATATTTTGGCAATATACAAACAACTATCAGGGCGCTTTAGACGTCCGCGGGCTTGTTCATCCTAGGTCTGGCAGCGCACATTCAAGTAATGACTTCACGCGCAAGCATCGCTAAGAACTGGTTTAGCGACAAGTGTGACGTGGCGACCTTGCAATCCTCTACCCTGTACATTTAGTTCGACTTCGGCAGACGGTGTACAGATTCAACCGGTGTGCCGAATGAATCTGTTGCGAAAAAAGAAATTAGACTGCCTGGAATCGTATCAAAGTACCAAGCCAAACGACGTGAGTGTCCTTGTCCTATACTTAGTTTAAAACCTCGAGGTATACATAGGATTAACGTGAGCGGTATCGGTGTTATTGGGTATGGGTTACAGCTAAGGTGCTAAGCCACGCGGAGCAGGTTCCGACGAGAAGCCTCACCAGGTATTGGTCATTGACGATGCAAACTTTCCTCTCAGTTCTGAATGCCGGGTGACTTTCCCGTACCATGAGCTGTCTCACTCCATTTTATTTTTCTCACTTAAGCCTGGAAGCAAGTGTGCCAAAACAAATGCCAATACAGCACTGTGGTTGGCTGGTTGAGAGTATGGGCGGAACCGGCCAGTCAGCGGGGTCTACCTTGATCACTTGCAGGTGAAAAATCGCATCATTGTGGTATGAAGGCCTTCAAAGCACATGCACTGCATGATCATGACGTTCTGTGTCTTCATTTAACTCAAGACCTGCATCATGCACGAGGGATGACAAAATCATGTCTTTCGAAGGCTGGCTTACGACGTGTATACACTAGGCACAGTTTTGTTTACGACATAGGAAGTACTGTTCTTCACTTTATTAGTATGAGTCTAGACTCGGCATCACGGCTAAATGTAATCGAGGACAAGCTTTGCCAAGAAGTCTAACATTCTGTATCTGTATCTCTCCTCATTCTTCAAATCACGAAAGGACGCGATCAATTGTGCGCTGTAGAATTATCATTCTGCGGTAGCGCTAGCGAAAGACGATCATGCAGTACGTTTGTCGAGGCAACGTTATATCTATGGAGGTTTCAGGACTACCGCAGCTATTTACTGAATCACTATTTAGATCCTTTGACGTTTTAGATCCGGTGGATCGTTCAACATCGAGGGTTTGTTTGTGTGGAGTTCTGGCTTCTGATACTAAGAGACTCTGTCTCATGTCAACAGCATGACGACTTGTTACTCGAGGTATTTTTCTCTCTTGGCTCATGCAGGCCATCCTGGCTTTGGTCCAGACAGTATGGCTGTCCTTGGTAGCTGGCCTGTACACATCCATGTAGCATGTCCATGTTTAACCCGGTTGCCGTATTCGTTACCATGTAGCACTTTTTCACCTAAAGTCACGACTCAGACCCACCTCGAAGCCGCATAAAGATGCAGTGCTAGTACCATTCTTCTGTCATGGTATAGCCTCCTAATTCTTTCCTCCTGTGGAACCTTGGATTTGGTCTTGGATGTGTCTCCGCCCTCCCCGTAAGCTTGCGGAGAGGAACGGAGATGTTCACTTCTGCAGACCCTATGATATCTACTGGGTACAGCCTGAAGTTTCTACCCAATCTGCATTTTATTGAAGGCGGGTACAGCTCCATCCAAGCAGACCCCTTGTTCCCAAATACTATTCTCCATTATCCATCAGAATTAATGGTACCTTGTCTATCAATGTTTCGATGATGGTCTCCACTTTCCAGTCTCACATCGAAGTCATAAAGGCACCCCTTCTTCGTCGATATTCAGATCAAAATAATACACCTTACTTTGTCCTGTCCTTACAAAAGTCTTTCCTTTTCTCCTTCCTCAACGTTTCAGGAAGTCAAATATTGAAGATTGCTCTGCATCGAGATGGGGGTTCAGAAACAGGTGATCAAGTCAGGCAATAACATGGACTGGCCTCGACAGGGAGACATTGTCACAATGGAATACACCGGATACCTCTACGATCCTTCCCAAGCTGCAAACGGTTATAGAGGGGTACAGTACGTATATCCCACCCGTGAACCCGTAGTTTCTGAGGCTTCCATATTGTTGTCAGACTACTAAAGTTCCACTTCTAGATTTGATACATCAGTTGGCCGAGGAGATCTCACGACGAAGATAGGGGTTGGTCAGATCATAAGAGGTCAGCCCATCCTTTCTATGGTTCAATTGGGATCGTCATCGCCCACCTCTTCAGTCTGACAGATGTATGACAGGTTGGGATGAAGGGATTCTAGGATCTTCGACGGCGTATGGCATGTCTTTGGGTGAGAAGGCTACCCTAATGATTACGAGGTATGAGGAGCAGCACATTCTTGAATTGTTATCATGTCTCATGCTTGTTAATTTCTTTTGTCACACGAAAGTTTGCTGATAATCATCGCAGCGATTACGGATACGGTTCACGGTAAGTTCACTCCTGATGCCCCGCAATGTGTCGGACATATCGATCAGTGGGTAGCGAAGATATCCAGTTCTATGCCAGCAACACATTAGAAGACGCATCTCGGTCAATGCGAGGCTCAATTTCTACCTTATCGCATGTCGACCATGACATCTAGCTAATGCATCACCTCGTAGAGGATTCTTAAGAGCCATCCCTCCCGACAGTTCCTTAATCTTGTAAGTTGAACCAGTACCTACTCACTTCCGGCACTTTCTCCGCAACTTCCCAATCTGACCGTTGTTGTCCGTACTCGACTTGTCCTAATCTCCGTATGCATCGCTGACTTGTTACACTCCAGCGACGTCACGTTGAAAGCCATCAACGGCAAGCGAGCCTATTGGATCTAAGTGCCATGATTTGGCGGTAAGATGGCGTTGCTGCATGTGCGGGCCACAGCAAGCCCATCGAATCACTTTAGACTCAGTTTTCCACAGCGAAAGATGTCATCAAAACAATAGAATTCGATACATTCCTTTATGACTTAGATCTATTTCACGAAGCAATCGAGCTTGACCGAGATTTCAATCCATTTCACCGCCTCTCTGTACGATTTCTGCCCAGAACATTTCGCTGCACGACATATGCGTTACACATCTGTATAGATAGCCGAGATATAACATGGGGACGCGGTTGTAGGCCCCCAAGTATACAGGCCATGGCGTACAAAGTTGGTTGGATGCCTCCGTCAATGTATCAGTATGAACTTTGCGGTTACTCCAAGAAAACAAAATGCAATTACTTTTAGTATACATTCATCCTTCCCATATTTAATTACGTCTCCGGCTTTTCGCTGACGCGCCTCTCACAGACACAATGCTACACATATCCAACATATTCTACCCGGCAAACCGGTTCCGAGCAGTATTAACCCTGACTAGCAGCAACTTATGGGCTAATCGTATACACGCACGACACACCCAGATGCGTTGCTAGTGGCGATGAGCATACTCATCCCAACTCCTGGATCATGGTAGTCGTGTTGGGTGCGCTTCTCGATGTGACCCCATGAGCACAACAGATCGGCTCGGATTGCGACGATCACATTGTTCGTAGACTGTCCATGAAGCTCTAATGTTTGTACCAGAACCACCTGATTCTCATAATATCGATTTTTCAAGACTGCACAGCAATTACCGCTAAGTAATCGGCGACTGAGGTTTCATGCACAGTATAGGGGACCTTGGTATGGAGTGCCATAATGTAAACCCTGTTCTTAACAACGGCACTACATGAACGCCCGGCAGAATGGCCCCGATAGGGCTGTCCCTTTGTAATGCGAGGGTAATAGGTGGAGGATTTAATGGGATAAACCAAAGTAGGGTTCGGAACAGAATACGTGCAAGAGAAGCAAAGCAGCTTTACGGCTCCTCCATCGAGATTTCGACAATGGATCTCGACCTCGTCACGGGTTACGAACCATTACATGGGTGGTCGTTCGCCGATCTGAAGAGATGAGCCGCTGTTGTGACCGATAGAGCATGAATTACACTCCACTAATATACCTGGGATGCCCGAATAGCTACCGCAAGTCTACGGTCGTGTCCGCGGGGATACAAGGGCTGGAAGCCATTGCCGGGCCAATCTGATCACGACCTGACTCGCGCACGGTAGAGTGTTTTGGCTATGTATGTCCTTGCGTCGAGACGGGTCTGCGATTCAAGGATTGGAATTGTGAAGGTTACATTGAAGCATATCCTTGCTGCTATATTTATGATCCATGAAGCGAAGAACTTGGATCTTTTAACGTTGTCTACTGTAGCGTTGTCTACTGTAGTCGCCATTGTACCCATATTGAAATTATCCCAAACCACAATGACCCCCAGGACACCGATTTTACTCCAAGTATGCAACCAATTACATTGCAGAGACATGTTTAGACAGGATCAGACGAAGTAAGGCAAGACGCTAGGAAGCAGGATGTGAGGACTCAGGGCGTGATCCTGGGTCGGCAACCTGAACGGTGAATTCTGAGAGCTTTTGCGACGTGCAAAGAAAAAAAGGAATTCCTCGAACCTACTACCCGGTGCGGGTATTCGTGCTATAACATTCAAGGCAATATTCATTAGCGTAGCAAGATCTTAGCCATCTCGTTAGCGCTCATCTATATATAGTCATTCTATTAGAGTGAGATCTAGGCCTAGATAGGTAGCAGGAGATATCCTGACTAGATACAATCTATACGTTATTCCGGTGAATTCTTTTTATAAGCAGATAAGACCTTCCCATACCACTCACGCCACTCCAACGAGTATTGCCCTGAATATCATGGTAACAAGAGTCCTAGGCATACTTGGGGCAATTAAGCACTTGAAGGAGTCACACTATACGCTACTACCCTTGCCGAAGCATCGCAGGCGCCAAAATACGCGGAAAACCTTATACTGAGTAGCAGTTTGCTGCAAGACCCTGGCGCACTGCGCGGGAATGTAGGATGATGGGACCGAGGCATGGAGATCCGGGATCCTCTGTCGATGTCTGATCGATAGTATAGTCTACACTCCTGACGTGTTGTGTGATGCAACATTGATGATGGATCCACTGATTGGTACAGCCGAGCGACGGGCCCGTTCCCGGTGTCTTGGATAGGTGAGCCAGAACAAGAAGGCGAAGCGAAAGGCCTTACGACCCGCAATAATGCCCCCAAAAACAGGGAGTAGGTTGCGGGAAGTCTCGTGGGAAACTGAGCAGTAGGGTGCACCGTTCGACCATGGATTTGGAAATCGAAGATCACGTCAATGAGGCCGCTGCATGGAATATGGTTGTTTACAGCCTGGCTTTCATTGACATCAGGCCAGTACCCACGCTCGGATGGTCCACGAAGTACGACTGTTTCCGTGATAAGGCTGGTGTTGTGATTCTATGGTTCAAACTTGGATTCGGTGCCATTTCGATCCATTCATGGTCTGCGACTTGCCATAGTTACAGCACAACAATAGTTAAAAAAACAAGTCTATCCATAGGGCCACGCTAGTTTGATTGACAGTTCTTAGCTTCATGGCCTGATCGATCCATAGGATTCTAACCGTCGGGCCGGTCGCCACACCCGGTGCCGGAGAACTGGATCGTAAGTTCACGCTCAAACAAACAATACTCACTAGCTCGACTGATTGAGCAGATAATCTAATCTATTGCTAAACGCTCCTAAGACCAGGGATCCATGCCCTGGTGCAAAGATGTAGCTGTCATAGGTAGTAAGCAGTGTGATATAATATCGAAAGCGACATGCTTTTGTCTCGCGAAACGCGGCTCACAGGACCGAGTCACAGATCGATACTCAAGTCGTCAATGCAAGCGTTTTGAGGGATTTGTATCGGCTTATACGTGACTGTGGCAAGGCTGAGGAGTATTGCCAGAGCACATAGTTCAGTTCATGACACATCGTGTTGACATGGCCATCTTCTTGGTTAAGCTTCCATTTACATGGCAGTCAACGTATCAACGTGGTGTCTTTGATAATCCCATGGGACAAAAATCACGTAGCCCGTGCATGGATGCAAGTCGTTCACTATGGACCGATGTTGAAAGCATTAACGCGGGTTAAGGGTGACCCCTGGACGCTGGCGAGCGATTAGTCGACGGCGTTGTAGTCACTCTAGATGCGTTAGCTAGCTCGTCTGAATCCTGGTTCCTGGCAATGTATGGCGGGGACTCCCAACAAGTGTACAATGGAGCTAATGATGCGTATGGCAAGATGTCACACCTTTAGCTGCATGTAGGCGCATCATGCCAAGACTTCCGATGTCGAGTTCGTGGCTACTATATGCCTTAATTTTCGCAGTCCTAAGTACTGAAGAGGCAATGAAAAGGGGGAGGAATATAGAAGGAAAGAGGAACATTGAGAGGTATGTATGAATGTATATACTACGTGAAAAACTTCAAGTGTGCAGCCCTTGCTGCGTGCTGTGTTCTCTTCACGCGCGTGGGTGAGATACATGTGCGTTTTATTGTATCTGTACTATAGACAAGCAAGACACGGTGCTTCCGGGTAACGTTGCTTATAACGCTCAGCTTTGTTGATCGCACCAATCCGACTTCGAGCTGGGTCGGCGCCAAAGTTGAAATCTCATGCGGTTTGTACTGTCAGATCACAGAATACAAGTGTGTTCGTATGATTCATTGGGTAGCCTGATAACAGTGGTAATGCCTATCATGACAAGCATGGACTCCCTTAGGAATGCGACAAGCGATTGTAGCCAGCCCTTCCATAGAGAATGTCGGAGTCTAGGAGTGTTATTGTGTCTGCAGATGATGCCAGATGGCGTGAAAACTCTCATGTGGATGTAAGTGTAAAAAATGCTAGGTGAGAACTTTGAAATGCCGGTCACGGCCGGGACCTGACCACAATGACTATGATCACTGTCTCGTGGTATTTATGAGGTGGTCAGCCGCCGTGTAGATGCTAAATGCATAAGATTTTACACTGAGGTCGGTAGGGAGAGTAGTACCATTAGGAAGCGTCCATCTGGGGTGACTTAGTAGGGCAAAGGGAACAATCGTAGCCATAAGAACACTCTATATGCCAAACATATCATGCCGGTTCTTGCCAGGATTTGCCCAGAGCTTCGGATACTTGGTGGTCGGTCCAGTACCAAAGGTTCTTTGCCAAGTCTTTATTTTGCGCAGTGGTGCTTGTTTCATACTCGGTTGCCACTGGTACGAAGTACTTCCCTCGTAATTGCTGTTTCTCGACTTCAGGACTTGCAGCCAGGAAAATCGCTGTGGCGGCTCCATCTTCTGGAGATTGACCGACGAATTCAACACCGCTCTTGATGACCTTCCCAGCAATACTACCCAGCATGTTCTTCCACGTGTCCATTGCTTCGGTGGGAATGTTGCCTGGAAAGTAGCTGTTGACGAAGACGTTGGATGAGCCTTTCTTTTCAAGCAGCTTTGCTAGTTCACGCGTGAATAGGATATTGGCAAGCTTCGATCGCCCATATCTCCAAACATTGTCAAAGACAGCTGGAGATTTGACAGGTTGGTCAGATCGCAAAAGTGCTAGGTCGAGTTCCTGGCAAGCTAAATGCAGTGATGACGAGGTGATCACGATCCGCGCAGAGCCATACTCTGCTCCGGTCGATTCAATCAGTGGAAGTAGGAGAAGCGTAAGTACGTAATGGCCGACGTGGTTCGTCGCGAAAACAGACTCGATACCTTGTGGGCTAAGGGAACACCCCGAAGAAGGAGGTACGCCTACATAGAATAATTAGGTACAAATACAACAGCGTTGAAGCCGAGAACATACCAGCATTGTTGAACAGGATGTCTAAACGATTTAGTCTCGATCGTAAAATCTCCACACTCCTTTTCACGGCATGAATGTCGCTGAGATCACATTGCACAAACTCAGTGCGGTTCTCCACATCAGCAGCTTTTAACCCTTTTTGGTTCACCCATTCCGAACGTGCAGCAGTAAAACGCTCTTCCGATCTAGCGAGGACATAGACTTTAGCGATGCCGTGGAGGAGTAGTTGGGCAGTGATCTCTCGACCGATACCAGCCTGGCCACCCGTGACGACGGCCGTTTTACCGGTAAGATCTGGAGTGTCTTGGAGCTTGAACTTGCGGTGACTAATGAGGCCTGACATCGTTAACAGAGATATTGGATTGTAAGCGGGGAGATTGGCAAGTGGATTGTACATGTTGCATACTTTGGAGACGTAGTCCTTGGAGACTTAGTGTTGCTGAGGTGTTATTTTCTTCCTTAACCTCCCCACATCCGGATTGGTCAATGCATGACGTAGCGTATGTAGGCCTCAGGCATTAATATCACTCTTGGTCAGTTCTGGGTCTGAGAGAGAGAGAAATGGGTTAAAACTCAACAGACAGCTCGTAGCATTCAGAGGCTGAAGCTGATATACCTAGTCAGCTGACTGCATTTCACGGTCCTACTATAACTGTATCATGAGACTGTTCAATTAGCCCGTTGCTGCGAGATTCGAAGAGCATTGACAGGACGAAAGGCAGGAAAGACTATATAGTCTAATGAATAGATTGCACGATATATACAAATGCTGTGCCCCACTCAAATTTATAATTTGTACTTCACTCACGTCCCAACGCCATGCTATGCTTTCATCACCAAACCATTCAACATGCAAAATTAACAGCCTGACGGGAGAGTGTAGTCTTCAACACGGTTGGTGCCAGTACCGCGCGATGCATTGACACCGAGACCACGCTTGGCGAATGCCTTCCAAAGGTCGCATTTATTGGAGCCACCGGTAAGGTTGGCGTCAGCGTCGATGATGGCATCACGAGCCTGGACAAAATTTGGATTGCAAGGTTGGCTGAAAGCAATGTTAGTCATGGGTGGGTTCACAATGGAAAGGTAAAGATACTTACAGTGCCATACCGTCAAGGACGAGCTTCATGCTCAGATATCGGCCGTCGGTGGGCACGCCGTTGGAGTAGACTGGTGTCTGGCTAGCGGTGTTACCATGCTTATCGATCAAGTTCCACATGACCTCGTAAAGGATTGTTGCCCAGGTGGTCCCGATGGCGTGGACTTCATTCTGGCTGTTCAAGGACTTGTAGGTGAGAGGATTGGTAGAGAGAGAGGTTGAGTAGAGGTATTGACGGATACCATTTGCCTTGCCACTGACCCAAGCACCGAGCGGCATGTTGGTGCTGCGGCTGTCGGACGTCTTGGTGTCGATTGCAAGAGCGTAAAAGTCACTCCAGCCCTCGCCCATACCGCCAGCTTCGGTGGCGCTGAGGCAATTTGAGTTTGCTGGGCCGCCAGTTAACCTGTTAGATAGACCATGTGTGTACTCGTGAAGGACGACACCGGCCTCGAAGGAGCAGTCCCGGTTTGGAGTTGTGCTGGTCCACATGTACATGCGCATGCGACCATTTTGGCCATCGGGAGGGGTGGCAAAGTTAGCATTGTTGGTTCCCGATCCGTCCTGGGCGTTGAGAATGACAAAGTCATTACCGCTTCCACCTTGATTGTTGTTATTGCTCTCAAAGTTACCCGCCTTCTCAGTGAACCCGAGTTGGTAAAGCAAATCGTGGTAACGATTAGCCGTGTAGAACAGCTGCGTGACTGAGGCGTTTTGGTACACCTTGTTGTCTGTCTCCTGAAGAGAGTATGGGAAGTCAAAGGTCAAGGAGCTGCTGCCGTCCGGGCGTGGATCATTCAAGTAGGAGGTATCACCCTCATAGTTCACCTGAGCAATGGCATTGTTGCCACGAGTAGTGGTGTAGGAGGTAGAACCAGTACTGTGCCACCCAAATTCAGAGGCGGTACCATCAGCAGGATCTTTGACAAGTGTACGTGACCCCTTGGTAGGGTCATTGACAGTCCATGGGTATACGTTGTAAGTGGCATCAGCAACGTAGTCCGCGACACCGTGCACCCGTTCGGTGTTCTGAGCATCGACGTAGGAGAGTAGCCAATTATCATAGATATCCGTCTCCACTCTCCATGTCAGCTTTAGGGAACCATCCTCACCCTGGAAGTAGACGAGCTTGGAGATGGGATCTGATACAGCACCAGAGCTGCCTTTGATAGTGTAGGTCTCCTTTTCTTGTTGAGCTTCAGCGGTAGCAGATGAAGCATCGACGGACAACTGTAGAACATTGTTTGCGCCAGTCAACGCGGACACAGCATCCACGAAATCACGCTTCTGAAGTGGACTCTCAGCAGGGATGTCACCTTGGAAAAAGGAGTGTCCAAACGATAGAATGGATCCATCCTTAGCGATCTGCAGGTTGTTAGCTTACGAAAGAAAAGGAAGTGATCGGGCCTGACTTACGTTGATGTTGAAGTCAGCATTGTCGATGTCTAGATCATGAGCAGTCTGCCTGACGTGGATGTGTGTGATGCCACTGTCACCAGTGTAGTAGTCAGGGACTACACGGAAGGAGGCGTCAGGAAATGTCTTCTTGACAAGTTCCGTCGCAGTCTCTACCGCGTCTGCTCGTTTCTGTATGCTCCCATTGATGTTTTCCTCCCGAACCTTCTCGTTCTGGGTGTACTGGGCCTTAGCTGGGAGCCTGAACTTGTTCAAGTCAACGGTACGCCTCTGGATGTTAGCAGCGGCAGGGCGCTCGACGTCAGTCCGGAAGGGGTGAGCGACGACACCAGTCAAGAACAAAGACACTGCAAGGAGGACTGGCTTCACCATATTGATGCTTGGTTCCTGGTGTAGGTATTTTGAAATGAGGCTGGAGGCTGAAAATTAATTCGACGGCCATCTTGCACTATTTAAATGAATGTTGGCTCCTCTGGGAGGCGATATGCTGCGAAGTCGTTGACAACGCAGCTGCCTGTTCCAGGTAGGACAATGATCAGATCTGAGCATCTTATGTGTGTACCCAATCTAGATAACGCATTCATAATTGGGGGGCTTGCGGCTGGAAAGTAGGGGATAAAGGTGACATCCGTAGGAAAACGCCCTGCTGGTGTCGAGATGCCAAGGAGGGAGATCGATACGCTCCACTATGGATTACTTCCAGGCTTCCTATCTGGTCGAAAGCTCGAGGGATGAAAAACGTGTGGACACTGAGCCGACACCCTCATTCTCGATATGTGATCGTCGGTTATGATGCCAAGATTGGTAGCGGACAGATACTTTGTATCCCCTAGCCTAATGGGGCAGGTTGTGAAGCAAGCTGGGCGGCCCGTCGGAGAATTCTTGGCATCTTTGAGGAAATACTGTATCCGGTGACTACGGCAATCATGTCTGGCAGATGACGTTTCTCATTCGGGAGGTGGCTCAAGGAGTAATGTCTTGCGATAGGTAATTGTTTTGATTGCCGCCGCTTAGCGGACTAGAGATGCGACCTCATGAGTGGTCCACGGGCAGGGCCATACAAGGCAGGTGTGTCGCGACCAATCTTTTCGAGCTTCGGCTCCATGCTATGCCCAGGGTAGATGATAAGCAGGTCTATACAGCCTATGTTACATTCCTATTCGACTGTGGCGGCGGAATCAGATGGCGGGCGCTCGCATGCTGTCCTTCTTGAATCAGCCTCATCAGTTCCAGGCGGGCTGCCAGGGTGGGGCAGGTAGATCGCCAGCAGGGAGATCGGCATCAACATCGCGTGCTGGGAATCGTGGGTCGTGTATATCTCCGTGAAGACCAGCTACAGCGCCAAGTTGGGAGATTTGTGTGATCGATGTAGGGCACAGAGTAAAACCGTACCGCTGAATCGATGACAGAGTCCGATGGGCATTCGAGTAAGCGAAATGATGATAACTAGAGAGTAGCACTGCAGGTAAGACACCAGACTGAACCTCGCCTCGGCGGGCAGGGCTTGTATTCAAGACCTCGGCATGCATTGATAGTATGGGCACCCGCAAGTACAAAAGATATCAAGTACTGTCTTTTTGCTCCCGGGTGAGTCAATCAATCATAACCGCTGATGTTCGCAGGATTTCGTGTAGGCGATGATATTATACCGTTGTACGTAGTCGATCGAGTATGAAACTGCAGCTTTGACGATTTGATCAGATCGATGATAGTGCGTAGGTAGTGAGATCTGGATCTATTGTCCCAAAACAAGCTCTGGCCCCTGTTGTACCTGCATGCTGCCAAGATGAATTCTCGCCGAATGCACGCCGCAAGGCTTCTACCAGTCGACAAAGCTTGCGTGCATATACGTAGCATTCTTCTGAGTTTCTTGTTGAAGTCATGATGTCAAGCAGTACAAAGACAACAGTTACGACCTCTTGTGGGCATTTCTTATCTTGTACGTTATAGCTCAGAGTCTCAGGGTGCCGCACTCGCGCTACGGAGCGGAGCGTGGTGCGTGGTTTCAACGGCCAGCGCATCTTGAAGGATGGATCGAATTAGATATATTCTGAAAAGTCTGAGCAGCAAAATGATCGATGAAAAGTTATGTAGCCATGCCCCATCGCCTCCCATATATTTCTTTCCAACGCCCTGCGATATTGACGTGGCACCAAGAATGAAACCTGCCTCGTCGTCCGTCGACCAACTACTCAAACTTCGCATAAGCCAGCTCGTAAGCCAATGCCAGAGTTAGCTTCGCATGCTGTAGCATATGGTCAAACGAAAGGTACTCAATTTTGTCCTCTGTAGTGTGGATCTTGTTATCCGAATACTTGAAATCACTTTCAATCACGAAAGCACTTGGATATCCCGCTTTGCTCGCACTCGCATGATCGCTGCATGCATATCCACACTTCGTCAGCACAAATGGAATATCGCAGTAATCTGTGATAACCTCTTTAATGAACTCTGTGAGCCCAGGGTCCACAAAGTCGGTGATGACACCGACAGACTCGGGCTCGCCGGCGTCGATAGTCTTCTGGACGTAGCCCGTCATATCTTGCTGTAGCATGGCCTTCACATCACGGCCCTCTTTCTGGTAGGACTGGAAGATAGCTTGGGAGCCGAGGAGGCCGCCTTCCTCGGCTGAGTACCACTGGAACTCGAGTGTATTTTCGGCTTTGCCAGCAAGGATGTCTTTGTCGGTAAGGAGAACACGAAGAGCTTCCCAGATGGTGACGGTGCCGGAGCCATCGTCGTCAGCCCCAGGAGCGGCAAGGAGCGAGGGCAGGAAAAGGTTGATGGAGTCCTGATGAGCGCCAATGACGACTGTCTTCTCGCTCTTGCCGGGGATAGTCACTATCAAAGAGTTCTGCCCCCACGGGTGCGGAAAGTGTACGGCCGTGATGTTGTGGTCCAGCGCGCCTGCGTCTTTGAGGGTTTGAGTTACAGACTCCAGCAGCCATGATGAAGACTGTGCGCCGTAGGTAGACTTGTAGTACCTAGTATGGAAGGAGGTGAATTTCTCCAGGTGCTTACGCATGTTGTCCTTCTCTAGCTTCTTTATCATGGGCGAGATGGTGTCGTTGTATGCAGTCTTGGACGGAAACTTGACTTTAGCCATAGTTGAGGAGGCATCGTTGAAGTCGCGATGGTTTGTGATGTCGAAGAAGTTCTGTCCGGCCTAAAAGAGGTGTTAGCATAGAGTCAAGCACGCGAAAGAGATGAAAAGAACCTTGCGCAACTCCCACTTCTCGTCCTCTGTAATCCATCTCGTATTGCCTGGTGAAAGCTCAACAAGGAAGCGCTCATTGCTCTGGAGCGGGACTTGACCTGGTCCCTGAATTGAACGGGCATAAGTACCAGCCGCAAGGCAGGCTGGAAGAATTAAAGAGGCCTTCATAGTCGGCGATTATGCGGGCGTGAACAAAAGACGGTGGTCGAGCTTTCAACGCTGGATCTCTTATGATTCAGGTACCTGGTAGTTACCTGCTAGGTACTATGGCGATGATGACGCAAAGGAGGCTGGGCGGGTGCCCGGAGGTCGGCCCTCCAGCTCCACTGTAGAAGGTTTGGAAGACCCCGGCCGAGGGACCACACCGCTTTCGTTGTTTTGACAACAGACATGCGCTTGCACCACCCGTCCTTCCGTGACTTTCATACTCATACTCCTGATACTATGACACAAGGATTGAAAGGACTGCAAATAGCGCCGGAGCCGTGGCCAGCATGTCAGAGCCTTGAGATGCGAATTCCTCTTCACCTTTCCTAGATCGAGGCGCCTTGAATTAGTGGCAAAGTAGATCTTGACCGAGCTAGTATCATCCTCTACTGAAGACATTCGATCTTTGATATTCCATGGTCTATACAAAGACCATGAGCGAATATCTCATTCTTTGATCTGCATCTCAAGCGCCTACAGAGCCTTTTCGGTGAGAATCAGTTTTCTGCCTGGTAGGCTTTCGAGTCTGAGAACAACATCAAGTCTTTAACATATGCGAACCATAGCTACCTAGCAGCAGTATTGAGTTCGTCCGTATGCTCTGGTAGACCTCATTGATTTGTCGCTATGCAGCTTCCACGCTTCAAAGCTCCATTGCCAAGATCAAGGTAGTCAGCCCCAGGCGCGAAAGGTTCTGAGCGAGGTTTCAGCAGTTCTATCATCATGAGCCATTGTTGATAGCGGTCTGGTATATCAAGTGTGACGCCGACGCCCTTCACTTGCACAGATTATAGATAACGGAAAGGAGTACGACGGTCCACAAATGGAAAGACGGTGAACAACCCATGCTAATGAAAGCAGCTCACTTCGTCTACCCTGAAGGCTGAATATCCATCTAGATACCAGAACATATAGCCGGCCGCGTAAATCATATCTTCTCTCGAGAGAAGTCTTGAAGATAGTCTTGCCCATACGACTGATCGAGCTAGCTTGACAAATCCATGCCCGTCCTCCATCGGATGAAACACATGCAGCCATGGCCATTCACTCGACCCTAGGTAGTAATCGATCGGGTACACCAGAAAGATAAAAGGGATTTCAACTAAGTCGATGACGAGGTAGAAAGACTCAATGCCAACCCTGTGTGATTGGGAGTGAGGAAATGCAACTGCCTAGTGAGGCGTAAGAGAAGATGAGAGCGCTCGCATATGGTTGAGCGTTCATGAATAATAGATTGTGAACTTTGGCCGTCTCTCCTTCAAAGCAAGAGCGAGTTTATGCAGTGGGTTAGGCGCTAAGTGGTTTCAGCATTGTTGAGGTCACTACGGGAATCTCCTGAACGTTAAAAAGCATGAGGTCGACTTATTGAACATGACACAATGCAACGTTCTTGAGACAAAAAGCTTCGGCTTGTTGTCGGGGTGTTGGGCTCGTAGGGCTCCAGTCTTGATAGACAACGTACAGAAAATCTTTAAGCATGCTAGGGTGAGATGCCGGCACTAGCCAAGTGAATTCAAGGAGATCGTGGAATTGAAGTTTGACCTGCCTACCTGTTTCGCAAAATTTTCGCATACAGGTCTTATTTAATCTTCTCGTCAACTTCTCGTTGCTCTCTATACCTGTTTCCCCGCCACTTCGGATTCTACATTCGTTCCATTGTCTGATCGCACGTACAGTCCATAGCAGCCGACACCGACGTGGTCAATAAATTCTCAGAACATCCAACATGGCGCCTAGCGATGATGGGTTTGGTCAGTTGCTCGAGACGGGCGAATACAGTGACTGTATCATTGTATGCATAGGACCTGAGGTCAACTACGAGTTCAGAACTCATAAATCTGTCGTCTGTTGCCAATCGCCCGTCCTAAGAGCGGCTTTCAATCGCTCATCCATGGCACGTTTGCACCGACAGTCGAATAGGAACAAGGCTGACCTGGTCTAGGAGAATTCTCCCGACACCATACTCATCGAGGACTATGACCTGACTACGGTTGCACACATGATGGACTTCCTTTACAAAAAGTCATATAGTGTCAATGTCACCGACGTTGACGACAAGGTAAGAATGGGCATCCACGGTTGGAGCAAAAAGTGAGCTTACTCAAGATGAGGATATTTCCAACAAATTGATCCAGCACATCCGCGTCAATGCTATTGCGGAATGCTACAAGATCGAGCAGCTCAAGTCGCTCGCGAGCTCCCAATTTCATTCACTTCTAGAGTCCTCTTTCACAATTACCGGGCTAGCCCACGTTATCACCGAGCTCAGCGCAATAAACGAGACGTCGATGAAGGCAGATCTAGCGTCCGCCCTGTCAAAGAACCCTGCGAATGCCGTGAAGTATCTATCAGCACAAAGAGGCAAGGTCGACGAGCTTTGGTTCTATGTATTGCTCTGCTTCGGGCTGGAGCATGGGGCGATACAGTCGCATCTAGATAAGACGCAGGCTATGCTCTCACATGAGGAGACTGAGATGGAGAATGTCAGAAGTAAGCTTTCAGAGGTGATGACTGAACTGTCCGACGCCAAGGTTGAGCTATCAAGCACAAAGACTGAGCTTTCAGATCTAAAGACTCTGTATCATGTTACTCAGTCACAGCTACAAAGGCTTGAAGCCGCGCTCTTGACCAAGGAGACCCAGCTTTCCACTACAAATGCTGGACTGGCGCACTCAAAAAACGATCTTTCAAACGTGGAAATCTTGCATTCAAGGGAGCTCACAAAGGTGAAGGCTCAGCTCGCGAATGTGAAAGTCGAACTTGCGAATACGACAGCGAAGCCAACGAGACAAAACGCTTCAAGGCAAGGATTGACCGCGAATCAAAAAGACGAGTTGGCGGATTTCAAAGCCTGCGTGAAAAAAGTCAACGATACAAACGAGTGTCGACACTGTGGTGAGAGCTTCAAATGGCGCGTCGACGGTGCTCTCAATTTGCGTTGCGGAGCCTGCACAACACGAAACTGATATGAGCGTCGCTCTCGTTTGAGCAGATTAATTTCTCTCTCTTAAGATAAAGGACTATGCTACATGGGTTAGGGAGTGGGCTTGCAGGATGATACTGTGACGACTCAAATGTTGGACGGATAGCATTGAAGATAGATCCAGCAATCACAAACACGTAGACCCAGCGAAGGCAATCTAATATTCTGTTTCAGTACTGCTTAGGTCTTGGGACTGGGTTCCCAGGGAGCAGCCTTACAGTATGTATCTCACGACACTGTGACACTTTGATCATAAAGCGGTGCCACAGTGCTTCCCCGTGGTGAAGTGAAGACAATCTGAATTGTTCATTGTTGTTGCCATTGCCGTCGACGCGGAAACCCTCAAGACGCGTCCTACCCATGCACTGTACGCGTGGTGGCAAACGGCGAAGTAGCTAGTTCGTAGGTCGTTCGCAATATTCATTTTCTTAAAGATAGAGTTAAGCAATCCCTCAGCCTGTCAGTTCATGACTCTACACCCAAGTTCAACAGAGTTAGAATCAGATCTTCTTCGCAACACGAGTTTCACATCCTCTCAATTTGACGAGTTGGACATGATGGTTTCAACATCGTCACTGGAAGTCTTTAAACAGCTTCTCAAAACTGGCGACTACAGTGACTGCACGCTGGTATGCGAGGGTCGTGAGTTCAAGACTCATAAGTCCGTAGTTTGCTCACAGTCACCTGTACTAAAGAAAGCACTCGACGGTTCATTCAAGGTTAGTAATACCTTCCGGCTTTAGCAATGTTTCCGGTACCGGTACCAAAGTATTTATAGGAGGGCATCACAAATGTTGTCAACATCGAGGCGTTCGACGTAAATACGGTTGAGTGCATGGTCAACTTCCTATACACTGGAGACTACAGCGTCGACATGTTTGTAGAAGAAGAGGTAACCGAATCCCGGGTCGATCTGGGAGGACGCAAGTCCAACCTAATCATGAACATCAATGAAGGTATTGACGGTGTCATGTCGGGACTGGCAGAGACGCATCTAATCGATCTAGAGGATCCTCCGGACCTTAAGTCAGTCGATATATCTGCTATGCTTCGACCGCATATATGCGCCAACGCTATTGGCGATTTCTACTTTCTCCCAGACCTGAAAGCTTGTGCGTCAAAGAAGATCGAAGCCATTCTGAAAGATACCTTCAGCGTCCAAGGTTTGGCCGAAGTCATACGTGTAGCCTCTGAAGTCAACCACGACGATCCTATGAAGCATCTCGTTATCGACGCAATTGTGAAGAATATACATGAGGTCATGGAGGACGAGACGCTTAACAGATCTGAACTGGACGCTTTTCCGTTGGACTTGATCAAGAGTCTCTATCAACGACTACAAGCGACGGAGACCGAACTACGCAGATACAAAAAGGAGTATAGAGCATTTTTGTCCACGCAGGAAGATCTGGTAAAGCTCAGGGCTGATCATCAACATTTCGAGACCCAACTCACGACCGCGCTGACGCATCTTCGCACGACACGCCAATGCAGGAACGTAAACTGCAAACGTGACTTCGCTAGTTACCTTGAATGGAATGGGTCTAGCGATTCGCCTTGTTTTTTGTTGCGCTGTCAGAGGTGCAGATGTAAGCACTGAGGTGTAGACAGCGTGTAAGTAGCGTAGCATGGCCTCATAAGCTTGAACGATAGAGTGTCGCTTTATCGGGAGGAGCGACTTTGTGTGCGAAATTGCACTATGAGAAGTGGAATTACTGCAGATTAAGGGGATCCTGAGTGCGTTGGATAGACTTTGATCGGAACGGGACGCTACAATTCATCATAATGTTGGTATGCCACGACATTCTAGCTCTCCCGTCAATTTTCATCCAAGAAACCCTGAAAGCAGTTATTATCACAATTGGCACATTAGCCGGTCAGAACTAGACGTCCGTAACAATGATACCACAATCGTCCAGCTTATGGCGTAGTTTTCTCAAGCCTTTCGGTGGCTTCACCTTGCTTTCACTCTCACTCAACTCAACGTTGAATGTTTTCAATGCAAGTAGCACCTTGTCCTTCTCATCCCAGTCCGCCAGTATCCAGTCAAACATCTCAATGTCGCTCTTCCTCGCTCTCAGTAACAGATTCTCGAGTGTCCTCGGTAGAGATTCGAGAAAGGGCAGCATTTCATCTTCCTCCTCAGAATCCACCGGACTGTTGTTGTCTGACTCGTGAAACATCCGTACATCCAAGCTCAAACGCTTTAGTTTGGTCATGCCTTTCATGTCACGTATGGAAGCCTCAATAATTCCAGGTTCGTCTGTTCCAGGAGTGTGCAAGTTTAGCACCTCCAGCCGGTCACCACAACCGTTGATCAGGCCTTCCATTACCTCTCCTGGTGCCCATGCATATCCACAGCCGTGCCATTTGACATCATGCGAGTATTCGAACGACCGTAGGGCTGGAAGGCGTGATGTGAGATTGAATGCTTCGTCGCCTCCAAGTATACAGCCTTGTAGTGTAACTTCCGAAAGGTTAACGCTGAACTGGTCGAATTGTGGCTGGAACGGGAAGCCAGTGTAGCCGTCATCGAGCGCAATGAGTCCTCGTGCAGTCCATTGCTTCATGCTATTGATCGCGATGAAAGGGGTCACGGAGCTCATGAAGGGTCGAACGTCATGAGCGATTTCGCACCATGGGATCAGGCGCTCCAACTTCGCTAGAGATGCCACTTCAATTGACCGTGCCTTGTTTGCTTGTGTGGCGATGAGTCGTAACACGCGGCCCGCATCACAGTCCGCCTCGACGACTTCGTCGTCCCGGATACGCTGAAAGTACTTCTCGGGGACATCGGTCCATTCGGAAGGGAGACATAGCTCCTTCACGTTAGGAAGTAACGTCAGGAGGCACACTTCAGCGTGAAACTCCCCAACATCCTTCATGGCGTCGAGCCATTTGTCAATGTTCTGACTCGCTTGCTTCAAATACCAATTCTGATCCAATAGCTTGCGCAGCGCTCCTGTCTCGGCTTCCCTCCGCCATAGGTTCTCCCTGGTCTTTTCCAATCCACCATAAACGTTATCTCGAGACCATATTTCTTCCCCAACGTGCAATTGGTCACTGTTCATGTCGAGGTAACGTATATAATCTAAAATCTCAGGCTCACGGGCAACTTTGGACAGGAACTCAGACGCCTTTGTGGATGGTACTTCGTCACGGCGGACGAACTCCGCATTCCGTTCAGGAGGAAAACATGCAAATTGATATCGGTGAGTCATCTCCATATGATGATCCACTCGGAACTCGCCTATGGTAAACAGCGACTTGCACGTCATCATGAATGCAACGTAGTCATCTGGAGGCAGTTCACTTATAAGTAGTCGGAATATGTCAATTGGTAGGTCCATTAGCCCCTTTCCGTGCTGTGTAGCATTGTAGGCGCTTGGTGTGCCAAAGTTGCGACGTGGAGTGATGTGTCCAGATGTACGTGTCGTGTCAGTGGGACCTTTGCTGAAGCCGTCTTGACGAATGACTTTTGGCGCGGTTTGTGCTGTTCTATCGTTGTTAGAAGCAGGCCTACCTTTGTTGAGTTATAGAATGAGGAGTTGAATTTACCGTGCCATGATCAGAAGGTGTGCATCTAACAGAAGCTACAGCAAAGTGGATTCTATACGGAGCAAGCGTACTTAGCAGTTCCAGCGTGGTCGAAGTGAAGATGCATCAGAGGAGAGTGCGCCGCCAGTTCCCAAATGGCACTTATGTAGGGTGGCGACAGAGGTTAGCCACAACTTAAAAGCTAACAAGTATTCAGGCGCGTATGCCTAGCTCAACTAGGCAGAACGCGGTTCACATTACAAACACGTCCGCCGATCTCACAGAAATCCTAGGCAGCGCAGTGACAGCTTGTCGCTGGCAACTCATCGACTTCGGCACGCTCATGATAGCAGAATGGCCAAAGTAACGGCTGCAAGTAATTGATTGGGCTGATTTTCTATCAAATGTGTATATTCATGCACACTTCTGTAGCAAAGGCTTTGGACATTCCTACGCCCAGTCTCGTTATTGCTCAGAGTTGTGCCCTGTAGGACCCTGTGATGTGTCTGTGGGCACGTTAGCTGAATAGATTGAGGGCAGAGGGAGCATTTCTGACAATCAACAGTGACAAAGGCGCGATCAACTTCAGTTAGACCTTCGAGACAGTATTGCAGCGTTTCAGCAATGTCGTGAGCTCTGTTCAGTGGACTCTCACCATCCACTAGCAAGTCAACCTCAACCCACACACCATCCCCTGCGTGGTAGGCTTTGATACTCTTATACGCGCCGACAAGCGGGGAAAACCGATATGCAAGGTACGTGATCTTTCGAAGTAGATTATCATCCGCGGCTGCACCCGTCAATCTTGTGACATTCGCTATGCACGTTTCGGACCAGTCGTAGATGATGAAGAGTGATAGCAGAGCAGCGCCAACTGGATCAAGCCACCAGGTATCGGTTTTGCTTCCAATGATTGGAAACAAGAGTGAAAGGGTATTGAAAATGACATCAGTCTTGCAGTCTTGTGCAAGAGCCTGAACTTGTGTGGTCTTGATAGGCATGCAGCCGAACCAGATAATACCTTTAATGCCAATAGTACTTGCCATGGCCCCTATTGCAATTGCAGGAAGTGCTACAGCTGACTTTTCACCACCTGGGAGTAGCTTTTGTACAGACTCTTGAAGGATTTGCAGGAACGAGACAATCATGAGCTGGATTGGTTAGCTGGTAAAACACCTAGACTCCTCACTACTTGTACTTACGATTGAGAAAACAAGAATGCCCAACGGCTCTAGACGACGTCGCCCAACGGGAAACTTGGCCTTTAAGCGCTGCAGTCTCCAGTTGACCAACTTGTTCGTTGACCAGACAATCAGTGTACAAAGCAAGTCGAGCGCCGAATCAACCAAGGAAGCGATGAGCGAAAGTGATGATGAATAGAAGGCTGCAATGATCTTCGCGCCGAGTAGCAGAACATTGGCAATGACATTGATCTGCGGCTGTTAGTGAAATGAACATGCACCGAAACAAGAGTCATTCTCGCATTTATCGCCCATTTTGCTTTCCTCTCACTCTTGATTCTCCTTTCTCGCTCTTCTTGGGGCAAGAGGTGCTCGACGCTTTCGTGCTCACGTTGCAGAGCGCCGCCTGTTTCAGCGAAGCCATCGTGATCGAGGTCAGCCGGGTTCATGGAATCAAGCACGTCGTCAGCCATTGACATGACCAATGCATCAACCTCGAGCCAATCATTGAGTCGCTGGTTCTGGTCTTCATAGAACTTCCGAACTTGTTTATTACTGATTTTCTTCAAGTCGTTTTGGCTTCTGCGGAACTTCTCCAGCGCGTGTCCATCAATCTCTTCTTTCAATTTCTTCTTGAACTCATGCACACGGTCTCCCTCCACGGCCCGAAAGACTGCATCTCTAAATTTGAACTTTGCCAGCCTCAGATTCCTCCCACTCTCAAGATCCGCGTGTTTTGGAGCAATGTTCTTCCGGTTCGAGGTTCCATTTGTAGTTCCATAATTGAGCCGTCGCCCTGACACCATGGCTACGTGAAACAATGGAACCGGGAAACACAGTTGTAGTCCTGATTGCCTGGAATCGCGAAGATTTTCACGAAGAATCACTGATTGCGGACAGCCAAGGAACGAGAGAGAGACCAGTGACGTGTGTCAGTTCTATTTAGTACCTTGGGGCTCGCTACGAGGCCGCTGACATCATTCATTTGCCTTACTGAGGTGATCTCCGACCGCGTGTACAGGTGGACGATGCACGGCGCTTCCGGAGAATTCTGCGGCGCAAAGTTCTTCAATCATAGTAGCGAGTTGCATGGCGTCAAATGGATATGTGCGACTGGTGTGAGTTGAGTGGGACGTGAACAATAAAGTATAAGATTATCTAGAAAGCCTTGAGGGTGTGGCAGGGCTCCGGCTCCCTGTTAGAACTAGTGTCTGGGCTTTCAGCCGAAGTTGAAGCTGAAGCTGGCTCCCCTCCACTGAATCTATCCATTTCCTTCACATCGTCTCAAAATCTGCAGCGCAATGCAACACCAAATATCTACGAAAACCGTCGTCTACTCCTCACCTGATGGGCCGTCATACACTGTCCCCAGCGGTTCTGGGACTCCCAGGTCAGGCGTTCCGTCCATCCACCAATCAACAATCTGAGCACTAGTGTATCTGTTACTGCCACAATTACCCGCGATGTCTGGCGTCGCATGGAAAATGTTCCACCATTGCGTTTGATCCGGACTGAGAAAAAAGGAATTATGTCCTGGTCCATTGTTGCCATTCGATGTTTCAAAATGAGGCCCGCTCTTGACCCAGTTCGCCATGTCCAACGGATCATTGCCTCGGTACTCCAGAATGCCAATGGTGTAGTTTGCAGTGCTGCAGTGACTTGCTGAGAATGCAATATATGTACGGCCATCTTTGTACATGGCTGTTGGGCCTTCATTGACCGGAAAGCCATTTCTCTCCCATGGAGCCGACGGCTGGGACAGCGTCCGGCGCTCCCCAAGTCGACCAGGTTCTTCGAGTGTGGCAATGCAGAGACTCTGGTCTTGGCTTGGTCCATCACGGCAGGAGAACATGAAGTATCTTCTTTTGTTAACAATAAGAACAGAGCCATCGATGCCCCATTCACTGCTCATCTGGCCGAGGTAACTGTACGGATCCCACGGACTTGAACCACCTGGCAATGGTAAGCGCTTTTGTCCTTTGTTTTTGGCTAATGTTTATACCTTTGAGCACATGCAGGCGATTGGAGTCTGTATCGCAAGCACTGGCAGAGTAGTATAGATACCAGCTGTGTACGACTTGTAAGCGTTGGCCCAAACACATTTACAATCCTGTGCTTACTTTCCATCCAGCAAATGGATTTCTGGCGCCCATAGGTCGCATTTTCGAGAAGGCTCAGTATCCGAGAACACAATTTTGTGCTCACCGGTCTTTAGACTTTCGAGATTCTTTGCACGAGTGATCTGGATCGTGGGCGAAGTTGTAGTGGTCAAATACCAAAACCCATCATGCCAGACAATAAAAGGGTCTGCACCGTCCACTTCTTTCAACGGATTACTGTATTTGGCTGCGTGTACCAGGGTGAATACCGATACAACAGTGGCAAGTATATGATAGATCGAGAGAAGCATGTTGGCGTGCTTGATGGATAAGACTTGTGGTGCTGCACGCAAGGTCAACTTATCTACCGGTGGGCCCCTTATATGCTATTTCAATTACACATATGCGAAAATACAGAAAGACATCATCACCCGGCGAAGTCGTCTATTCGCATCAGCAGGGGGAGATCGTCGTGAAGGAGGCATACAGCTGGTCAGCAAGCCCCATTAACGACACCGACTCGTTCGCGATCAGCAGGATGACACAAGCAGTGAAAGGAACCATGGTTCAAGGTCCAGTATTGTAGGTAAGGAATTGCTACCATAGTGTGGTGCGTTCTTACTTCAGATATCTTGGTCACTGTATTTGCTATGATGGAGGGATCAAGTATGAACTGGCGTATATCAATAGGTCACGCTCTGCAGGATGTCCAACCAAATGGATGAATTATATTGTGGCAACCATAAGGCATGGACTTGTGATGTAAGTGGGAAATCTCTCCCATATTCTTAACAGGTGTCTTTTCAGAGCTTTGAACCCTGCCACCACGTCGTGCATACGCTGCCATTTTTACCAAGCCCTACAGCCAAAGAACTCATACTTGGTGTCGTACAACCTCTCTCGTGATGCGACGAAGCGGTGCACCACCGACTCAAACCATGAAAACGTTTTGACCACGAGGCTTATACTGTGCCACACAACTTTTATAACGTCATTCGAAGATCGACTACCCCAGATTCTCTGTGCGACGCCGATGGAGTTTCGCACACCCTTCAGACATGTGGCATGGACCATTCCGACGCATCATTTTGATATAAATCCTTCAGTGACGTCAAGTGCTTATATATTGGGCCTCAGTTTCTCGGCACTTACCAGTCGCCTGCCAGTGATATGATTCCTCAATCCTGTCGAAGCATATAGAACATGTGGACAGCACATTCTGAAGAGTATATGGACCTACGTATGATATCGTGTAACCTTGGGCAAGATGCATTGGGGGGGCACCTATTGGCCTCTGGAGATGTTAGTGATTCGAGCAAGGCGATTTATCTCCAGGGGCAGAAACAAGGATTTGTGATTATGTCGGGTCATCTGCCATGTGTTCTCTGAGCCTCAGCACTCTCACTCGGGTACAAATCATTATATTGCGCTGTGGTCTCTCCAGGCCCAGTATCTAGGACATCTGATATAGGACTGAAAATAGGAATTATAGATAATGAGGTTCGCCAAATCGGATTATAACATAACAAGTAACGCGTCATGCCATTTCGACGCCTCAAGCTGGCTTTATAAACACAAACCAACCTAAGGAAGCCCGTGTGGCTCGCAAGTATGTACCCACCTACACTCATGGTATTAGTTAGGTAGAGCACGAAGAAAGGCGTGATTTCATTGAGCGGCCATTAACGTGCGATAGTGGTACTCGTCACTTCCAAAATCCGAGGACTTGATTCGTGTTCGACAGGCACACTCAATCAGGGCGGGCCCGCACCTCCTCGTGCATTGTCATCACTCCGCTTGTCTTCAAGAACAGCACTGAAATCATGTTGCACAGGACATGCACGTGTATTGCTTTGGTAACCCGGTGTTCGTAAGAGTAAATCAAGCACGCGCACTGAATCATCTGCGTTGTCAAAGCTGGCACGCCCAGCAACGGGGGCGAGAGCTTCGTGTCCACATGTAAGACGACGAAGAGCGAGCTGATCAGAGGGTGGTGTATGTTGGATCAGCGGCTCTGGTGAAATTGACTTGGATGAGGATGTGGAAATGATTGATTCGTGAGTGTGGGTTTGAACGCCTTTCAAAACAACTTGAAAAGGTATAGAAAGCTACATGCCAGGTAGTCATTGACTTTCGTGAGTGCTTCTAAGAGTCTCAGTCATATACATACAGAAATATTCTGGGCATCAATCCGGCTTGATGGACGTTAGAGCCACGTCGCATGTTTATAGTTGCGACTAGTGACCTATGTTGGTAGTCTCAAGGAGAATATGAGCGTTCTTCTCCCTTTGTACTTTTAGCTCGGATCGGGGTCGATTGGTTTGCCTTATTTTACAGCCATATGACAGTTACAGAATTCAAAATAGGTATAATTTGGGGATGCGCAACGCTCGTATAGTTACCGACGCGATATATCGACCATTATAGGGAACACGCAAAGGATACGCCAATCTCACCATCCTTGATTAACAAATCGTTGCACTCGTCTGGTGACATATGAGAACCCCTGAGCAAACCTACGTCGCCATCTTACGCTCTTCAAACGCTTTCTTTTCATGCCCGCTCTCTCGTGAAATTTCTGGCTCAAGTGAGTAGCTCTAATCTTGTTCTTTGTAACAATCATTGTCAACGTGGTAATGGCCTTTTGAAGATCTGAACCGCCAGGCGTTTTAACCTCGCGACCAAGGCCTCGGTATAGGCGCGGGTAGCTATATTTTTGAGGTTCTAGCCCGGGGGACAGAGCGCTCGTGAGACCAGGGGCAGACTGTGTGGTCCCGAAGTCGAGAAGGTGCATTTCTAGTTTGGGTTGTGTGGACTGGAGTGGTTTGGGTGACCAATCCTTGCCAAAGTTCCCGTCGAGGAATTTGCGACTTTCCGCAGAGGAGGTTCTTGTAGGTCGTGAGAAAGCTGAACCATTCATAACAGCGTCGAAGCCATCAAGATGTGTGGTACTTGGTCCCCGTTTACTTCGACTATTGTTTGTAAATAACAAGGATGGGCTTTGTTTTCTTCGTGTCTCTTCCTGTTTGACACCTCTGTTGGGCTGCAGTATTGGACCCAGTGCGTCTTCCTGTTGCTGACGCGATGTACTTGAGAGCGATCGTAGCGAGGTAAAAGCTGTTCGTGCATAATCTGAACGGCAAAGAAGTGCTCGACGAGAGTGTAATGCCGAATGGAAACTTCCAGGAAAAGTTGTTCGCCGGGAACGCAGCAGCGCCGACGCGGCGCGTTGTGTTTCCATCATAAGTAGACCTCAAATCCCGCAGAGAAATGGAGAAAGGAATATACACGGCATGTGCTTATAAGTCAAGTGATGGACTGTACGTTGCGGTTGTATCCAACTCTCCTTTACGTACATGAATTCTTTGGAAAACGGGTCAACTTCGGTAGAACCGCGCGACGCGGCGCGGCGCCGCATTCATAACTTAAGCTTTCGAAGCTTTGATTCCGCTCGCGCACTCACTCTTTCAGCTGGCATTTTCGAGTTCTTCCTGATAGCGCCTCCTTCAAAGAGGCCGAATACAAATCGGTTCTTTACGATACCCCAGTTCCGCCTTTCGTGCTTGAGAAGCATCCATGTACAACTACCAGCAACGTAGGATCTCTTATCTCTCTCGACATTACAAGTCCATGCTAATCCGAATGATACAGCTCCAGCTCAATTTGGGCGCCAGCCAAGCTATGGCAGTTATCCCGGCCAGTCGGCTTCTCCAGGCGTGCCTGGTATGGGCGCACCGCCGGGCATGGGTATGCCAATTCCAGCTGACTTGCCATTTTGACCATACTGACGCGTTGTCTAGGAGGACCACCAGGTATACCACCTGGCGGCGCGCCACCTGGTATACATCAAACCCAGACACCGCAGCCTGGACGGTCCAGCGGGCTCCCATCAAACTTCCAGCCACCCCCAAATCTAAATTTCAACGCCCCAGTCATACGTTTGGGAACTTCTGGTCCGATTAGGCCTGACAATCGCCAGATTAACACCGAAACCATGGTAGCAGGTCCACGAAGAGGACTAGGAATGGGTAGCGGAACAGAGCAACAGCGCCAGCAAATACGAGAAAACATGATGGCCCTGGCTCCGCCCTCAAGAGAAGAGGTCGCGCGCACTATCTTTGTTGGCAACATCACGGAAGGAGTTGGCGGTGATGAGGGTCTCGAGCGGATCTTACGCACAGCAGGAGGCCTCCGTCGTTGGACTCGAGCGTCAGACGCTGATGGAAAACCTTGCAAGTTCGGCTTCGCAGAGTACGAAGATGCTGAAAGTCTCGAAACGGCAATAGAGATTTTTCAGAACATCGAAATCCCTACGAGGAAGATCGAAGCAAATGGGACTAATGGAAAGAGCGAGGACGACGTGCAGCCGGAGATGTCCATACTCCTTGTAAGCATGTTACGAACATCACAGAAACAAAAAGCTCACGTACAACAGGTCGTCGTAGACGAAGCTTCTAAGAAATATGCTGAAGACTGGAAAGGTAAACGTAACGAATCGGAAGAAACTGTCCAATTCCGGCTCGACTCCGCAAAGGAAAATCTTGCGGGTGTCCTGGCAAGCTTGCAGCATCCACAGACTACGCACACCGGTGATCGAGATGGTGATATTGTCATGGGCGATGCGCAAGTGCGCTCAGACCCCGTGACTGGAGAAGTTATAACGATCCCGCTCAGCGTCGACGACGAACTGTCCGATATTCCCGCGGAAATGAGGGAAACTGTTGCTGCAGAGATTGCGGCATTTAGGGAGCGTAGCACTCGACGCGACTTGGAGAGACTGAGGCGTGAAGAAGAAATGGAAGCTGCTGAACGACAGCGTGCAATGGGTGCTCGACGATCCCCTCCGGCTTCTGCGCCGACTGGTCCTGGTGGCGCCAATGGTATTCCTCTTGGGCCTAGAGAGCGAGGTGTTGCGGGTGCGCCGAGTGGGCCAAAAGGCTTTCAAGGAGCGCAAATACCCAAGGACTATCAGGCAGGTGTCAACTTTGTGAACGGCGGCACGAACGGCACTGTGGGTTGGATCAGTCGCGAAGATGATGATGATCCTGCAAGCGATTCCGAAATTGAGAGCCGTCGCCGGGCGAAACTGGAAGCAGAACAGGAGAAGGCTTTCCTGGAGTACGAACGACGATGGGAGAATCGTGAGAAACAGAAGATTGCAGCTATTCAGCGAGAAAAGGCTAGAGAAGAAGATGACAAAGCAAGAGAGGAGAAAGACCGAGCAAACATGGCCAAGAGACTTGCAGAATGGAATGACGATGTCGAAGCCACTCGGCAGGTTGAAGAATTCTATAGAGATCGCACCCAGTGGGCTCGCAATCGTGCCATCTTCCGCGGTCATGAAGCTCGAAATGACGATCGAGATAGAGCTGACGAAGACCGTGAGAAACAGCGAGAATATAAGGAGCGAGAACGGACTCGCGGTCTCGCCGACTCATTCCTCGACCGCCAGGCCGAAGAAATGGAGTCCCGTGTTCAGGCACCCCGCGAGCCTCAAAGATTTAAGATGTCTCTTGGTGCTGCAGCTCAAAAGGTGCAAGCTGCCACTAAGCCTGTTCGTACTGCTGCAGAGGTGGAAGGTTTGTTGGAAGACGAGGAAGACGTCGATGTCTCAAACAAGCGGTCCATCATTCCCATCAAAATCGATACACAAGCAGAAGGCGCGCTGCTCAGCGAAGAAGAGCGAAAGACAGCAGCACAACGTCTTGCAGGAGAAATACCAAACGACACCGAAGCCTTGTGGAACTGGGACATCCGTTGGGATTTCCTGGACGACTCTGTTGTAAATGATCAGCTTATGCCATTCATTGAGCGCAAGATCGTCGAATATTTGGGTGTGCAAGAGCAGATGCTGGTAGACGAAGTTTCTACTCACATCAAGAAACGGCAGAGGCCGGAAAAGCTAGTCGAGGAGCTTTCAATTGTGAGTTTTGCTCTGGGCTAGAGTTTCGATCACAGCTAACACTTCTGCAGGCGCTTGACGACGAGGCCGAGGTACTTGTTAAGAAATTATGGAGGATGATCATATTCTTCTCCGAGAGCGAAAAGCGCGGTATTGCGGGCTGAGGGTGCAGCTAAGTCCAAGTCTGTCTATCTACCCCAATTGATGAAAACAATATTAAGAACATATTCTAGGACCACCTCTCGCCCTTGATTCCGGTTTAGTCAGTTGTTACAGTAAGCATCTAGGAAAGGCGTGCGGCTGCTATGGTATGTAGACAAAATTAAGCAGCGTAAACCACAACAGCAGCCGAATGGTTCACAAGCATGGTGCGTGGTTCTGTGGCACAAGCCATTTGACTGTGTCTAATACATGTTCTAGCGACTAGCACAATACTGAGATATGGTTGCCACATGGCGATTTCAAAAAAAGTCTTTGGGTATGTCAGTCAGTTCTTCTTGTATAATCATATATACCTCCAGTGATCGTATGAAGTCACTTTTTTAGATTCTATGCTTATGGACGGTGAGTTTGTCATCGGCTGTGTACCACAACACTGGCTTTTGGTACTCTGTAAAGCACATTTCGCCTCAAGTTATTCTATCTGCCGTATTGGCAAACGAGGTTCGTATGTTAATTACTCGAGAATCAAAGAGCTTGAAGATAGCCCTCTTCCCGGGGTTGACGTCATATCCCAGAATGAGTTTTAGTTTGTGCTTTCATACTCGGGGCCAGAGGCCGGCAGGGGACAAGAGACACTCAGCCGCCACCACAGGACCACAGTCACCGCTTCGTTCGTCGCAAACCCAAGGTAAATCATTAGCTGATGAAAAAGACTTTGTGCCCGATGTTATTTATATGCGGCAAGATTGATGCCCTGTCATCCTAGTCTTTGGGGTTGAGTACTGTGCTATGTGACCGGAAGGCATCGATCTTGATTTGAGTATAAGTATTCACATCCTCGTTCTGCATTTCACATATTGTCGAGTCCCATTTTCCGAACCACCCCACAATCATCATGTCAGCAAGTGAAAGTGTGCCTGGAACAGAACTACTCTACGACAATGGCGATAGGGACCCAGAGACCTCGAGAAGACTTCAAAACCTACAGCATGTTCGACATGGCGACGGACATATCATACTGGTTCCCCAACCGTCTTTGCATGACCCTAATGACCCACTGCGATGGTCAACAGCGAAGAAATGGACAACATTCCTCAACGGCGTGTTCTATGCCTTCATCGGGTCCGTCACAGGACCTCTGGTAGCAGCAGGTATGCATTCTACACCCTCGAGTACGATAATTAATGATGTGGAGGTATGATCCCACTCTCTGAGTTTTTCGGCGTCTCTCTGCAAATGATATCCTACTCCAACGGCGCAAACCTCGCCTGCCAAGGTGTGGCGACCACCATTTGGATGTACGCATGCTCCCGCCAGTATTCGTATGCTCGCTGACATAGTATCAGGCCGTTTGCCGTCAAATACGGACGCCGTCCCATCTACTTTTTCTCAAACATTCTAATGGGTGTCGCATGCGTATGGCTCGCGCTCGCCTCGCGCGCCTCGTACACTCCCTACCTCGTCGGCCGCGCCTTTCTGGGCATCTGGCAAGCGCCCATCGAATCCATCGTACCGAGCACCGTGACAGACCTGTTTTTCCTGCATGATCGCGGGGCGAAGGTCAGCATATATGGCTTGAGTGTCCTGGGTGGTAACGAGCTAGGGCCATTATTGAGTGCGTTTATCATCCAGAGTCTGGGCGTCGCGTGGAGTTTTTGGATCATGGGTATCGTAGTATTCGTGAGTTGTGTGGCGATGTTTTTTAGTATGCCGGAGACGCTCTATATGGGGCCAAGGCCATCGATTCGAGCCTTGACTGCGGGCGTTGAGGAGAAGTCGAGTCGTGGGACGAGTATGTCTGGGGACACGGAATCGCCCAGTGGCAATATCAACGACCAGCACAGCGGCGTCAAGCCGGTCGAAAAGAGGACTTACTTGTCAGAACTCAAATTCTGGGGCTTGAATGATCCCAATGTCAACCTCCTCCACGCCTTCCTGCGCCCTTTTATCCTTTTCACCTACCCCACCGTCCTCTGGGCATGTATCGTATACGGCTTTTCTCTCTCCTGGAACGTCATCTTAGGCGCGACCGTTGCACAGCTGTTTGCACCGCCGTGAGTCATACCCACCAGTAACGCCACGAAGGCCCCTTCCTCTCGAGCGACTATACTAACAACATTCTCGCAGGCCATATAACTTTGATTCCTCTGCCCAAGGCCTTATATTCGTCTCCCCACTCATCGGATCGCTCATAGGTACATACATCTGCGGGCCTCTCGCCGACCGTATCGCCAACACCGCCACCCGGCGCAACGGTGGGATTCGCGAGCCCGAGATGCGACTGCCCACATGTGCCATTGCGGCCACGCTGACGTTCTTCGGCGTGCTCATCACCTCCCTGACATATACGCATCAAACGCACTGGATAGGCCCGCTATTTGGAATCGGGGTGTTTAGTACGGGTGCGCAGATGGGCGCAACGTTGAGTATGAGCTATGTACTGGACTGCCATCGTGAGCTGAGTGTAGAGTTGATGGTTAGTGTTGCGGCGCTGAAGAGCTTGATTGCGTGGATCTGGACGTGGGTCGTCAATGATTGGATTGAGAGGGATGGGATGATGGTTGTGTATATGAGCATTGCGGCGATCAATGTTGCCGTATATCTCACCACAATCGTACTCTATATATATGGGAAGAGACTGAGAGTGTGGATTCATAGTAGAGATTTGCTGGGCGAGTTGGGCTTGAGGGACAGGTTGGGGAGGTGATGATCTTGATTGCTTCCCACTGGGTCTAGTCAAAGGTGGTCCTTTGGATCCTCGCCGGAGTCCTTGGTTATTCACCGCAGACTTGCAGTCTCGCTTTTGTCACCTGGCGCAGAATAACGATTGAGGTTTTATGTCTCCTTTCCGGGTAACTTCCACCTTGGCAGCACCAACATCGAATGTGTTATCGTGGCAAGCAACATGCTAAGCCTCGCGTAGACTCGACATATTCGATCTAATTACTGCGAGGAATCAGATTGCGAGACTCATCCTCCGCACGTAACAGCTTATTAGTGTTATAGCATTATCTTACAATTACTACCAACGCAAAGAAATATGGCGAAAAGGAAAAGATGACATGATCAGGAGTATTACAAACACGTCGATTAAACACGTCTTATATGCTCTCCTTCGCCTTCCCTGACGGTCCCTTTTGCGAGTACTTCTCCTCCTTCGCTTTCGCCTCTTCCTTCGCTTTCGCCTCTTCCTTCGCTTTCGCCTCTTCCTTCGCTTTCGCCTCTTCCTTCGCTTTCGCCTCCTCCTTAGCCTTATTATCCATCTTCTCTCTCGCTCTCGCCTCGTCTTCCTTCGACTTCTGTTTCATATCCTGGAAATGCTGCTTGAACTCCTCCGCTTTGGCCACCTCCTCCTTCCTCTCCATCTCCCACTCCTTAGCCTCATGATCCGCCTTCTCTCTCTCCTTCGCCTCCGCCTCCTGCTGTTTCGAACTCCCAGCAAACGCCCTCACTGCCAAATAATACAGCTCTGCCATAACTTTACACGCGATCCGGTGCTTCTGCGTGTGACAATAATCGAGAAGATCACTGTGGAACTTATTGTCCACCTGCTTCCGGTGCTTGTCGTCGAAGCTGTGCTGACGCTTGAGGTTGCGGTACCCGAAGTCGTGACGTGAGCACATGTCGCTAAACTTGAAGCCTAGCGGACTCTCGGACGCGTAGCTGCAGCCATTGTAGCTGAAGTCGAAGCAGTCGGGCGTCTTTGCCTCGCGGAATTTGAGGAACTCGGCGAGTGAGAGTTCCAGGGTGATTTTCTGTGTCGAGGCTTCGGAACAGTCTGGGACCGTGACAACTGGGGCTTCGTCCCGTGGGAGGACATGTTGATGAAGCGGCTTGGACGAGGGTGAGAGTGGATGAGGATGTGGGTTTGCGGTAACGAGGGTGGAGAGTGGTAGCGCAGTCACTGCTATGAGGAGCTTCATGGTCTTGAGAGCGGCGTAATTATTCGTGGATAGTCGCGGTTGGGCAACGAGCGTAAGTGTTGGGTACGGGATATGACGAGACTTGTGAGCCTGCCTAATTATTCCTTGGTTGTAGCAGAGCCCATCAATTACTTAAACAGTATAGAAAAGAAATACATGGCGTGTGATCTGATGTTTTTTTCTCGTTTCATGCATGCCAGGAACGTACGTCTGGGAGAACGCAACCAGGGCTGCTGTAAATCAAAGCAGCAGAAGAATTATACAGTAGATCCGACGAGGAGCGACCGTGATCTTTTCGATTGAAGCTTTTTCATCTAAGGCTCAAGGGACAGGGCTGTATGGTTGCACGTAACTATTGGTAGATCGAGCTGTTCAGCGGAGCCGAAGCTCGGCAATTGCCTCGCAAGGCTCGCCGTACGACATGGTCACCATATAGTGAATATGTAGTGAGAAAAATCTGCGTATATAGAACTTGTTGCGTGTCCTCTATATCATTCTTAGTTTGGGGCTCGGGCCGCGAAGCGAGCATAGCTGACAAGTCATCCTAGATGGAATCCACTTGTAATGACATTCGCAGACGAGGTTTTTTTTATGCACAGAGGTCGAGCTAGGATACGTATGTATCAAAGTAAAGAGACTAGGTATCAAACAGCCGTTTTAGGCAAGAGGACTAGCTATTATTAGCCCGCTAGTCTTTCTATCACATGCTAGACTCGTGGTATTTTTAGATATAACATTTGGACTAATTAGTATAGAAAGCGGTTCGCGGTATATTGTTTGTATAGATTTTCGTAATGGTCATTTCTCCGTCAAAAATCTTGTCTAATTGACACAAAGCTTGGATTGTCGAGCGCACCCTCCCTTCGGCTCCTTTGCAGATGCTCGCGGCAGTGACCGACAGGCATGTCGTTCCGCATTCAAAGTTTTGATTTCCTGCCCTGGCCCTTCTCGTAACGGTCACGCATCTCTCTTCTCAACATCTTCCCAGACTCAGTGCGCGGAATCTGCAGGATGCAATCAGTTAGACTCGCAAACGCCAACTGTAGAGCACTACACTTACGGACTCAACCTGCTCGATGCCGCCGTCCAGCCACTTGTACCGGCTCAGCCTTTCCTGCACCCACTTCGTCAACGTCTCAAAAACCTCATCCGCAGTCCTGCCGCGCGCCTTGGCTCCAAGAACGACCCAAGCTCGGGGCAACACCGTGATCCCATCCTCTCCAATCACGCCGACAACACAAGCATCTCGGACCAAACCATCGGGATGATCGAGCAAACAATCCTCAACCTCACTCGGCGCGACCTGGAACCCCTTCACCTTGATCAACTCCTTGAACCGATCCACATACGTGATCTGATCGGCCTCGTCGCGACTACACAGATCACCCGTCCGCAGCCATCCCGGCTCGGCGAAGAGTTCTGCCGTCGCCTGCGCGTCGTGGAAGTATCCAGGCGTCACATTCTCGCCCCGCACCCACATCTCGCCCGGCGTGTTCCTCGTCGGGACGTCTTTCATCGTCGTCGGATCCACGATTCGTCCCGACATGCCCGGCAGCAGGTAGCCGACCGTGTTCAACTTGTCTGCCGAGCTCGGCAGGCCGAAGATGCCACATGTGACTGGTCGTGAGATGGATGCGGCTTCGGACATGCCATAGCCGGAGCCGACGGGTTGTTTCTGCGGAAGCTTGTCGCCGAGTGCTTTGGCGACGTCTGGGGGTAGATACGCTGCGCCGCTGCCGACGGCAATGACGGAGGAGAGGTCGTGTTTGTGCAGGTCTGGGTACTGGGCGAGTTGACGGACGACCTGGGGGACCATGGGTAGAGAAGTGATGCGATATCTTTCAATGGTCTCCAGGGCGTGCTTTGTGTTCCAGCGGGGCAAGAGCATGACATTGGCGTAGCGGAACAGGTTGATCCGGGCGATGTAGACAATTGCGCCGTAGGAGTGGTAGCACGGAACGATGCCTATACAAACAACATCAGTCCTGGACCTCGCCGAACGGAGTCGCCAAACGGTGCTGACGACGGCTTACCTAGAATCTTATGGTGTATAGGATCGCCCCCTATCTTGAAGAATCGTCAGCAACCGCCTTCTACCAACAGATCAGACCAAGCACTCACAAACTCCCCAATAGCCCGACCATCTATAATCGACTGCTGCGCAATCGCAATCGCATTCCGATGCGTAATCATCATCGCCTTGGGCAATCCACTCGTCCCACTACTCTGAAACAAAAACGCCAGTCTCTCCCCACCCACCACCCTCCGCCCCTCAAACCCCCTCGCAACACCCTCATCCACCCCCAAGCCAACCCTCACCAACGCCTCCACCGTCGGCCACCCACCCACCTCCATCCGCCCCCGATCCTCACTCAACACCACAATCTTCCCCTCATCAAGCCAAAACCCCCCTGCCTCCCGCCTCGCCAGCTCCACCGCCCGCCTCACCTTCCCCAGCAACTCCTCATGCACAATCAGGCCCGTACACCGCATCCGGCCCAGCACATGCCGCATCTCCGCCACCGTACTCGCCGGACTCACCCCCCCAAACGGCACTCCCGCCCGGAAACACGCATGCGCCAGCATCGGCCAATCAAGGTGATTCCGGCTGCATATGCCGAGAATCTCGCCGTCCTGGCCCGGACCGTCGCCTGTCGCGGGCGCGCCGAGATGAAGGGGATTCGGCCCGTCCGGGGCGATGGCACGTGCAAAGGCCTTGATGCGTCCGTAGAGCTGGAACAGCGAGACACGCTCATCCGTCGCCGAGGAGATGAGGGCGTCGTAGTCGTGCGGTGGGAGCGGGTTGTCGCGCGGGAAGCAGAAGTCGTGGATGCTGAGGTCTGCCGGGATGGGCTCTGGGAAGGGGCCGTACGGCGAGGAGAAGATTGGGCCTGTTGACGGTTTGTATATCGAGTGCACGTCTGGGGTTTTGGGAGAGACGAAGCGGGTTTGACCGAGCTTTTCGTAGTATTCCAGCGTCGGATCGTGGTGTGAGGACGTCATGATGTTGTGAGGATACTGGATAATTGGTGGTGAGACCGTGGTTGGCGGGATTTTTTTTTTTTTGAAAGCAACTTCTCGCCCTGCCTGGTATTTAATGTGATTCGGGGAAATTAGAAAGTCGGCTTTGATGATAGCATGATAGCTTGACAGCGTTAAGCTAATAAAAGTAATTTCATATATATAAACAAGTAGCATGATATGATCGCGCGGGGCCCCCACCCCTCGATCCATCCGAGGTAGTAGATTTAGGCTCTCAGGCTGACAATTACCATGGATGTCCAACGTGCGCAGGAACAAGGGTATATAGCATAGTCCTGTTCATATTACGACCAGAGGATCTGAAGCGAACGGCTATCCATCGGCAGAAGGTACCCAAACACTTCGATCTGCCGAGATCATCACTCTCCCTAGCTCTTTGTCACCAATCTATATAATACCACCAACAATCATATTCATGTATCGTCTATTCCTGTTTGCCACACTGCATCTATATGTCTACAACAACTTTCACAAACGTACGCCAGAGAGCGGAGAAAGATTGCGTGGCGGCCATATCTGAGTCCTGTATCGTCCAAACGCTCGGTATGCTGCAAATGCGAAATATGTACAAGAATTACAGGCGTCAAGTGACGGGCCTCATGGCATGGTCAGGAGACTAACAAGGCGGCGCAATACATGCAAGAGCTTTGGATGCCCACAGGGTGATGCGTTTGACTGCAACAACACAGCCTGAACATCGGGGCCAGGGGTTCGTGGATGGACACCTAGTCATCGTCATCTGAGTCCTCATCATCGTCTCTCGTCCCCCGCTTAGCGCTCCTACTGCCCCTCTTCCCAGCACCCGCGAGTTCTTTCTTCCACAGTTGACCGACAGCGGAGGAGTCGACATCCGGGAAAACAACTTCAAATACCTCATCGTACCAGCTGACGGGTTTGCCTTCGATACCATCTCTGATATTCTGTAAAATGTGTTAGCGACTGCTCGTTGTTGGTGTAGACGTACGACTTACCTCAGGCAACTCGAGCCAGTCGCTCAAGTTATCTTGCGGGAAAATAACAGTGTCACAGCCGGCTCGTCTGGCAGCTACAGTCTTCTCTCGGAGTCCACCGATTCGTAGAACTTTTCCAGTAACTGTCAATTCACCAGTCATGGCAATTGTAGGCTTGAGTGGTTTGTTTAGTGCCAAGCTCAGTAGTGAGGTGGCCATGGTGATGCCAGCGCTCGGTCCATCCTTGGGCACTGCGCCTTCCGGGCAGTGGAGGTGGATTTGAGCGTGCTGGAGGAACTTGTTGTCCGAGAATCTCCGCGCCATCACAGACTTGGCGAATGAGTATGCAATCGAGGTAGACTCCTTCATGACAGGCTTCAAGTTTCCGGTGCGTTCGAGGGATGCTCTGGAGTCTTTGGATAAAGGAGCCTCCAGAATTGATTCAATGTACAGTGCAGCGCCGCCCATCTGTGTCCAAGCAAGACCCATGGCGACTCCGGCGGGCGTGACATCGTACAGACGATCTGCCGTGTATACTGGTGGGCCAACATAGTCGGAAAGGTTGTCCTTCGTGATCGACACGTTGACGGTATCCGGCACTTGCAACGCTTTCCGGGGTTTCTCCGTAGTCTCATTCTCGATATTCTCCGAAGTTACAGTGGTATCGGTTTGGTCTTTGTCAGATTGCTCTTGGGCGGCCTTGCCTTCGTCGGTAAGGGCCTTCTCTTCTGCCAGGGCTTCATGTTCGTCACCAAAGTCTTCAATGATTTTCAGCGCAGACTTTCGGTAGACTTTTTCTATCTGTTTCTTCAAGTTTCGCACACCGGATTCGCGGCAGTATTTGTTGATAAGTTCGACGATGGCGTCTGGCTCCAGATTCACATTCACATCTTTCAGGCCGCTCATCTCCTTCGCCTGTGGCGCCAAGTATCGTTCTGCAATCGCGATCTTCTCGTCGGCAACATAGCCAGATAGTTCAATCATTTCCATGCGATCGAGAAGGGGCCGGGGAATCGTGTCAGTCATGTTAGCTGTGCAGACAAACAAAACTTTCGACAAATCTATGGGCACGTCCATGTAGTGGTCTAAGAACGAACTGTTCTGCTCGGGGTCAAGTAGTTCCAGAAGCGCGGATGCAGGGTCACCCTGATGGCCGCGGCCAATCTTGTCAACTTCATCGATGAGTACGAGCGGGTTCTCGGTTTGACACTTCTTCAGAGCCTGGATCATTCGTCCAGGAAGGGCTCCGACATAAGTACGACGGTGCCCTTTGATTTCGGCAACATCCGTCAAGCCACCCACACTGAATCTGTAATACTGTCGGTTGAGAGCACGAGCGATTGATTTGCCTAGCCGGGTTAGCAGGAGTCCAGAAGACGGGGTACTGACACATACCTATACTCGTTTTGCCCACACCAGGTGGTCCAACCATACACAGAATCTTTCCTTCGACTGTGCCTCTCAGTTTACCAACAGCGATAAACTCTAGGATCCGATCTTTGACGTCTTTCAGTCCATGGTGATCCTCGTCGAGCACAGCCCTAGCATGTTTGATACCAAACTTCTCAGCGCTTCTTTGACCCCAAGGTATTTGTGTCAGCCAGTCGAGGTAGTTTCGTGTTACGTTGAACTCGGATGCAGCAGGCTCGAGGTGTGCTAGCTTGTTGATCTCTTCATCAAACACCTTCTTGACAGCCTCGGGCATAGCCAACTTCTCTGCCTTCGTCTTGAATTTCTCAACGATCTTGTCCTTCCCGTCGGCCTCTAGTCCGAGCTCTCGCCGTATGGCCTTATATTGCTGCATCAGGTAATATTCTCGCTGGTTCTTTGCAATCTTCTCCTCGACCTCCTTGTGAATCTCGCGCTGAAGCCGGTTGTTGAGCAATTCCTTCTTCAACACAACTAGTGCTTTGTGAAGACGATCCTCGATATCAGTCGATGCCAGTACATCTTGAAGCTCTTTTGTCTCGTCAGATCGGGCAACTGCTGCAGCGAAGTCTGCCATCCGCGCCGCATCTTCGCCAAAGTTCCCCGGTGATCCTGAGCTGTGGCTTAATGCCAATGTTGAGATATGATCGCGAAATAGCGCATTGTTCTGAGCCATGTCCTTGCAGGTATCCATGATCTCAGTCACCAGAGCTCGAACTGTTGGGTTTTTGGAATCATATGGTTCGTCGACAAGGTTCTCCACACCGACAATGCTGACAGGGCGCTCTTGTAAGAATGATGTTGGATCATACTGTGGGCCTTGCTTCGACTTTTCTGGCATGCTTTCTTCGAAGCTTGCCACAACATCTCCTTTCTTGGATTGACCGTCCTTGCTATCTTTGCTTTCCTTGGGCTCGTTGGTTTCTGCGGTCTCCTTGGCTTCCGTGCTCTCGGCTGGTATTTCTTCTACGACCGCCTCAGCCAAGGGGCTGCCCTCTTTGCCAGAGCCAGGCCCAGGCTGAACCATAGACGTCATCTTTATTCTCCTATGCGGGTACAACACACAGGTCATACTCGGTACATCACCTTGCACGGGGAATGCGCTGGTGATTTGGCAGAAAGTTCCGACATCGTAGACCTCATCCATACTCTTGATCGTGTCTGTATCCGCCTTGTCATCTTTGAGTAAGAACGCGCCGATATACTGCTGGCCACGGTTTACCATTTCGGTTATGGCTGCTGCAACCTCCTTGTCCTTGATTGTTATCGCCTTGTAGAACCCCGGGAAGAGTGGCCGTTGGTTGATTGGGACACACATGACGCGGGGGTAGACTTCCGGTATCGTGGGTTTCGTAAGATTGCGTTCTCCTTGACCTTTCCGTCGCTTTCCACCACCACCGCCATCACCACCACTGGTAGACCCAGAGTCACCACTACTTCCGGAAGCGGCGCCGCGGCCATCGGATGATTTGTTCGAGGGTAAGGGATCAGGAGTTTTGCTCTTTGCTTCGGCAGCCTCTGGTGATCCTGCCAGTTTATTGTCTTCCTGGGATTCCAACTCTTTGTCCTTTGCTGCATCTTGATCGAGAGACGGCTTCGAAGGCTGCTCTTTCGGCCTGAAGGGCGAAGAAGAGAAGGGGCGAGGTAGCGGGTATGATGGATGCGATGGCTCAGGCCTTCTCGTAAATGGCGAACGGTTATAGGCGCAGACTGACTGCGCAGTTATATGGCGTCGTGTTACAGATAACCTTTGCCGTGAACTGTGCTGTAGTGCTAACCGCCACGGCAGATTCTGCCCGTATAGCATGCTGAGAAATCAACAGCGATGTAGAGGAGTAGAGGACACAGCTATGAGACAGGTAGAGGTCGTAGATCAGAAGGGAGAAAACAGTATGGCGGTACTTAAATGATGAGAGAAAGTTCTATATTAGAGATCTGCTGTGTGCCCAATTGCACGCTCTTTCGCGTGAGACGATGGAGTGCATATGCATTAGCAGCTCTATGACATCTCGAAGTGGTCGGACGCGATTTAAGACCCGGAGTATTCCCGGGTCGGGTCCTCATAGCCGACCTCGGCTGGCCTTTTCCACCTCTGATAAGATGCTCGTTCAACAGGGGCACTCATCAACACAGAAATCTTGACAACTTCGGTATGCCTCGTTTCATTGGGACAGTGTAGACTATAACGCTGATCCTGGCATGCCCCCCGCCCTTGAAACAATTTTCAGCCTATGAACACCGTCTTCACGAACCGCATGTACATTTCATCATGAAACTCCATGCCCGTAGGACCTTTTCGCCGCACAATACAGACAGTGACACACGTCAGTGTCTATGAAGAAAAAACAACAACGCCTTCTTTATCCCGTAACACTGCCCTTGACACTCTGCCATCTGCTGGATACCCAGCTTCCACTAGAGCTCATCCAGCTGAAGCTCGGGGTCCAACTTCTCTTGCTTCCTTTCCAGGTCTTCTTCGTCACGCTGCTCCCACCTGCTGAGCTACTGTCGTCTCCACGCCACTTTAGCTTACTCTCGGCGATGGTGTGTATGACGTCGATGATGAGGAAAGTGGTGCTGCCCAAGGCACGGAAGAATGCAACCACGGCAACTGTCCACAAGATGAACTTCAAGTAGAAGTTTTCCCCGACCTCATCTAGTCCATAGGCCTCCGAGATTGCCATAGCGAGCGTGGCGTTGCATACGAGCCAGATGGCCACCATGTAAGTACGCACAGCTCTGTAGTAATCCTCTTGCGCCTGCGCCTCGCTAGTCCCTGGCTTTGCAACCTCGAGTCTGTCACGGAGATTGCGGAGCGCAGCATCGTAGCCGGAGTCAATATCAAGTTGCTCGGATGGCATTTCGAGCTCAACGACATTGCCGGATTTCCCCTTGGCTGCGCCTAGGTCGGTGTGAATAACGTTATCGCCCTTGGTACCCCAGGTGACGTCGTGAGTGTTACAAAATGCGTAGACTTGTAACGTGCAGATGTAAGATGGGAGAAGCGCAAAGTATTGTGCTGCCGAAGTGAACATGTGCCACGGGTCAAGATAGAGAAAGGACATCAAGAAGTAGATGCCGACAGTTGACGCGGTGGAGATGATCAGGTTCGTAAACATGTTGTTTCCAAGCTTCAGCTCCGAGGCCGGATCTCGTAGTTGGCGCACGACGATCCAGAGAGTGGCAAAAGTCGTGTAGATCATGATGATGGAGTAGACAATCATACTGCTCATAAACATCTTCTTGGCACCCTGTGGACGATTTCCCATTGAGAGAATAAACTGAAGACAGATGAGAAGCACACAGGCGTAGCGGAGAATGATGAAGATGATCTTCCCGATGCCATGCCCGAAAGGATCTATCTTTGGATCGGAGAGAGAGCCAGCGATGAAGTAGAAGGTGAGGTAGAAATTGGCGAGGGAGAAGTAGGTAAAGAAGAGGGAGATGAACTGGTAGAGAAATTCGACGTGTAGCAGGATCTTGCGGAAGATGGTATGGTCGGTCGCCCAGATCTGTCGGAAGTGGAGTAGGGAGTACACGGCAGCGAAGAAAGCACCGTTGAGCCAACGACGCCGCTGTGAAATGAATTCAGGTACGGCATCTAACACATATTAGTCTAGAACACTCTCGATGGCAATCACATGGACTTACCCGGCACATCAGTCTCTCCAGTAGCACTCTTGACGTACTTGAGGACCCACCGCTCATCGCGTTTGGCGACAAGTTCCCAGCAGAGAATACGATCTTCTGCAAGGTACATGTTCGCAGTGAAGACGTCTGCATCTTGACCGTGGAGGGTCTCGCCCTTGAAGTATTGGCTCAAAGGGCCATGTCCTGTCGAGTCATTCTGCAATGCGTGATATCGGTAGGCGCTCAGAGCACCTGGGAGCACGGTGATGTAGCCAAAAACAGACTCCAGAGGCTTGTCGAGAATGTTTGACATCTTGTATTCAAAGTTTTGGGACGCCACAAGCGGGTTCAGAAGGCCTAGCCAGCCCTTGCCCTTACCTGCTTTGATTTCTCCAGCAGCGCCTGCAACACTTGAATCCATGTCGAAGGCTTTCCAGAGATGGTACAACGCCTTCGGACCAGGTTTCGTTCCCACATCAAGAAGAATGCAAACATTTGGGTTGAGCGCTCGGCCAATGGCGTTGAAAAACCATCGATGCGAGTTTAGCTTCTTTTGATTCTTTTCCTTGAGGCAGAAGATCAACTGGCAAGGGACGATCCCTTTCTCAGCCCCTTTGAACTTGAGGTCTGAGTCGAGCGAGACTTGGGTGGTATATTCGTACACGTGTGCCTTTACTTCTCGCTGGTTGACCAGATTCTTTGCAATACCGTCCTGGTAACATCCAAGCGCTGCAAGGGCATCTAGGGTTCTGGGATGGACTTTTTGTCGACCATCAGAAATGATGCATACGACAATCTTCTGCCATCCATCCTTTCCCCACGTCCTTGACTTTGTTCTGGAGCAGAAATGGCTAATGTTGCGCATGACACCGTGCATGGTGCGCGTAAAGTCGATCTCGTTTTCGTTGTACATGGTAATACAAATCAGCAACTCGGTTTCTCGCTCGGTGCGACCAATATTCTGCCTCAGCTTGTATCCGTGGTCGACAAAGTCGTCCGGGTCGCAAGTCACAGCTGTATATCGCATGTGGGTGAACTCTATATCGTCTCGTCTCGGAAGGAAGCTGTACAATATGGTGGGGATTTTGCACTCCAGAATGAGCTCTCCGTTGATCAGACGGACTTCCTTTCTCGTCATCTGGGCCTGTCTTGCGCCTCTTCGCTCTTGCGCGCCATCTGGAAGTTGATCGTATTCTCCATCTTTCTCATCCCCTAGATACTCGTCTGTGTACGTGTCGTCGGAGGTGTATGAATCGCGCGGTCGCAGGTCTGGTCGATTAACTTCTGGGTTGGGGGCAAAGACGTCATCAGTGTCTATGGGTATGGAAGTCTCCTCGGTGTGTGTTGTTTCCGAGTCGCGCGATACTGGTCTGCCACCCGCAAACAGCGGAGCCGGCGGCAACGGTCGCTTCGGACTTCCGCCGTATCTTGACGAAGGCGTACCAGGTCTTGGACTCCCATCGAGATCAACGGGCTCGTATTGTACGGTAGAAGCAGGAGGTCTGCGCCACTCGGATCTCGTAGAGGGTGTCCAAGGACGTGTTGGGGATGCGCGACCAGATGATCGCACGGGGGAGACGGGTCGGAACGGTTCGTAGGCAGGGACGTCCTCGTCTGGAGGTCGCATATCTGGAGCGTCCCCAATTATTGACTGGGCGCGAGAATGAATTGAGGAGACTGATGGTTGGTAGGAGCGGGACGGGGATTGTCTGTTATGAGTATGAATATTACTACGGGAACTTTGTTGATCAAATGTCTTTCGAAACAAATGTTCTTTCAGATTTCTATGCTTCTTAGTAGGAGACTTGGAAAGAGATGGTTGAGGTCGGGCAAGATTGACGTCTGGTGGATGAAGAATATCCAAGATTTCCTCTTCGAGATGAGCTTGATGCTTCTTATTACCTTGCTTGCCTCCGCCTTCACATGGAATTGAAACTGGCGACTCTGACATAGGAGAAGGATCGAAGCGATCGTCGGAAATGTTGACGAGCATAGAATCGGTCGGTGGTACTAACGGTCTGTATCCGTTTTCCTCCACGGAGGTCAGCAGACGCATCGACGCGCCTCTGCCACCCAAGTCGCCAGAGTCATCTTCGTCTGCGCCATATGATGGTGGAGGACCTGAATAGTCGCGACCAGGCGACCCTGGACGGTCCATGGCGATTGTCGCCGACTGAACGGAGCTGTAAACACGGCAATCTGGATAGCGATGCGACTAGATGCGATGATTCGTGCGGCGCAGTGGAATGGGAGTCAGCAATGAGAAGAAGATTATGTATCAATTGAAGAAGAAGATGGTGCGACAGTAGATTGAGCAGAGATGGTTTGTGGCAGTGGAAGGTCGTGCATAATACTATGTACATACGTAGTCCACTGCTCGATCCATGGTAACGGCTTAGGCCCGGGATGTTTTCTGGTTGCGTCTATCCCGTTTCCAGGGCAACCAGCAAGCTACAACACCCGCCCTTGCCCCTGCCTGACTAGGTGCGTGCTGATTACTAAGTGAACTCAGGCTTGTTGCCTTGAAGCTGTCTCACTGCTGCCTCATTGCTGCCTTACTGCTGCCTCATAAACCAGGCCTGCACGTTCGGACATTTTCAACAACGCTCTGCATGTATAGCGCCTAATGCAATGCGATGCATGTAGGGAGTCAGGGAGGACCTTGGGAGGATAGCGATGGCGTCTCTTTGCATGCGGCACAATTCTCAAATCACTCGTTGATCCCGGTAGTAGATACCCTCTCTCTCTTTCTCGTCATTCAAGCCATTATTAAATAATTATGACTACTGGCAGCATACCGAACTCTCTATTAACAGACGGCGCGGCCAACGGTCGATAATTAGTGGATACGTGCACGCGGAGAACGGGACACGCGACGACACGTGCAGGGTTCAACCTTGCAAACCTCAGGCATCAACATCTATTCTGAGCAGACAATGTGGAGACTCCCCTGGTGCAAACAGTGCCACGACTCCTTGCATCGTCATTCTCATTCTCACCACCACCACCATCACCATCATCGTTGTTATCATTGTTTGCTTCTCATCGTCGCCTTGTTTTCTGTGCCCCTTCTTTGCCTTTTCGTCCTGAGCGAGTGATATGATGGCCCGCTTCCTTTTCCAACCGCTCCCTCCAGCCTCCCCCCTACCCAAACGCCTCTGATTGGCATCCGCTCGGCTAATCCGCTAGAACATGGCCTTCTAGCCCTGCCTAGACAAGTGCAGCTCAAGTCTTTAATTGCAGAGATGCCACCTTGATCGACAGCACCACGGCACTCCGTCAGCCTCCTCTCCCTCTCTCCGCTGTGCTTTTTCAATCCTTCAAGAGGGCGGGTCGGGGCGACTCTTCTAACATGACTGTCCGCGAAACACCTCCCCTTCTTCCTCTTCCTCTCCTTCCTCTGGACGCTTCAAAATGCATTCAAAGGCGAGGTACAGCATAGAGAAGGGCAAGTCCGGGGTTGCTGCCGCCCACTCGTGCTCGATATGTGCCATGTTCGACCTGGACTTTGGCCATGACTACGAGTCGGCCACGAGGAAGACGACGTTGGAGTTAGGAAAGGCCTTGCTGCAGAACGTTCCAGAGAACGAGCTGAGGAAACTGTTACGGAACTTTGTCATATTCCCACTGAGGGTTACAGACCTCACTGGCTGGGCCATGTCAGGCTGCTACCTCTGCGAGTTCTTGCACGAGAAGATAGGCCATCCGACCTTGCTGTCCAAGAAGGACGAGACGAAATACATTGCCGCCCAATGGGAAGCTCCAGACCAGCCTATTTACTTTGGTCCATTTGAAAGTCAGACGCTACCCGAGAATGGCAAGCAACGACCGGGTCTAATGGACCAACAGACGTACGTCTTCCAGCCGGTTGTGTCTTCCAGTAAGTCACGTGACTCTATATATGTATCATATATCTTACCTCTGCATGCTAATTGTCTCTATATCATGTATTTATGTATTGATTTGTCGCTAATGCTTGCGTAGAAAGTCGATTGGCGCCTACCATCAACCGTCGACCCATCAATGCCGACCCAGGCCACCCGGTGGCTCTTCAGATGGCGAGGAAATGGTTGTTGAACTGTGCAAGAAAACATGATTGTCGCCCTTCTCCACGCGCCTCATTCATGCCGACACGTCTGCTTAGACTATCTATGAATGGAGATGATGTCGAGGTCAAGGTTGTTGAGAACCTTGCGACCAAGGAGTCTTATGCAGCCCTGTCTTACTGCTGGGGAGGGCCTCAACGAATAACGACGACGCAGGCCAACGACATACAACATCTCACCGACATCGACCTCCTTGCCCTGCCACAAACTATACAAGATGCCGTCAAGGTCTCGCTTGCCATTGGAATATCGCTGCTTTGGGTGGACGCTCTGTGCATAATCCAGGACTGTCCAAACGACCGAACCCTTGAGATTGCGTCCATGGCAGCCATATACAGCCATGCTGCAATCACCATTACCGCATCACGAAGCACCCACGCCGATGAAGGTTTCCTACACCCTCGCTCCCCGCCAAGTAATTGTGAGCCTGACCAGCTCTTCCGAATCAAGTTGCGCGCCTCTAACAAGTCTGTCGGTGCCGTCACCCTTATTCCAATGCACCACTTCGTCGACGACGAAGACGTCGATGTCTTGGACAACGAGCCACTCGACCATCGTGCGTGGGCGTATCAAGAGCGCCACCTCTCACACCGCATTCTCGATTTTGGCTCGTACCGTACACAGTTCGTCTGCAGACACGGCGTCCAACACGACCACCTACCATCCGACGGCTGGGCTCCTGAGCCAAACACCGTTGACTACAGAAAGACTAGACCTCTCCAGGCGCCCGCGCAATGGGATGCCCACATCTCAAACTATACATCCCGCAACATGACGATATACACCGACCGTCCCCTCGCCCTTTCCGCCCTCGCTGCCTCCCTATCCCAACCCACTCTGGGTACTTACATTGCTGGCCTATGGACAGCCACACTCCCGACATCCCTCCTGTGGACGACGTCCCATCCGCGCCCACGGCCGATGAACTACCAAGGCCCCTCCTTCTCCTGGCACTCCATCAACAGCACCGTCGTTCCACGCAGCACACCGCCCTCCTTCACCCCGGACCCGTCCCTCCGCATCCTCACCCACAGGTCCGCCCTCGCACATCCCTCTGCCCCCTTCGGCGCCGTCACATCCGCCGCCCTCACCCTGCGCGCCCGCCTCATCCCCGTCAAATACACCCGCGACCCCTCCGACAACGCCTTCCCGCCCCGCATCTACCACTTCATCCGCATCTCGCCCTCGGCCGGCCGACGCAGCAGCATGACGGAGCGCGTGCGCAAAAGCAGCACCACGCGCTCGCGCACCCAGAGCAACGCAAGCATGCTCAATCTCCCCGTCCGCAGCGAGTCGCCCTTTAGCATCACGCACCGCCGCGGTCGCAGCCCCAGCGTGGCCTTGACCATGATGTCCGCAACCCCTGAGCGGCCCGCGTCGCCGGACAGACCCCCGCTCGCCGTGGCCTGTGTCGAGGACAGCACCGAGTCGGAGTGGGTGCCGACGCTGAGCTATGCGACCGTTGTGTATCTGCTGTATGTCGGCGAGGACGCGGGCGGTATGCGCGGCTTGGTGGTGCGGAAGGCTGATACCGGCGGGAGTCCCGGGCGGAGTCCTCGGGGCGGGAAGAAGGGTGACACGTATTTGCGTGTGGGCGTGTGGACGAGCTTTCGGCTGGACAGGGGGCACGAGCATCGCAAGTGGGACTTCCAGGACGATGCGGGTGGCGATTCGGGGAGACAGTGGGAGTTGCAGCGGAAATGGATGTTGGGGCATGATGTTGAGAGCGTGACGTTGGTGTAGCATGAACGGGTGGTTGGGATGAGTATGATTCCATTCTTCGTGGTAATCCATCTGCAGACAACAGTTTTATATCCAAGATTAATAACTGCCTTGACGTTCATCTTTCATTTGCTATTCTCCATGACCCCATACCTCGTTAATACATGGACCTATTATCCTACACATTCACCGCCATACACACACACCCGTATACCCTCATATCAAAAACACCCAATCCCCATCCCATCATCTCATCATCACATCATCACAACTCTTATCCCCCCAATCTCCCACCCTAATCACCTCAGCCCTCCTCTCCCCTCAACCCCAACCCCAACCCCACCCTTCCCCTCCCTCTCCACACTCCCGCCCTCGGCATTACTCCTCAACTCAAAGCTATCCGACGTCGCACCGCCATCCTCGCGCCAAAACTTCTTGTCGCCGCGGACGGCACGCACGAACCAGGGGCGCGCGCCGCGGGACTCGCTGCGCCAGGACCAGTACTCCTTGAGGTCGTAGTCGTCGGGCTCGATGCGGCCGCGCGAGAGCAGGCTGAGCAGGTATGTGGTGCTGTTGATGAGGATGTAGGTTGTTATGCCGCTGTTTTTGGGGGGTTAGCCTGGGGGAGTTCATTGGGGGGGAAGGGGTGGAAAGGGGGAGAAGTAGAGGGGGAAAGAGAAGAAAGAAGGGGAGACATACGCAATCAGACCATACGCGATCGAGTACGAAAAGGGCATAAACACGAGCGTCACAAACGCCGGGATGGCGTCCCCCGGGTACCCCCAGTTTATCGCCAGCGTGCCCTTCATCATCATGCAGCCCACGAGCACGAGCGCACCGCCGGTAGCCCACGGCGGGATGGAAGCAAAGATGGGCGCAAAGAAGACGGAGACGAGGAAGCACAGCCCCGTCGTCATGGCGGTCAGGCCCGTGCGGCCGCCCTCCTGGATGCCGGCGCCGGACTCGACAAAGGCCGTGACGGGCGAAGTGCCGAAGAGGGAGCCGATGGAGATGCAGATTGCGTCGGTGCAGTAGGCGACGGTGGAGCGCGGGAAGTCGCCGGTGTCGGGGTCGACGACGCCGCTGAAGCGGGCCATGGAGTAGAGCGTGCCGGTGCAGTCGAGGATGTCGACGTACAGCATGGTGAAGAGGGCGAGGGCGAACTGGCCGCCTGCGCCGGCGAGATTCCAGTCCTGCACGGCGAGGGTGTTTTTGATGGGGCGGAAGCCGACGACGGATTTGAAGAACTGGAAGCGCGACTCGCCGAGGCCGGTCGGCCCGTCGTGCGGGAAGTAGGTGAAGTTGCTGTTGCGCGGCCAGGACATGATGGAGACGATGGCGATGCCGAAGATCATGGCGCCGCGCACCTTGTAGGTCATCATGATGGCCGTGAGGATGCCGCCGACGAGGAAGCCGATCCACATGGTTGGAAGGGTGGCCTTGTGGCTCTGGCAGGCTGGGCCGAGTTCTGCCACGACGTACTTTGGGTCGCAGCCCGCGAGTGCGAGTGGTGTTGAGACGTCTCCGGAGATGGCGCCAATGCCGGCACCGCTGGAGAGTCCGATCAAGGTGAGGAATAGACCGATGCCAGCACCGCATGCTACCTTGATAGACGCCGGGATGACCTTGGCGAGCCACTGTCGGAGGCCGATGAGCGATAGGAAGACGAAAATGAAGCCTTCGACAAACACGGCCGTCATGGCGAGCTTGTAGCTGACCGGCCCTGTTCCAGCAGGACCGACGACTTGGAAAGCCAGATATGCGTTCAGACCCATGGCTGGCGCAACAGCAACAGGCAGGTTGGCCAGGAGGCCCATCAGGAAGGAGGCCAGAGCAGAGATGGCCGCTGTGGCCGTGACCAGATCGCGCTGGACGTCCAGGGCGCAGAGTTGGTATTCGGTGTCTTCTTTGCATAGCGGGTCTTGAGAGGTGTGGGCACACTCGCAGGTCCCTCCTGTGCCTGAGATGATGGCGGCCTGTTGTCCGGTCAGGGAGGGCTTGGACACTTAGCTACAAGTGACTGCTTACATTGACTGAGATGATGTATGCCATTGTGAAGAACGTCGTGAGGCCAGCACGAAGCTCAGTCGTAAACTTTGAACCCGCAAACGAGTGTGGCTGTCAGGGCAGGGTTAGAGCTGAGTGAGATGGACGTGTTGACGCAGCACACATACGTGAGCAGAGCCCTCGAGATGAAAGTAGTACCCAACCGGGCTTTGAGCGACGGCATGATTGAGCGAATCTGCAAAACGCTCGAGGACAGTCATGGTGGCTCTCTCTCGTGCTACGCGTGGTGGAACAGCAAAGGAATGAAAGCCACAGGCGAAGAGGTGTCAGACAAGACAGAGCATAGAACGAACGACGAGACAAATTGAAGGAAGTAGAAAGTAGACTCGAGCAAGAACAGAAGGAAGTAGACCGAGGGGTCCATGAACAATATGGAGGTGGTATTCATAGTGAGCAAACATTATGGATGGTCGCGAAGGTGGTCGTAAGGGGGGGGAGGGGGGTCGAGGGGGGGCTTGAGGATGGTTCGGCAGAGATGGGATGCCGGGCACGCTAAGGAGTGAATGGGCCGGGGGGGGAAAGATGATTAGAGATGCATGGGAACATGAAGCATGGCTACTCTGCTGGTAAGTGGTTGTGGTGGTGGTGTTGGTGACATGTATGTTAGTACAAAACCGTTGTTTCGCGAGAAGAGAAAAAGGCCGAGTGGTGCAGTTCTTGGCCCGTGAAGGAGTCGGAAGAGACATCCAGGTACGGCAGGCGGATGATTGGTGGAGCCGCCGCCACCAGCGCATTGGTCTCCCTACGCCCGCCACGTTTAGCGGGCTCTAGGCAACTAACCTGCCCGCCAGTCGGGGGCTCTCCCTCCCTAAATTTAGGCTGCTTATCCCCCGAAGTCCCCCTAGCTTTTGGCTGCCTACGCCCCCCCGAAAGCCCGCTCAAGGTCCCCCCCTGAAAACAGCTAAATGAATGTCCCCACGCTTCCAAGCCAACCATCGAGCCTATACTGGGTACATACTACTATTACTACTACTACGGTATTCATGTCCAGTACAACGGTATGACCAGTACGACAACACTGCGCGGCGGAGAAGCCGAAATCGAGACAGTCTGCAAAGCTCAGCGCTCAGACTGACTGATGGTATGCCAGACATACGTCTGTCTACAGCGAGATTGCACGAGTAGAATACGACAGATTGTTTGCCGTGCTCGTACTTCTGTTGATGCTGGCCTGAGTGTATGTGTATGTGTGTATGCCCATGTATGTGTGAGTCGGGAGGAATGTCGGGTGACGGCAAGGAAGGCAGGGCACAAGCCGAGATGCAGATGATTGATATAGATGTAACAGATCCATCGCCCAGTCCATCTCGTCTCATCTCATCTCAAACCCATGGGAGATACAAACGTGGCACACGGAACCTGTCGGTCCCATGCAACGACGACGAATACGACTACGACTACGACTACGACCACGACCAAGGCGACGACGACTCTCAATCGACGCATGAGTGTGATAGGGACAGCAGTGTGCAGAGTGTAGTGTGTCTGTGTGTGTGTGATGCACGAGCTGACAGCCTGACAGCATGACAGACGGATGATTCCATCTTTATGTGTCGCAGATGTACCGCAGATCCATGCGATTATTTATCATCTATGGATTATGATTGTGACGATGCCGGCCAGGTACAGCGGGAGGGCTGCGAGTGTATGAGATGGCGGCATCATCCATCGTGCCGGGACGGAGTAATAATAATACACAGGATTCATCGTGGCTTTTACAACTGTCATTATAGTTATTGTTATTATCGTCATCCTCATGCAGCTACTATCGTGTGCACTTATGTACAACACGGTGGTCCCGTCCGTGCACTTGGTTGGAAGGATTTCGTTTATAATTATTAGAATAATCCTTCTCACTTTTCTTCTCACGTACTGCCTGCCCCCTTTCCCACGCGCTTCAGACTTGCTTATTATCTACAACTATCTGCCATCTACTGTCCACTACCTGTGCCTGTATCTGTATCTGTATCTGCAACTGCTGTCCAACTAATGTGTGCCTCGGCGAATTTGTGTGCTGCTGACTGCTCCGGCTGAAGTCCTACATTACCCTCCTGGTCCTGGTTCTGGTCTTGGCCTGGCCTGGTCCTCATCCTCCACATCCTCGTCCTTGTCCTGGCCGGTTTTGCAGGCGAAGCTCATGGATGACCAGGATACCCTTCTTCTACATGCAACAGCCCAACTCCCCACCTGAGACTCTGCTTCGAACACATTTTGATCGTATGTATTACATAGTGCATGCTGACTTGGTGCATGCCTGGGGCTGCCATCGCGATGAGCATACCTAAACATGGATGACCGTCATCGTGAGCCTGAGGATGGCCATCCTTTCATGTTGGTTGTCCTTCTTGTTGTTCCAGTTGCTGTCCTCCTTGGTGTTGTTGGATCAGTGCGCACTCCAATCTCGCCCAGACATGCACTAAACGCGCAATTGGAAGTTGGATGTTTTCTAGGCGTGGCCTGTGTGACGGCCGTGTGGCGCTCGTTGTCGATATCCAAAGGATCGTCGGTTAGTGGGGATAAGATGGATGAGATGCATCCATGCACTCAGTAGCTAATTACTCCCCCACCGCAGCCTTCACTCCACAGCTTCTGTCTCCACCACCACTCCCGTCCACCACGCCTCCACTATGCCTCTCTGGACTTCCACTGCCGACACTTGCAAACTCGAACTCTCGATCCCTCCACCACTCACATTTCCAAATCCCTAGTCTGTCTCACCCGCGCCAGGATGCACTTCCCCTGCCCAGACTCCCTCTCTTCCACCCAGTCTTGTAAGCTGCCCCTGTCAACAACACCCTGCACGCACCCGATACGCTGGCCACACGAGCCACCGTAAGATTGGCTCTACTCGTCCTGTTGCATCATTGCTTGCTTCACTCAGTATCAGCCTGCACTCGGGCTCATGCCCCGTTGTCCTTCTTAACCTGCCGCTCAAGATCAACTCTTTCCTGCTTTTGTTCCTGTGCTCTGGCTCTGTCTTCTCCATCTCTTATCACATCCATCCTCATGTTTCCAACTTATGATTGCCCCCAGCATGCTGAGACGGTCGGTATGCGGAAGGCCAGAATGGCCAGGGACAGGGACGGTGCTGTGGGTCGACGACGAAAGTCGACAAGCAGCACTTCAGACAATCGCAACAAACTTCATCACACGCCTACTCTGAATTCAGATTCCGCTTCTATATACACCACTCGTTCGAAGGGTGCCTCGACGAAAAGTTCGTCTGGTTTTGGGTTTTGGAAGAAAAAGGACAGGGATGTTACTGAGATACTCGACGTCCCCATGATGAAGAAGGACAACAAGACCACCGACATCAAGACGACTGAAATCACCCTTTCCACTGCTACTCCCAAATCACCGCCGGTACTCTCGCCAGTTCCTTCGTCACGTATACGACCACAAACTTCGCATGCTCCATCGGTGCCGTCAACATCTCCGCCATCACTCACGTCCGTCTCGCAAAGCACCTTGGCCTCTGCTGACATTGCCCATGATTCACTGGACACTCCACCACCGCTACCAAGGACAGCATGGCAAGAGGCTCCCGCAACTCCACCACCCTCGCGGGGTCTTCCATCCCTTCCTCCGCCACAGCCCGTTCCGACCTGCCAGCTCCCCCCTCTTCCAAGCTATATACCACCACCGCCGACTCAGCCTCTCCCACAGCCTCTCCGTTCCAAGCCTTCGCTCAAGTCCCTTCGCCAGCTACCCTCCCGGGTCAACTCGACCTACTCCAGTGATTCAAGAGCAGCATCATCGATGCGCTCTTCAGCCATGTCCGACGGCCGGAGCATCTTCACGTCGTCCCACCACCCAAGCGCCGACGTCATATCCGAAGTGACCGACTACGACCAGATGTCTTCCCTGAACTGCCGTCCGACTCACCCCCAATACCGCGGTCTGTCACCACTGTCTTCTCCTGTAGAATCCAGCCACCCACGGCACTCGCAAGGTCCCCCTTCGCACCCCGAAAGCACACGCTCAGCATCCCGCATGACCGAGCGCAGTGGCCCGCCCCTAGCCCCTTTCGCGCGTGCCCTTGCAAAGATGGAGAATGCCGGCCCACGCATCATCGCCGCCCGCCTCGCTGAGGAATGGGAAGGTCTGGACGACGATGACGACTCCTACGCCGAAGTTCAGTTCGAGAAGCGGCTATGGGCTCTCACCGCATACCAATGGCTAACCCAGGGAAAACAGCTGCAATCGCCCACCCACGAGCTCCTCCTCCATGCTGTGCCTTCTCAGGGGAAACGCATACTGCACCTCCACGGTAGCCTGGCCGACGGCTGGACTCTCGCCGCCCGTTACCCAGCCTGCACTGTCTATTCTGTATCTTCCACAAACACCTCCGTGCTGCCTACCACGTACCCGGCGCCGCTCAACCACCACTCCCTCTACGTCCCGTCCGTCGCCTCCCCACTCCCCTTCCCCGACTGCTACTTTGACGCCGTGCTCTCGCGCTCGCTCGCCTCGTCGCTGGACAACATCGACTGCGCCCGCGTCTTCCACGACTGCACGCGTGTGCTCAAGCCCGGCGCCCGCTTCGAGATCCTCTCCCTCGACCCCTACTTCAACCGCCAGGGCCCTGCCCTGCGCGCCTGGGCCGACACCCACCTCGTCGCCCGTCTCGAGGCGCACGGCAAGTCCATGATGCCGTCCGACACTGTCGTCGACACCATGGGCATCGTCGGCCTGCATGACGTCAAGCGCGTGCGCATCGCCCTGCCCGCCCACCTGGCCGACGCCCCTGAGAGCACTCGTCTGCTCACTCTCCTTGGCCGCCACATGGTGCAGGACTTGTACGGCCGCTTTCTGCGCGTCTATGCCGGCGAGCAGTGGTTCTGGAACGTGCCTGGTGGCGAGATCGAGAGGGAGTGCGAGCGCCTGCAGACGAAGATGGTATTGACTATTAGCTGTGGCACGAAGGAGACCGCGACCCCTGATGACTTCCGCTTTAGGGGCATGGACTCGTAATGGGACATGTTTCTCTTTTTTTTTTGATATTGTGTAGGGGTTTTAAAAGCGGGTTCGGTTCGGGTGGGATATGGGGGACGGGAACGATATGCGCATGGGTTTGCGCGGTCACGAGAACGGGCATGCACCGGAACGGCACGCGATGCGATGCAATGCATGCGTATATACATGCATGTACCCTGCACGCATCATAGAAGCTATGTATTCTTCTTCTTTTTCCTACAGTAGATCCGATACCCTCACGAGCGATGTACGACCTCTCCTTCTATCTTTTCTTACTGTATTCTATTACACGGCCATAGACTGTTTCCTTTCTCTTTTGTCCTATCTCGATGTAGAACCAAACCGGAAGACCAAAAGTAGACACTAAGTCAGCTATAATTCCAGCTACATCTGTCTCGGATGCATCGCCGATGGTTAGAGTAGATACTTAGGCTTTGCAGTCAGTCGATTATAACATCTGGGGAGCGCTCGTCCGTACGTGCTTAGTCCAAACCCAAATAAAAGAATATAGCCTACTCTATAACTATCTTAGACACTCCGCCGGCGCCTAGAGGGACCTGTTCTCGCATATCTCGCCTCCGCCATCCGGCACCCGCGATCCATACCAGCCCTGACCCGTTCTCAACCATGCCCGTGCTAACCACCACGACGTTTTCGGATCCCCAACCCGAACGTACCATTTCTAAACCCCTCCTCCGCTCCGCTAAAGCGCCCGGGTAACATACCTTATCCATCCTAACACCTGCACTATACTAATCATACTCACGCTCGCGCTCGAGCATCTAAGTTCTAACGCAGTATCTCTAACCTGGAGCCGAGCCGTACTAACCATCCTCAAACCGTACGCAGCACCGTGGACTACCCTGGTTAATGCGCCGGCGGCTAGAGTAAGTAGCCGTGGTTCCGAGATCCGAGATCACGTATTTCTCCATGGATCTCACTCGCATTCTATGCCTGTTTGATCCACTACCCGAGCAGTCCCAATCCGTCCAACTGGACCAGACCCTCCGCTCAAGATGTGGAGTAGAGCGAAGCTAATGAAGGCTATTCTCCTACTACTATACGGTATACCTCTGACTTCGGTGCCAAGAAGCTGCTCCGTGTCGAGCCAAGTCCGTCGAACTATGGATGCATCACGCCACGACTCAACATGACGACAGGTCAGGACAGAGGAATGGTCATACTCGTGGTCGTTGCTGGTAGCGAAGTTGTGATCTGCGCGTGCGTGCATGTGTGGAGTGCAGATCTGCGCGCGAGGGAGAAGAGTGGGCGGTAGAGATGTGATCTGTAAAAACAATCAGGATTGACTACATTTCTGGGCGCCCACTCTGCTATGGACTTGGGCATTGGGCTATGGGTGAATAAGATAAGCCGCTGTGACAGGGCGCGATGTGTAAGAGGTTTATCGCATGAGGCGGTTAGCGAGGAGAAGCTTGCTCTGTATTTGAGACCGACACGTACTAACCATCCCATCCATCCTATCCCATCTAACCAAAGAAGAAGAAGAAAAGGCAAAGCCAAAAGAAACCCACAACAAAGAAGAAAATAAAATACCGATGGTCCGTCTACCAACCTATCACGCACCGCGCACAGGGTCCATATGTTGATAGACGTACCATGTATACACACAATCAACCAACAAGCCACCCCAGCCTAAACCTCACCGTCGATCACACCTCACAAAGAGAAGGAAAAAGAAGCGCGAGACGCAGAATAGCGCTCGGCGCACGATGAATGGCTGCGATTCTAGATGCCACAAATACACCTGCACAGCCAATCCAGACTCGCGTCATGTGCTTGGCGCAATACGCGTGCTGGATTGGACGTGGACGACCCCCTCCCTCGGCGCATCGCCATCTATTTGATTCATCACACGAGGTGAGATGTAGATGAGGCTGCGCAAGTATTCGGGAATAAATACGAAGTGTGAATTACCCGTCTAGCGCGGGCCTAGACATACTATCCATCAAACCAAAACATCGAATAAACGAGCCGACACAACACACTCGAAGAGCAACAACACGTCCTAAAGCCCTGTCCCTGCAGCCGATCCCGTCTCACTCCCGTCCTTGCTTCCCGCAGTTCGCCCCTTCTTGTATCTTACCTAATTAGCTGGAAAGGGGGTAGTCCTAACACTTATCTTCGCGCTGTTATGATCTTGGATAGAGTTAGCTAAAAAGGGGGGGAGGGGGAGGGGGAGGGGGAGGGGTTAATGGGCATACACCTATGCATCAACAAGCTAGACTAGACTAGCGTCATCGTGGCGTGCGTGGCTAGCGCACTTACGTGCGTTAATGTCGAGGGACTTTTAGACTTTGGCGGGCCTTGCCCTTTTTGCGTACTTCGTTTCCGATGGACTGCCGGCGTGGCATGGTGAGCGCGTACGGTTTTGAGATGGAGATGGGAGCGTGGTGTGGGTGTGGGTGTGAGATTCTGGTGGGTGAGAGTAAGAGTTGAAAATGGGGGGTACTTGGGTTATTCCGTATGCTTGGAGAATGTCATATTTACTTTGCACGTACTGTTCTCTATATATCATGAGTTAATTTTATTGATGTTACTAACAGGGTTATCAACTTGATAGAGCCTATAATAGATATACACACGTTCTGCCCCATGTATGTTGTACTATAGAGAAAGTCCTATGGGTTATTATATCCTAGTAGTCCTAGGTGTAAGTGTCTATACCATATGCGTTTATTGGAATATCGATGCATTTACTGGCTTTATGACTCGCGTCTTTTTCACTGTATATCAACAAGCCTAGACGGAATCCTATATCACATAGGTATTTTGAGCCGGCTAATGTACCATAGGAATTATTAGTAAGATATGTCTTTTGCATCGTGTACCGCACATGTCATCAGGTAATTAAGGCATTGGACTTTGGACTCAAATATCTGTTGCGTAAACAGGTATGAATCCTAGCCCAACTACGCATGGTTATACTAAATCAGCTCCAGCTCTTGACATTGTTCTTGGACCTGAAAGCCTAAACCATACGAATAATCATATGAACGATGTCGTAGTACAGAGGGGTAGCGACAGAGGGGTAGCGACAGAAAAAGGTATTAAAATAGATAAGCGATCATACCATCACCATTCCAAACCTAGCGATTAGGCCACAGTACTATATTATGCAGAGCTGCATAGGCCGACGAGACTACACACCACCAAGAGCCGGCCAGTGGGTTCATGTCCGGTGTCAAAGCCGTAGGACAAGAGTCTAGTTTCCGCTTCAATATCCCAACGGGCCCCATCACTCACTTTTGGAGTGGTAGACATAGAGGAGGGGCCAGTAGATCTGCTAAATGGTCCAGAAAAGGGGTCGTAACATCTCATCCGAATCTGGATATGTCAGTCTTTGGGTACGTACTCATCCATACGGTTCAGGGGCTAGTAAAGAGGTATACAATCTTATAGATAGTGGAGTGTAGAGGTATATGATTGTATCGAGAGAGGCATCAGGATACTGGAGTGCTTGAAAATCTCTTAGCTGAAGAAGCCTGACGGCATTCGACGTGAAAACTGACACAAAATGGCCTATAGACAAAGGTTAAGAATGGTAGATGGGGTATTGCAAAGGTCACCCATTGAATGTGAATGACATGGAGCCTTGAATCAGCCTTCACGAATACGAAAGTTCGAAGGTTAGACTGCCTGGAGTGTTAGAATAGTAGGCCCAGCCTTAAATCAACACTTTGTCCACGACATTTTTGAACAAGCAAAATAGACAAAAGCGTCATGGGTCATTTGCCCCTGTCCACAGCGAAGAATCAGACTTCGGCGGAATTACACCCGTCCAAGACTATAGGACCATGATACCTGAGTTGCAATCTATCTATAAAGTCTACGGGACAAAAGAACCAACCATATGCTACATTTTATTATCTCAGCAGTACTTGTTAACATCCCCTATTTGGCAATCTCTACCCCGTTGGAAGCACCTAAGGCGTGTTAGTAAAGCGCGCAACACAGATTCGGCTCAACCTACCCAAAGCCTTCTTGATATCACCATATATAGCAAACTGGCCCGCCGTCAAACCACCCACCATAAACAACCGCGTCGGCAGCCCAGCAAACGAGCCCCGCAAACCAAGCTCTCCCGCAATCTTCATGAGCCGTGCAAGAGTACTCTCGCCAGGCAGTCCCTTGGTCTTATTGATCTTAGAAAGCATGGTATCAGCAGGCTGGGAGACAATCGCCGCGGCAAACCCCGCGAGCAGACCAGATCCAAGATTGAGCGTGGTGTCACCACCGATGAGTTTGTCTGTATTCACGCGAGCCTTGAAGAACTCTGCGATCTTCTCGAAAGCGACAAACTTCGTCACGGTGTATGGGACTTGCTTGAAGAGAATCGGTCCGAAGCCGGAGTAGAATGCGCCAACGCCTTCGTTCTTCAGGATCTTACTGAAGCCTCCTATCAGCCCGTTCGCGAATCCAGGCGTCGAGACAAGTCGGATCCGCGTAGCTTCCAACGGACAGAGCGCTATTGAGGCGAAGAACTCTGCAGACGCGGATGACACCGAGTAGACTGCTGTTCGATTGCGTCTTGCAGACTCGATGCCGATGACGTTTATAGACTGCTGCTTGAAGAACTCATAGCCGCCGAACTTGAACGCGCCCTGTATGAAGTAGCCGGTGAAGGTTGGGCCGAGGCCTGTTAGGAGTGTGCGAGCGCCTTCTTGGGAGAGCACTTGGCGGAAGCCGCCTATCATGCCTCTATTGTACGTTATCGGATCCAGTTGGATCTTCGTCTTCACGCTGTGTTGCGGTCAAAATCATGGTTGGTTGCAGAATTGTAGTATCGAGACACATACACATCCACAGGGGTAAAAGCGCCATGGGTGATGGAGCACCCCAGAGCTCCAGCGAGGGCAAAGCGGGAGTACAGGTCGAAGCCCTTGGGGGAATTTGTCGGCGGAACGAGAGAAGCCATGGCAACATGGACGGTGGTCATATTCTGGGACATGCAAATGGGTTTATATATAGGTTTGCATTGTCCGGCAATGACCAATGAGCGCGCAGCACTAGTGCATCCATTGATTACTAGTGGCTACCGCATTCGGCTAGCACGGCGGAGCTGAGACAACCTAAGCCCTGCCGCTATTGCCGACATTTCAATCAACCTCCTGATTAGTATCACTTTTTCATCATGTATTCTGCGCCATGCGACAAGGCTCGAGGGTGCGCGATGAAGAGACCGAAACAGTACGGCGACGGAGAGAGCAGGTGCGGCTGAATGTAGCAGCCCTACGACGCCGACGAAAGGCCCTCACAGGCAGCCAGCACGCGCAGCCAACGTGGAGCAACAAGACACAGCATGACTTCGGGAAAGCTACGTGTATATCCGGCTCAAGATCTCGCAAACACCCAGTCGATGCTAGCGCCCTGTCGTCGGACCACGTGCTACTAGCCGTCCCCGTCGCCGGCCAGCAATACGCCGAAGTGATAGTCCAGTTCTTGCTCCAGCAGATTCCGAAGAAATCAGACAGTCAAGCCCCTTTCTGGCCGCCGCATCATTGGATGATCTTGCTATCAGAGCACACGATTGTGAATGAGAGCCTCCATCTTGCCATCAAAGCCACGGCATTGCGGGTTTTGAGTCTTGTTCGGCTGGATCGGCAGGCGCATATCAGCGGCCTGAATTTGTATGGAAGGGCATTACAGACGTTCCGCCATGAGATTATAGATGGTGTTTCAAGTCCAGGGGATATGATTGCCACAGCTCTAATGATGGCATCGTTTGAGGTATGGAATCCGCTCCCACGTGGTCATGACTGACGTCTCGTCAAGCTGATGAACCTGACTGCGGGCGGCGTCCAGCGTTGGCGATCGCACGTGGAGAGCGTGCGACCGGTCATGTTGAACTGGGCACGATTCGCGACAGATGACGCGTTTGGTAGGTCGCTGATAAGCTGTTGGGATACACAAATGGTGCGGGACCTTAAAATGTCAATGTTCGCTCCAATTAACGCAGTGAAAGGTTTACTCCGAACTACTTGACGAGGAAAGTCGGGCCTGCGAACGGCAAAGCACAGAGGGGGGCTGTGGAGATATTCCCACGTGCACGACCCTAGAAAACTACATGCTGGTCCAGCAGCGGAAACTGCTTTCCTTGAGCGCTGCGTTGCGCTTCAGCCCCTATACGCACGATCCGTTGGAATCCGAAGTACCCGAGGACAGATATCGTGAGACTCTGACGACGGAACTCGATCACACATGTGATATTGTGGAGAAGAGGTATGGTCTTCTTGGCAAAATCATGACTATTCTGCCCAAGACGATTGCCAGTCCTGGGGGCCTGGATTCGGAGGTCGATCTCGTGCAGTACAGACTAGGCTTGCAATGAACGACCGGCAAGTTGGCTCTTAGCTCGGACTCGACAAAAGAGTGGATCTACAAGCCGGCTTTATTGACGACTTCCGAGATAGAGCGCTCGATACATGGCTAGAAATCTCTGAAGTTTCTGTGTTTCTGTTCGATGAGGCTTCACACATGTAGGGGTATGCACATGCATCATTCCCGGAAGAACAAGGCAGGCTAGGTGTTGGGTAGGCATCAGGGGCTGAATGACCTCCTGATCATAGTATATCAAGCAGAGCACGAGACGAAGTGCGACAGATCAACAGCAGCAATGAGATGAAGAGGTAAACATAAGCCTATATTCAAAAATATAGTGCGCCAAAACTTCCCAAACCATGACCCTACCTAACCCCAACCATAACATCCTCCACGAAGAACCAAAAAAACCCAGTCCATCTAACCCCTGACCAGAGTAAGGCTGTAGGCAGACAGAATCTCGTTCACAGGCTGGAAGTAAGTCACGCCGCCGCTAGTGCAGTCGCCCGAGCCCCCGGACGTCACACCCTGAGCCTGAGACCCAGAGTAGAAGGAACCGCCCGAGTCACCAGGCTCAGCGCAAACACTAGTCTGCGTAAGCCCAGTAACGCTGCCCTGGGCGTAATTGACCGTCGCGCCGAGCGCGCGAACAGCACCGCAGAAAACACCCGTGGTCGAGCCAGAGCGACAGATGCTCGCTCCGACAGCGGCAGCCGTGCTGCCGGCCACGGTAATCGTGCCGCCGTTGTAGTTGTTGATGACGCCGGAGAAGGTGTTCCCGCTGGCGCCGCGGATGTAGCTGTAGTCGCCGCTTCCAGGGAACACGGAGCCGGCGAAGGTGCCGAGCGTGGTGCCGCCGGAGGAGCTAGTGGTGGCGGTTGCGCCGGACGAGCCGCAATGCCCGGCGGACACGAAGCCCGTGGTGACGGAGAAGCCGACGGAGCAGCGGGCGCTGCGGTTAATGTAGTATGCGTCGCCGCCGCGCACGGTGGCAAAGGTCGTGGGCATGGCGGCCACGGTGCGGACTTCAAACTCGGACTCGACGAGGCCGACCTGCTTGGCTAGATCGGCGGCCTGGGCGGTGCTGCCGGACAGGGCCTCGAGCACGAGCTTGTTGGCGGTGACGTCGACGAAGTAGGCTGCGATGCCGGTGGGCTCGGCGGACTCGAGGAGGGATTGCGGCATGTCGAGCTTGTCGAGGGCTTCCTTTGCTTGCTCGAGCTTGGAGAGGGGCGCGGCGACGACGAGCGGGGTTGCGCCGGCGGCGGAGACGGCGGGGGTGAGGGCTTCGTCGGTGACGGCGACGTTGAGCTCGCCGTCGACGAGCCAGGCGCCGGCGAAGGCGTTGCCGGTGGAGGTGCGGAGCTGCTCGATTATTTCGGTGGCCTTGAGCTCGCGGGCGACGCGGACGTGGGCTTGGTCGGCGTCGAGGCCGAGGTCGCGCTTCATGGCGGCGAGGATCTTGGGGTGGAGGGTGTTGGCCGCGGTGGTTGGGGCGCCGTAGACAATGGGCAGGAAGACTGCCAGGGCAGCGAGGAATTTGGTGAGCTCCATGTCTTTGGGGGATCTTTTGCTAAGGGCTTTGAAGGGGGAGAGCGAGAAGTGTTGGTGTTTTGTGCTGAGCGTGAGATGGTAAGACACTGGACTGTCGCACATGGAGATATATATACCTGCTCCTGCGCCGGTGGTGTTGTGAATTTCATCATTTCTCTAAAGATGAATGTCCAATGGAGAGCCCTCGATACGTCTAACTGCTATGACATGTTACCTTCCACAATCTGCAGTAACACGTTACCGTATGCACTCGCGGTGCTAGGCAGATTATCTCAAAGGGGCATCTTACAAGACTTCTACATTGCCATTCTCCCTCCGATTCTCTTAGGGTACCAACGATAGATTAAGATACTATATCTGCCCATACACGATGCGATCTCGCAAGCTTAATAGGAAGGAGTAGATCTACGCTAAGAGGGTCGGTCTTATGATCTGAGATAAGATGTCGACCTACCAGCCAGCCTTAAGCGACGGCCTGCGTACGGATGGAATATGAATAGCTACCCGGTCTATATCTCTATACGCCACCTGCCTAATCAAACACCTTTATCCGCTGCTAATAGGGAGGTAAGTCTGTTGTCTGTTCTGTCATGCAGGCGACTAGTATGGCAATAGTCGTCATGATTGGCCGCGTTTTTTGGTATTCCTATCTTGGATCATGAATGAAATCCAGGGGCTTGAAGCGCTCCCAAGACTTTAAATCAACTACAGCAAGGCACCCGTCTGAGTCACGCAAGAATGGACAATTGATAGATAGGTTCTAGCAAGAGGTATGTGTAACTGCGCTGGGCAGTTAGTATGTTCTTCCATGATATTAGCCAAGTCTTGCGCCATACCTTGACACCTTCCAACTTCTCTCGTCAAGAACTGGAGCAAAAGCCTACGAGCCTGAAGGATCTTAGTCATTCAGGTCAGATGTACAAACTCGCGGTCGGCCATCGCCTCCGACCGTCCTGTAGTGAGGTGAGGTGAGGTGAAGTGAATAGCAGCAGCTAGAACAACCGCAGCGCGCGCCTGCCAAAATAGAGCAGGGATCAGCATCCATGCTAGCGATCGACAAGAGATCAGAAACGTCTGTCGATCCTTATCGTTGCGCTGTTCATGCCATATCTTAGGTAGCCTCGAACCTTCCTAATACGTTCATGATTGTCCATCTTGGCATCGCATCCATACTTCTATCGCATCTATGGATCCACCCACCACACCTGTCCACACGAGAGAGATCCATCATCCAACGTCGTCCATCAAGTCGACCAATGACAGATGGTGTTTTTTTACTTTTGCGTGTTTGCCCGCTTCAGACTAATCGCTGTAGGCGTCGTCGTGTCCGTTCCTGTAGAAAGTATCCATGGATATGGAAACTCGCTGTTTGAGCATAGCAATGCAGAAACCCATACCACGAGACGCAGTGCAGCATCCACCAACTCAGCGGACCTTTCGCAACGTCCATGCAGGTGCATCTCCGGTAAATCCGGCATTTGAAGGCGGAGAGAAATCCACTGCTGCTCCAAAACGTTTGCGTGTGGGTGTGTGCCAAAGTCCCATTCCAAGCTAGGGGCATGGATCCGTGGAGATACCCGGGGTGATGACTCGGGGGAGTTTTTGGATCTAATGCGGGTACATACTATGAAACATTCGCATTGCAACTCCCGAATACGCGGTGGTCTGGTCTGGTCTGGTCTGGTATGGTATGGTCTGCTCGCTACTAATAACAGACCATGGCGGAGTGTGTGGCTAGGGCTGATGTTTGTGACTGTTGTTCAGCTTTGTTGTCGGAGTTTACACTGCTCTCCTCCACCAAATAATCGAACGAGTCCGTCTTACGGCTTTCTATGTATTTAACCTATAACGGCGCTGATGAACACAAGGTCCGCATTATTCGTTTGGTGCCGTCGCGATATATATATGATATACACGTATGTACCAACTAGCTCCAATTTCGGCACATCACACACCGAGCGGGTCTTGATGCCCTACCAGGTCTGCATAGTACCTTTTGCCCACTCATATGCAGCGAAGAGCCCTTTCCAGGCACTGCAGTCGTACAAGTGAATATTACATACACATACACCTCACGCAGAGAGCCAGAGAGCCAGAGAGCCAGACAGCCAGAGAGCCAGAGAGCCAGAAAGCCAGACACAGAGCAGTCCCCTCCAAGTAATTTAACCGCCTAGCCTGCTCGACACGCTGGTAACAACTTGCGACCGAAGACTTCTTAGTCCTATGCATAGAGGCTTAGTCAATTCAGTTCAGCTCAGCTCCAACATCTTAAAATGCACGATGTTGCGTATGAATACATTCTATTATTACAACTTGAAGCTGGTAAGTATCTAATCCAGCCCGATTACGTACCGTCCCAAATAGCTGACTGAGCTGAGCCTGGACCATTTGAAGTTACTAAGGCATAAAGGCAGCAAGGCAGCAAGGCACCAAGGCATGAAGGCATCAAGGCATCAAGCAAGCGAGCGAGTAAAAAGACCTAATCAATTAAATTAATAGCCTTTTTGGCCAGATTGGGGTTAGTTGGGTAGTACAGTAGCTGCGAGGCGAGGGCGAGGGCGAGGGCAAGGTGCACCCAGGCAGGCATACAGGCAGACAGGCAGGCATACAGGGCTGAAAAGGGAGGGGACCGGGATTATATATAATTAGCTCAGATGCATCGTGCATAGACAGAGGCGCACGGATGAAAAATAACTACAGTACAATCTCCCAACGCGTGAGGACGAGCCGAGAGCGGATATCAAGGTCCAAGATCCAAGGTCCAAGATCCACGACAGAACGGGATGTGTTATATTCACAGTCGTCATACTACTGTATATTTCATTAGACAGAACAAATATATTCCATTTCGACAACGAAACCCAGATGTATAGAACCAGCAAAATACACAGTGTCAAATCGCATCGCGCCGGCCTCCAACACCACCACCACCACCAGCACCCACAGATCGAATTACAACTCCTTGGTCGACCGGGCTGCGCCGCTTCCCTGCGCACCTGGCGGCGCCTCCACATCGCCCTTCTTCCGCTGAATCCGCTCCCACTCCTCCTGATCGCGCTCCTCGTCCAGCGGACTACCCGTATAGTCCGTCGTCTCCTCGTCCTCGACCTCCTCGGCCAGCATCAAGTTCAGGATGCAGGCGACGAAGCCGGCAATCGCAAAGCCGGATTCCATGACGAGTGCTATGGCGTCCATGAAGCCGCGCAGCGCGGAGTTGGAGCCCTCGTAGGTGAAGACGTAGCTGAACCATCTGTGGCGCCCGTTAGTAGGTGGAAGAAAGCAGGTGAGGAGGTGAGGAGGGGACAGAGGGGACGTACGTTGGAACAAGGGTGGCGCCGAAACCTAGTGTGAATGCGGCAGTAAGCACGAACCGATTGCGACGCGTGAACGGCACGGTGTGGAGAATGGCCATGCCGGATACAGCTACGGCGCTGAAGAGGAACGTGGTCATGCCGCCCAAGACAGCGGAGGGAATGGCGACGAGTGCGGCGGCGAACTTGGCGAAGATGCCCATGATGATGAGCCAGAAACAGCATGCGTATCCAGCCTTGCGGTTTGCGCAGCGCGTGAGCGAGATGACGCCGTTGTTCTGTGCAAAGGTGCTGACGGGCGTGACGGTACAGAGAGTTGCGAGTATGCCGTTCAGGCCATCTGCGCATACACCACCTTGGATTCGAGAATCATACATCTTCCCGTTGACTTCGAGACGACTGACATCGCAAGTAGCCGTGATGTCACCAATGGCTTCCATGGCAAGAACAATGTTGACTGCTAAGAGGGGTAAGACGGCTGGTCCGTAGACACTAAGCTTGAATGTATGGACCCAGATGAAGGAGACTGCAGGCGAGGCGTTGATGGAAGAGTTGTCAAAGTAGCCGGTCGCGGCAGCGATGATACAGCCGACGAGGAGACCGATGACGACGGCAGCGGACTTCATGATTGGGCTGCCAAAGCGCTCGCAAATGATGATGGTGACAAAGACGGAGAAGCCAAGGCCGATGAACTCGGCACTGCCCCATGGTAATGGATGAGGAGCGTTGATTGTTGGGCAGAGTCTGTAGAGGCCAGTCTCGGGTCGGGTGTTGCAGGTGCCACTTCCACCAGCCCAGTTCAGGAAGCCAGTCTGGATAAGACGGACACCGATGAGGACGACAGTAGGGCCTGTAACAAGAGGGGGAAAGAGCTTTTTGAGAAGGACTGGTGGCATGAAGGAGATGAGTATTATTATGAGCGAACAGCAAGCTGCAGTGCCAAGGAGAGCGCCATAACCGTCTGGACATGGCAGCTTGACGCCGTTGGCATCAGTAGGACACATGCCATTCTCGTACATCTGAGCAAAGGCGCCAGTGAGGACAGGGATGACGGAGAAGGAGGTTCCAGCGACGGAGATGAGACCAGTCCCAACATAGTAAGGGGTTCCATATATGTGGAATCGAGTGATTTGGATAATGGTCAGGAAACCGCATACGATCAGAGCTGTAGAGACGAGATATTGGGTAATCTCAGTACCCAAGTTGGCAGCACCAGAACCGGCAAGGATGAGAGGAGGGGTGATGACACCGGCCAACATGGCGAGAGCATGCTGGAATCCAAGCAGTAGGGCCAGAAATAGAGGCATCTTGTCGTTCAAGCCAAAGAACGGAGCGGTCCTCCTCTCCTTCTTCATGAATGGGAGATTTGGCTTGAAGAGAAAGGCATAGTCATAATTGCCAATGAGGCCGTCTCTGGCAGATATCAGTTCTGTTGTTGTCGAGAAAGCATGAGCAAACGTACCTGGTGGTGAAGGACTTGACGAAACCACGAACTTTGGTGGACATGGACCTCTTCGGGCCCATGTCAGGCCCGATGCGATCGGGATCATGGTCCATTTCGAGGTGTTTTGATTGCGGCGATGCAGAAGACGCGTGGAGACTTTTGAGGGTTTGGTCGAACCTGTAAGCTGTTTCACGGCGCAGTCATGGACGAGCCGGGAGGTCGAAGGTCAGGAGTCACAATGACGAACGAACTTGGACAGTGGATGAATGGCGATGCTGCAGGGCTTGTATGAAGGCAGATTGGATGAAGGTGGACAGATGAATAGATGAATAGATGCTGATAAGCAGCAGCAAAGAGGCGGAGATACGGGCGTGGGAGACGAGAGCACGGATGCGCTCTCTTGATGGATTCTTGGTAGCGGCTCTGGATCCGGAATGGCAGAGAGAGACGGCAGTAGTTGGTCGCAATAAAACGAGATGGGCACATACAAAGCAGTTTATAATATACATAATAGTAGTAGTAGTATGCATCTTTATCATGAAAGCCGTCTATACGTCCACAATGGATGCATGCGACAGTCAGCCAGCAGACAGACCTGTCGGAGGCAGCCTGTGTCCGGCTGGGAGTTGGAGACAGCCGCCCATCAGCAGTCAAGCTTCAAGCCGGCCAGCCCGCTAGCAGAGAGAGTGTGAAGATGGATTGATTCAAGAACGGGTGGATCCAATCCATTCCAATCCCTTCCTTGCCTCCAACCGAACCAACTGAACTGAATCGATTACTGGCATGTTTTTCTAGTTGCCGCTGCCACTGCGGCTGCGGCTGCGAGAAATCACCATCAAAACTACCACGACGCCAGAGCTCGGCCGAGGAGTGCACTTGGCTTGTTGTGGGCTTTTGTTTGATAAGGGATTCACGATCCTATTGGCGACGTTCTGACGATTTGGCGATTTGACTCGTTTCTTCCTTTCTTCTTTTCCATCCTCCAGTCTGCGACTCGGTCCGCGCCGATCGAGTACAGGGCCTGTCCGATACTGATATACATTCTTTACCAGACTGTTCGCATCTATCCGACACGTCAGCCCTCCATTCTAGAACAGGCCTGAGCTGAGGTATTAGCCACCATCACCACGCCTCTACCGAAACCAACACCATCTACGAACTACTACACCTCCATTAAGCTGTCATGGATTCCTTGGGACCTTGTAGAGTCTTGAGGGCTCAATTTTGTCGCACGCGGTCTAAACAGGACTAGATCCGGATGTTCACGCGTAGATGTCAAGGAACCATGATGTTCCAACCAAAAGAAATAGGATTCTCAACCTTCTCCTCACGAATCTCTTGGAAATATAATCAACCGACTGGTCACATTGAAGTTGAACTGCTTTTTTCCATAATCCACTGCCACCAACATGTCCGACTCCAGGAAGCGCACTGCCGAAGCGGCCGGTCTGGTCGAGGACTCGAACGACCATGCGAGCAAAAACGCAAAAATACCACCCAAAGAGCCCCATGAGCTCGCACGTCGCCAGGTCGTCGGACTGGCGAAACACCAGTATCCCTCCTTCACGCATGGCCGCCATCTTTGCCAGTTTGCCATGGCTATGCGCGATAAAAGTATAGATGCGACTGCAATCACCGCCTCTAGGAGCTGGCTGTCGAGATACTTCGCCGACGAGGTGGGCAAGGCCGCGTACGATGGTTTGGAGGACTGGACTGGTGTCCTAGTTGCTGCCGTCTTGCTCGAGATGGACAACGAGGCGACCAGAGCAGATGACGCGGACAAAAGAAATGACATTACCTTTGCAGTACAGTTCATCGCCTATCGCGCCACTAACAAGATTCTCATCGCGTCCAGCAAAGATGTCGAGGCATGCTTGGAAGGCAAAGCTAGCCCAGAGTGTCTTGAGAAGGTGAAGCAGGCTTGGGCGAGCTGCAAGTCACTCCGTGATATCCTCATTCAGAACATACAAGACATCACCATTAACGCGGCCTTGGACGCACAAGTCCAGCTCGACACGTGCAAATGGCTGTGGAGGGAGGTCCGGAATCGGATTCGAAATGGAGAGGCCATGTGCCACGTCTTCAAGGCCAGCGAATCGCTACAGCCATCCAGATTCAAGGAACGTTTCGCCAGCGTCTGTACGCAGATGGAGCGGAGCGACTGTGTGCTGAGTACCAATACCAGGCGAGGGTTTGTCCAAGCTGGAGCAGCATTCCCCGTTCCAAGCACTTCGACCTTTCAGGAAACACCTAGCCATTTCGATGATCATAGCGGCGACGAAATGTATTGGTATGAATCGTTGAGGGAAGACCTCGAGATTTGCGTAGAAGAACGTGCTGCATTCGAGAAACACGTACGTGCTCTTTCCTTCATTCCGCTCGAAAGGACCGCTCTCTACAGCTCACTGACAAGACACAGGCCAAAAACTTGCTACAGAGATTGAGCTTTATGGCTCAGTGCAATGCGGACAGGGCGAGCGACGGAGCAGCGGTAGCAGTCGGGATGCTCGAAGCGTTGTGATGGGCATGGACTTGGCCTTGGACTCTTGTCATCCGGGAGACAGAGAGGGCAGGTGTGCCTGGTGTGGAGGGTAATGGCTCATCAGGCATCAAGGCAGACGTTAGTCGAGCTTGAAGATGTAAGGGTCCGACTGTGTACGTAATCAGGCAAGCTAGGTAATAATGACTAGCCAGGCACAGAACGGCATGAGGTGCTGGTGCTGGTGCTGGTGCTCAAACGAAGCGGCCTCGGTCGTTGATTACCTACATTGTCTTGTGCTTGTGTCGCCTTCTGTCATTTCAAGTTGAGGAAAGGCTGTCTGTCTTGCAAGAGTTTACCTTCAAGACTGAGCCTCGGCAACAACTCATCACGTGCGCCGGTGGTAGTCTGAGACATGTGTAGGACATGGGATACGCAACGTCGTCGACTCTGAGGGGCTGATATGTTTGGACGCATGATGGAGGACGGCAGGGCGGGCAGGTATGTATATATATATATATATCATGCAATCTAAATATACATGACATGACAGGACAGGACAGGGTCAAGAACAGGGACGAATTGCGGAGAGTGCGTTGTGCATTACACAGGGTGACGGAGACGACTGCGAGGGACCAGTGCGGGCTATGTCTATGTATACACGTATGCATGCATGATATGATACACACACAGACCCAGACCCAGGTCCACGACGCATAAGCGAAGGTGTGTTTGTGTGCGTGCGTGTCGGTGGTCTGAAAATCCCAACAGAATTGTTGGGATTGAACAGCCGATCATCTCGTGGACGTGAATGTGGAGTGGTGGAGACGCCCGGGGGGTTTGGGCTGAGTTGTGGCGACTAACAGTCGGAGTCGGAGAAGATGTTTCATCACGTCGTCGCTCGGCGTCTTGACGTGTGGTGTTGGTGTTACTGCTGCTGCTGCTGCTGCTGCTGCTGCTAAAGCGAAGTATCCAGGGTCTTTTAGTGATGGATTAGTAGTGCTGGCCAACAACAATGATTAATTATGCCGAGGTGGGCAGAAAGGTACAGAACATCTGATCAGCTTAGGGCCAAGACTGTTTTTGGGCTTAGTGTGGCCGAATACAGTAGGCGGTGAGAGGAGCTCTGCCCAGAAGAACACCCGCCATAGGGCTGAAGACGTCACCTGCCGCGCACTAGTTAGACCTATCCCTCCATCACCAGTGGAGGGAGTCGGAGTCTAGACAGCGCAAGTGCCTATCACGAAGAAAGTCCGGCTGCAAGAAGATAAGACGGAAACTAAGTAATTATACTGTGAGGTCAAGGGAGAAGAAAACATGCCGGTCAATTGGCTTGTGATGGTCATGGCTGACGGACTTGCGGAGGAGGCGGACCAGCCAGGGCAATTATCCATGATTCCCCCCTCCTCGGGGATTGTTTCATATGACTCTTCGCTTCGACTCTCGTTCTCGCTTACATGGAACTTACATATTATCACTCTCCATACTCTAATTACAACTCTACATTCTAATTACAGTAATTATGGAAAGTCTAATTATGTCGAGGGATCCGGCCAGTTGACCTTCTTCCTGTGTGTGTGTGTGTGGGGTCGCGTGCCTGTTGTTTCTTGTCCCTGGCCCTGCCGAGTCCTCATCAATTTCGTCAGCGGTGAGACTTGTCAGCCAATCACAACTCGCCAGACCCTGCATATCAACGCTTCTTGGCGCCATGGGAAGGTGGCAGAATTTTGTTGGGGCACACCTTTCCTAATCCGACTGTTGCTTCACGCAATTCTCTCTCTGGTGTTTTTTTTTTTTTTTTTTGAATTTCGCCTGCCACTCACCACCACTAATTCCTGCTGCTACTGCTGCTGCTACTGCTGCTGCTACTGCTACTACTGCTACTATTCCTCCCTACCATCTCCGCCTCCCTTCGCATATCCTCCGCCCACTTCCACTCTGCTTTCCTTAAAATTCACCTGCTCGCTCATCCTTCCTTTCCTTCTCTTCTACTTCTCCTCCTTCACCTTCATCTATCCTCGCCTTCACTTGTCAGTACCCTGTACACCACACCATCTCTATTCGGTACTGTTCAGTCACACACACACACACACACACACACACTACGATTACCATACGTGTCTGTTGGCCACTGTCAACATCACTTTAATCACCTGGCTGCTGCCAGCGTCCGCATCTTCTTCTCACATACCACTCAGACAGCTGCTCTCGCTGGGCTAGCTTCCCACGATGCCTTCAAACCAACCTACCGCCGGCCATTTGGCTGTTGACCCTCAATATCTATCCTCTCAGCCCTCCTCCATGGCTTCCACGAACGAGCCTAACCGCAACAAATCATACGACCCCAAGAAGGTTCACATCACAGACACTCCAATGACGAGATCGAATTGGTACAAACATGTGAACTGGCTAAACGTCACCTTCATCATTGGTGTCCCTCTGGCCGGTTGTGTTGCTGCTTTCTGGACGCCTTTGCAATGGAAGACTGCTGCGTGGGCGGTCCTTTACTACTTCTGGACTGGTTTGGGAATTACTGCTGGCTACCATCGTCTGTGGGCACACAAGTCGTACAGTGCCAGACTTCCTCTCAAGATTTTCCTCGCCGCTGTCGGTGGCGGTGCTGTTGAAGGCTCAATCAGGTGGTGGAGTCGTGACCACCGCGCTCACCACCGCTACACCGACACCTCCAAGGATCCCTACTCAGTCCGCAAAGGTCTCATGTATAGCCATCTTGGTTGGATGGTCATGAAGCAGAACCCAAAGCGTATCGGCCGTACCGACATCTCTGATCTCAACGAGGATGCTGTTGTTGTTTGGCAACACAAGAACTACTTGAAGGTTGTTATCTTCATGGGCTTGATCTTCCCCATGATGGTTTCTGGCCTGGGCTGGGGTGACTGGCTCGGCGGCTTCATCTATGCCGGTATCCTCCGTATCTTTTTCGTTCAGCAAGCCACATTCTGTGTAAACTCGCTTGCCCACTGGCTCGGCGACCAGCCCTTTGACGACCGAAACTCACCCCGCGACCACCTAATCACCGCTCTTGTAACTCTCGGAGAGGGATACCACAACTTCCACCACGAGTTCCCGAGTGACTACCGGAACGCGATTGAGTGGCACCAGTATGATCCTACCAAGTGGTCCATCCGGATGTGGAAGTCCCTTGGCCTCGCGTACGACCTGAAGCAATTCCGCTCAAACGAGATTGAAAAGGGCCGCGTTCAGCAACTGCAGAAGAAGCTCGACCAGAAGCGCGCTAAGCTTGACTGGGGTGTACCACTCGAGCAACTCCCGGTTCTCGAATGGGATGACTACGTCGACCAGGCTAAGAACGGCCGTGCTCTCATTGCTGTAGCTGGCATTGTTCACGATCTCACCGATTTTATCAAGGAGCACCCTGGTGGCAAGGCTCTCATCACATCTGGTATCGGCAAAGATGCCACTGCCATGTTCAACGGTGGTGTCTATCTCCACTCCAACGGCGCACACAATCTCCTCAGCACAATGCGTGTCGGTATCATCCGCGGTGGTTGCGAAGTCGAGATATGGAAGCGTGCCCAGCGCGAGAACAAAGACGTCCAATATATCAAGGACGATGCTGGCAACCGCATCATTCGCGCTGGCAATCAAGTAACGAAGGTTCAACAGCCCGTCGTTAGTGCCGGTGCTGCATGAGTTGTCTTTCTGCATACATGATAAAATGACTTTGTTCTGGGTTTGGAGCGTGTTGCTTGCCACGGCGTTTTCTGGGAGAGCAGATGTATAAACTTTTTTACAGGATGAAGGCTGTCGTTCACATTGCTTGTGTGCACACATGAGTGACACTTGACACACACTACATGGTAGTATAGACAAGCCAATCAAAGGCAACGAAATCAAATCACAATTGTTTGAACTTGTTCACCCTTGCAGTGATATTCGAGCCTGGACCGTGTGCAGTCTTGACTGAGCTGGTCTCTAGTGTTGTAGAGGTCATCTTATTCATGGCTATCTCAGGTATTGTGTGTTATTCTGTCTAGTATTAGCAGTTAACTTATCAACGCCAATACACATCATGTTCATCCATCGATCATGACCAATCCCCCGCATTCCCAAGAAATTCGCATCCCATCCATCCTAGCTACATACATACATTTCCGCCGGGGCAGATTCAACGCACAGAGTCACCCTCTACCGCTGTGATACTTGTTGTTGTCACTGTTCTTGTCATTGTCGCTGTCGTCGTTCCTGCAAGCGCTGCTTTGCTCAGCGAGTAGCTGCCCCTTCATCAGGAGGAGGCACGTCGTCGTCACCATCGTCGTCGTTATGATCCCAGCCGTATAGCAGGTCGTCTGAGTCCGGGGGCTCGTCTTCGTCTTCGTCTCCGTCTTCGTCTTCGTCTCCGTCTCCGTTTTCGTCTCCGTTTTCGTCGTCCGAGTCTGCAATCTCCGTGTATGCGCGCTTAGGTGGGCGGATTGGCGAGGTGATGAGGGCGTGCTGGATTGCGACTTTGGCGGTGGTGGTGGTGGTTGCGGTGGTGTTTTCATCATCGATGTTACTGTCGTCGTTGCTGATTGGGAGTTCTGTGATGCCGGTCTGCGTTTTGCAAAAGTGAGCAATGCAACACGTGACGAGATGCAAGAAAGGGAGGGAGGGAGGGAGGGAGTGGCTTACCGCTTCAATGGTAAACGGAATCACCGACCCAACGCCATTGCCCGTACCGCCGCCAGACGCCACACCGGGAAGCTTCTCCACGCCGACAAAGCGGAGCCGAGCGAGCCTCTCCGGCTCAACGTCCGGATCAAACGTCTGCGCCGCCGGCGGCGGCCAGTCTCGAAACAGCACCAGTCGCGTCGCCACGCCGTTATCCCAATCACTCCCGTTGATCGCGGGCAGCAGCGCCGCACCGGCGCCCGGTCGCATGCGGGTGATGGTCTGGCTTGTTACCAGCACGACGAGGTCATGCATGGCAGCCATCTTGCCCAGCTTTGCGACCAGCTCGCTCGTCACGGCGAAGCGGCGTCCGGCGGCCCATTTTGCTGCGTCGGTGCGTTTGTTGCTTGTGCTTTGCTGTTTGGTTGTTGTTGTTGTCGTTGCTGTCGTCGTCGGCTTGCGCGGATATGCGTTGTCGAGGAGGGTGGACAGGCCGTCGATGACGATGATGCTTGTTCCTTTAGGGGGGAATGTCGCGGGGGGTCGGATGAAGAGGGCGAGGAGGTGTGCTAGTGTCGCGGTCGAGTGTTTCTGGATCCGGTGAAGCGGGGATGTAGACGGAGTGGATGCATTCGCGTTTGCGTCTCTGACGGCTGGTTTGGGGACTATCTCCTCGAGTCGCCGGTGGACTATCGCGGCGCCTGCGTCTGCGAAAGCACCATGTTTGTCAGGGGGATGAATGTGACTATATGGCGGGACATCTTTGCACGTACCGACCCATACCGCAGTCTGTCCTGCGTGTATGGCATTGATGCATACTTGCGCCCTGTCGACATCAACCACACGCACGCCGTAGCAAGCCCAGTAACATACGCAAAGGTCGTCTTGCCCACTCCCGGAGGCCCGTACACTTCAGTCACCTGTCCACGCTTGAGCCCTGCACCTCCTCCTCCACCTCTTATACTCGCGCCAATTGACGTCGTCGGCGGCGGCTGTAATATGGCATCGAGCGGGGGCAGACCGGTCGGAAGACATTGCTGACCGCGCGCCCTCAGGGTCTGCAGAGCTTGAGTGGCAGATACGGTTGGTAGGCGGTCTGAGTGATAGGCAAATATATATAATTAGCTCTTGATATCACGATTGAATGGCATGCATGCATGCACAAAGTGGGTGGAAACGCACGCGACGTTGCAGACGAGGAGAGTCTGAGTTCCTGAGAGCTGGCCATGGAGCGCAATTGGTGTTGTCGAGATCCATTGCACCACGACGACGTGCACCAAGGGTGCGTGCTAGACGGTTTGCAGTCGTGGAAGCATGTTGTGTTGCTCGATAAAGTGGATGGATGGAACCCAGGATCCTTGCATGTTAGGTCGGCGGGACGTTTTCGAGCTAGTCCGTCATGGATGTCGAGCGAGAGCAGCTAACCTCCGAGCTCTGCTCCAACCAAGCAAAACTCAACCTCCAAAGCTTCCCGCAATCCCATCAACACCACAACCTCCTCCATCACATCCCCCGAATCCATCGAGCGCCATCGCCACCAATCCATTCACAATGGTTGCCATGTACACAATTGCCGGCCGTCAGGTTGGATCGCACGTCGTCAGTACCCTCCCCTCGATACACACACCCTCATCCGATCCCAAACATTCTGCGAACAACAGGAGCCCCGGCGGCATGACCTGCTCGATGAGCGGTTCATTAAACACCAATTCATATTGCTCTTTCCAGACATGACCTCTTGACTGACTGCGCACTGCTATAGCTTGCGATGATCACCCTCGGCACAACCTTCGGCGGTGCCGCCCTTGCGATGCGCGGCGGCGACAAGAAGGACACCACAAGCCCACCGATAAACGCAAAGGACAAGGACGAGGAGAGCTTTGTGCAGTATGTCTACCCAATGCTTCGAGCTGTGTCGTTACGACCCAATTGGTCCGATTGGATGCGGTTCTGACGAGGATGGATGAAAAGTGGTCAACATTCTAGCGCTTTGAAAGCTAACGCGACTATCAGAAAGTTTATCAAGACCGAGGAGGACAAGAAGTCAAAAGCATGAAAACATTACACCCCCAGATTCATGGGATTGGGCTGCGACGGATAAGTTTTCGCGCGTGGCTACCGGAATAGATGCCTGCACATCGTGGCTCTGTAGATATGGCGACATGTACATCACAATCGAAACTTCACCACATGACCTGTCCAACGCATCAGTAACTTTATTGCCTTCGCCAATCTGTCTCAGCATCCTTTTAATAGAACGACAGCGCAGTTATCACAATGAGTGCGGCAGTGACGTCCTCAGTGTGATTAGTATACCCGGATGACCCTACAGCCTGGTATTGACCCCCCAAATCATGTTCCGCTCACACGCCGATACTCCTGTCATGCTCTGAACGTGCTCCTCCCAAGCTACAAAACAATGCCCGCTCCCAATAACGCATCGAATTCGTATTCTATTCCGCGAATTCAACCTTCTTCGTAATACTATCGTTAATCCTTGCGTAGAACCTGACAGCGTGGTGACGAGGGAAGGATATCTCTTCCAGCAGGTAGTCTGGCAAAATCTGGATCAGATCTTTATCCCGGGCTTGATCCAGGAAGGGCGTATAAGCAAATTCGACATCCTCGTAGCTTTGGCCCGTCGCTTTCTGCTCTTCGTCTGATGGGATGGTAAGGTGAAAGTGGAGCGCTGGACGTGTCAGTAGGTTTGGTGCTTTATCGTTGGATTCGTACTTACTGCCGTTTCTGCCTGTCTGGATACAATCGTAGACGTTTTCTTCGCCATTCTGCTTAATGCCCGTGATGATCAAGCCGCTGAGGTCGCTATACAAGTCTTCTTTCAATTGCCGTGTCTGAGCCTCCTTGACGGCATCAGCTGTACCTGTGTAGATTTGTCTTTGTTTGGCTGCATTGGCCGGCGCTCTGGCTGGCTCCGAGCTCTGTGCTCTCGACGCGGCAAGTCTAGCCTGCAGTGATTTGATCTCGTTCTGAGATTCGTTCAACTGGGTGGTGAGTTTTTTCTTTTCAATCTCTAATTGCTTGACATCGTCCTCGAGTCCGTCGACCTCAGTACGTAACGTTTTGGCCTGGCTCGCAATGGCTTTCTGCTCCTCAAGTTGACCCTTCAGAGCCGTGATGATGTTATTCTGGTCTACCGATGATTAGCTTTGCGCACGTGATCGTATTCGAACTGACCTTGTTCTCGTTTATCGGTGGTGCGCTTGAGTTTCTCAAAGTTGCCTTCCTTCTCTTGCATGCTGAGATCTCGCAGTTGTTTGTACTTCAGGTCAATGTTATCAAACTTCTTGGTCATTTCACCCAGCTTCCTCCGTAGCATGGGGTCTCCCCTCTCAGTGTCTGATGCGCTCCCAGCTCTTCGATGTGCTCCAGTCGTCGGTCGAGGTCTGCTTGATGCTATCGGTTGTAAGGTCTGATGTCGCCCGTTTCGTTGCGCGGCTCGCACGACTGGCTGAGTCTCCGGCACTTGCTCCACATCTCCTGAATCCTCGACGTCCATGGGGTCTACTTGTGTTTCTGGAACAGTCTCTGGCAATGCCGTTTGCTTTGCCAACTTGGCTGCTTTCTTCTCCGCCGCGGTAGGCCTCCCCTTGCTCTTCTTCGGAGCCTCGGCAGGCTCTACAATGCTTTCGTCGACTCTAGCTTTTGTTCGCTTTGTAGCCCTTGTAGCTTTCGCGGCAGGCACAGCGTCTTTCGCATTTCGCTTCGTGGCTGCATCGTCCTCAAACTCATCCACCTCCTCGGTTTCGTCGGCATTTGTGTCTCTCTCTGCCAGAGCAGAACGCTTCGTAGGTGCCCTGGACTTCTTTTCTGCCGCTGCCTTCTTGGGTTCGAGAACGCTTGCTCCGCTTGCACGCCGCGTGTTTACTTTGGCGACTCTCGAGGTGGCAGCTTTTTGCTTGGCTTTTGATTTCCCTCCCTTCCGCGCAGGGGCGCGATTCTCGACTGCGGAGTCGGGCGTGAGCAGGGCGTCACCATCTCTAGCAAATTCGTCCTCTGAAAAATCTTCCACCATACCGGAGAGGGTAACGTTGGCCGTTCGTGGTGGCATCGTGCAACAATGGGTCGTGTGAGGACTGCGATCTTTCTTGAGGTGAGTCGAACTTGGGATGCGACGAGGTTTGTTTACGGTCCACTACGCGCGGTGGTCTGTGCGTGATAGCTACCCACCAGGGCTATCTGCGAAGCTTCCTCCATCAGATTACTCATACGTCACTGCCTTCGAAACGGCCAGAATTGATCTGATATATGAATCGCCGCTATCATGATCCCACTTCATTTAATACACCCATCAAAGAGAAATTACTAACAGCACAATGTCAAGCGCTTGCGCCAACCCAACGCACAAGTCTTATAGTCCCTGTTACAGAGTAGACCGTCATCCATGCTGAAAGCTCTCAAGCATATCCCCATGTCTCCCAGCGCTATTCCTCATCTATAAGCTATGTCAGTAGTAGATTGCGGAAGCATTACTGCACCGGATCAACATAGTACTGCTCGTTTCATGACCAGTTCCTCTTTAAAGTACTCATTTCTTGTTATCATCCATTCGCGTAAGAGATACTGAGTATGATTCCAACAGCGAGCTGACCAAGCCTGTACCATTGCCATTAATGTCGACCATTGGTAATGAACACCCACGATAAGAAACCCTGGTGTCGTCAAGGATGCTGTAACTAACGCGCGCGCTCGTTTCTCGGATGACACCAAGTATCGGTTCGACTTTCATGTACTTCGCCAACGAGCCAACGAGAAACTGAAATTAATGGGTGAATCTCACTGGATGCCTGTTGGCTGTATTATATGATTGGGCTTCTACCTACAACAGCAAACCAGTAATTCACCGAGTGTTCCTTGGCGTACATCGCGCTGGAAATTGCTACCCTGATATGTGGAACTTCATAGACAATGTGTAAGATAACAGCCTTGTCCAGCTGGAGAAGCGCTGATGTTTCAGCAAATGCGAAGGCATACCCATGTATGGCGCTTTGCCCTGCTATGAGAATCTGTGTACGCACGACACAGTCTTCAGCGAAAACATATCTTGGAATAAGCCGTCGAATGCGATCTTACATACGAGGACCATGTCCGTGGTTAGTCGAGGAAGAAAAATGGCTGCATTCATCATTCTAGAGAGTATAGCTGTCAGTCTTGCACTCGTAGTTACCTGGGCAATCGTGGTCACTGCGCACAAGCGCCCCCTTTCCCGTTCCATCTCAAGCCTTACACAAGTCTCAGGCTGTGACGATCGTCTTACCTTTGTGGTGTTCGAAGCAATCTCGAGCAGTGGGGCATTGCAATCTCTGTCCAACGATTCGCCCTGAACTATGATTTTGGGCTACGGCTTGCTTTGGGCTTTGCTCTAATTTGCGCGAGACCCCCGTTCAATCTAGGCCGCTGTGGGAGTCACTTACCCACATCTTACAGCAGTTTTTCTAATGAGTTCAGTCGCTGGCTCATATATACTGAGATTACAATACGATGATCGCATCTAAGGTCGTAGATCGCAGCGGAGTAGACCCAAGACATGCTCTGCTGACGATAGGCTGGAAGTACCACATGCTGTGACAACCCACTGCAGTAGTGTGGCACAACCCGATATGCCACGCAGATGTAGGAAGCGCTCATGCTCCCAGGAGCCGAGCGGCAATCGAGCGTACCATACGTCGACCGGGGGACGGATCTGGAGAGCCCATATTTAGCACAAATCCCATCCTTCCTTTGTCTAGTGCGGGCCATCCATTCTCGCCAATGCGTCGTACGTGCAGTCTGTAAATAGCTTTCTCAAGCTATTACAGAGCCGCTGTAGGGATCTTCCAACAGCGCAACCGCAGCACCACGTGCTGTATGCACATTCTCATCTTAGTCCCGAATTATGACTTGTCTAGCTCTATCAACAACTTTTACTAGGCTGTGAGCTTTTCGTCTATCCTTTTGCAATCTTGTATCTCGTTCGTTACAATCATCTAATCATATACTCGTAATTGTACTCAAACAATAAGCTGGAAAGCTTAGTGATGTAGGCAAAGCCTCCGTGTCATCCGTGATGTCTTTCCACGCTCTAGTCTTCATCGTGTCATCCTCGAGGGTGCTTCGAGTTCTGGAAGCCCGCTGTATCTTGTACCTGGGCCGATCTCCTGCGGCTCTTGTACTGGGCTTTGGGATTTGGTAAAGGCTGGCGCTCCATAAGCTTTCCATTCAGGTGGAATTATCTCGTCGACTTTCTCGTCTGGCTTGCTCGTACTTTTTCGTCTTCTGATGAAGACTATGGCGGACACAATGAGGGCAATACCTACGACGGAACCAACCACGATTCCAGCAAGAGTACTGCTGGGAATTCCCTTGTTCTCCTTCACCACTGTTGCTGATGGCTCTGGCAGGCTTGGTCCGGGGTCTGGTGTGTTTTTGCAAACAGCTGTAGTGTGATCCGAGGCGATGGGTACCAAATCCTGCTCATACGTCGCCCTCCCTGGCCATATAGTGAACTTTCCAGAATCATAATTGACGAGCAAGGTCATTGCAGAGAAAAACCCAGATCCAAACGAAGGGGTCTTGCCTCCGGTCTCACTTTGTAGGGAATCTATATTCAGAATGGGTCGGGAAGTATTGGCTTGAATTTCTCCGGAGTCCGCGATCGTGAGTTCAGGTCTGACAAGCTGGTCATTTGAGATCCGTATCGTCATTTTCCCTTCGATTTCTACAGAAGTGTCTCCTTTATATCTGTATATTTTAGTTAGTAGCTGTTAAGTATAAAGCTATCGTTCAATCTACGCGACAGGTTCATTCTCGTAAAGCATCGTGTAATAATTGGTTCCAAACGACCGATCGCTATTTCCAGAGATGGCGAGCCCCTCACGCACGTCGTAGAAATTATGGAAGACTCCAGTGAGGGGAATGGACATGACAGCGACGTCGTCGGGAAACAGGCAGGTAAGCATTGGTTCTTCTCTTGTGAAGATGCCATGATCGGTGCCATTGGGATAGTTCATAGTCATGTTTGTGACACGGATAGGCAAGCCAGAGCCACATTCCCCACTAAACTGCACTGGCAGTGTCAAGTTGTCCCCCTGTCTCGTTGCACGGTCATACCCGCCTAGCACGATTGAACCATTGAATTGTGAGTCTCGAGAAGCCCCTACGCGCCCTGAAAAATACGACCATGATCTTGAGGGGACTGTGCCGGCCGTGTGTAGTAGGCTAAGTACCGTAGAGTTAGATCCCAGTCCTAGAGCGTTCAACGGTGTGTAACCTTGCTCGCCCCCCATCCCGGAGAGCGCAACGGCTAGGGGGAAAGCTGTCATGTTGTTGCGATCATTCAAAGTGATCACTTCGCTGTCGAGTACTACCTGTCGTCTGTCGTCAACATCGGTTGCAATTCGTGACTCGTTGACTTTTCCGCGTGTCTGCGATTCGAGTTGGCGATATAAACCTCCACGAAAAGTGGCGCATTTTCCGGAGGGATCGTCTCGGAGACAGTTTGAGCCGTAGGCATAAGTATTGTTCGCAGCACTACAGGCATCAGAGATGAGGGAATATGCAATAGGATTGGAGAAAGTTGTCACGAGCTTACATATCAACACGAAAAGCTAGCTCTTGACCCCCAGCCTTGAGTGCCCCTTCTCAAACGACAAGTCCATTGTCCAGTGTGAAATTGACAAGTCCTGACTGGAATCACACAGATTGGCTGTTCTTGTGATAGGACTAGGTTTCAATATACTATGTCATAAGACTGAATAGTATATGATAGAGCAAGTCCGCATGGCTCATGGTTTTACGAGGCAGAAGCGAGTGAGGAAGCGCAGGTACAAGATCTAAAGAGCATGAACCACGACCTAAAACAAGGATTGTTCTTCTGCATAGATGAGACCCTACCTTCGCCCAAGACTTTCGATGGTGTATGTCAGTACGTTGAGCTGCTTCTATCACCGTGTAGTCTGACAAGAGTCACGTATCTGCTTCTACGCTAGCAGGCCACCAACCGTAGAAAAGCCCCAGCCTTCCCCATGGGACCATGGGTGAGCCATTGCCCCTGCACGCCTTCGTTTGTGGCCCGGGTGTGAAACGCTACAGGGGTATACCACAAACACGCAGCCCATTCGGGCCGACTCTCTGGTTGTTCCGCGAGTTCGGGTCGAAGCGCTTATTCAGACCGCTAATTGGTTGTTAATACCTTGACTTTCTACGCAAATGTGATACATATTTAGCGACCGCAGTTCTCTGACTTTGGCACCGCTGCTTTATCTACCTCTGCCTAGTGTCTTGAGACCCTGACAAATTCTGAAATGGGGTTACTATAGCTAGGCAAATCGCTTGCTAGCCCTCCCTCATAGGCTCATATCGGATCATGTTGATACCTGCTACTGTCACTTCCCAGTCGTATACATGGGTGTCCAGTTAATAATCTATAAATAACTACATTTGATACCAGAGTTTCTCGACCTCGTATGGAGCAGTTCAGTGATGCCTAATGAGTTATAATCGTTTGCTGACTCGTTATTTCTATTCGTTCCCGTCCCCGATAGAGCGAAGCGCTGGGATATACCCTTTCATCGTCAATCATGCTGGCGCCTATCTCGTGTGCGGCGCAGCGATTACGCCACCTGGTTAAATCTATCAGATTGGCAGGCAGAATCACCCAGTGTCACTCCTAAAACGCATTCGCTCATGCACTGCTGAATTTGGCTGGCCCGGAATGGCAGATACTTTTTGAAGTGTACATTCGGAGCAATATACCGCTGGAGCCTACAGTTACTTGTTCTTAATCTTTCTCCAGAGTCTCTATCCATATCTGGACCTAAGAGCTCGCAGCCTCTGGGAGCCCGCACGCGTTCGACTTTACAGTGTTATACTGTATCGTGGTTATGACACTCCTCACGAATCGGCCCTCTCTGTCACGACGAGGAGGTACCATCGTGTATTCGATGTGTCTCTTACTCGCGTTCGTCTTCACGCTGTCATGGCTTCGGGATCGGCCCTTGAATCTGGCCATCCCTCTACTCAGAACCCACGACGAAGCAATCCTAAACACAAATCCGGATGACGCTCCCAGAAACCATACGTCGACTTTGGATCTACCAGTGGAGTATCAACACGTCCCGGAGCACACGGAGTACTGCGCAGACCGATACCAGAGGAACTACCTGGAGCATCTGAGAGACTCTGCCGTCAGTTACTGCACCAACAATACCTCGTCACAGCTACATTGCTTTCACAGCAAGACGGTACCGGAGCGAACCGACACGTTCTGCTACGGCACGAACGCTGCTTTCAATGCCACACAACACAAGTATAGACTACCCTGCGCCATGCGACAGCTCTCAGAAGAGGAAGTTGACGGAGGTGTGCCGCCTGTTGCCGAGTTCATTGGGTACTGGTACAACACTGGCCCGAAGAATGTGTTCGGCCATGAGGTTCTTTTGCGTGATGAGCAGACGCCCCAAGTCAAGTCCACAGGCCGTCGGATATCTGTTCTAGTGAAAAGAGAAGGAGGTGCCAACTTATGGCATTCGCTAATGGAGATCTTTGCTACCAGCCTGACACTAGACACACTTCGCAGCACAGTGAACCCCGAAACTGGTGCGGCCTTTCTCACCGAGGCCGACAGGAATAACACGCAGGTCGTGTTCCTAGACGACGATGAAGATGGGCCCGCCGACGAGCTCTGGAATATGTTCTTCGCAACTAGGTCCACCATCAGATTGAAAAATATTACGGCCGACAATGTCGGAGACATCATAGTTCCCCTAGCTGGTGGAGGCAATCCATTCTGGCAAGGAGACTGGGAGGCCAGACCATGCGAGGACTCGGAACTGCTCCAAGTCTTCTCCGCCAGGGTCTTGGAGTTTTTGCATATCCAGACACCCGCAAGAGAAGGTAACGTCAGAGTGACCTGGGTGAAGCGTACTGGCTCACGACGTTTGATCAACGAAGAGCAGCTCGTCGAGACAGCAAAAGCTAGAATACCACATATTGAGCTGCAGGTAGTCGATTTCGCCGAGATTCCATTCCGGGATCAAGTCCAGCTCGTTAGGAATACAGATGTGCTGGTTGGTGTACACGGCGCTGGGCTTACGCATGGAATGTGGTTGCAGCCTGGTTCCGTCATCGCAGAGATCCTCCCTCTCACATTAAACTACAAAGGCTTCCGAAACATGGCGGCGCTTCTCGGACTAGACTACTTCTCAGTGCATGGCACTGAACCAAAGCAGAAGTCCGCACCACGAGCGGAGTGGCAGAGCGGTGATGTAGAGCTCGACGAAGAAAAGTTCGTAAGCCTGGTCGAGTCGGCTGTAAGAAGCACGTACAAGAAAGGCATGCGTGACTTTGATATAGATTGATATGAATGTATGAATGTATGAATGTATGAA